GGATAAGGGGTAATTTACATAAGAGTAGCAACCATTTTAGCGGTCATTTCCATCGCCCGAGCTGCTTTTTTGTATTTGTGTTGCATTCACAATTTTACTTTTATTTCGATATGAAGCCGCTTATTCCGATATCGACATCAGAACTGCCGGTCGCTTATTCAGATGCGATGATCGCATTTGAATTGTCCCTCTTCATCTTGAATTCCGATATGCATATCGGGCTAATCGCCGTAACTAGCATATCGCATTTATATGCATACCATTTCTAGCCTGGAGATTAGAGTGAGGGAGCGGCAGGCCTCCTCAGGCTTTCTTGGGCCGAATTGCATTTCCGCGCCTGCCGACGCCTGGCGGAAGCCTAAGGATTTACGCAGGCTTTTTATGCAATGCGTGAAAACATGTTAATCTGGGTACTGCATCTAAAACGTTGGTATCTTTTGTCGCAATAACAAGTTACAAGGATGCCGAAGGTGGGAAACATATAGGCAAGATATCAGGAGAGGCAATTGCATCCCCCGCCCAGGCCCGTAAGAGGGGGGGCGAGGGGCGAGCCCCCCGAAATCGGCCGAAGGCCGAAAAGTACATAAGGGGGGACCCTTATGATTTAATTTTTCCAAAAAATTTTTTGCCTGTGGCGCTGTTTTTGGCTATTTTTCACACTAGTTTTAGTGTTATAAACCCTATGTTTTCAAACATTTTGCCTGCGGCGCTGTAGTTTTAGTCATATTAGTGAAAAAATTTTGGGGTCGCCCCCCCCGAAATTTGAGTTTGTTACGGCCCTGCCCCCGCCCGTTTGATCCGACTCTTGGCTTTTGTGTATCCGCGTGCTTTTAACGTATCGTGCCGTAAGGTTTGTCAAAAACAGTACCCTAACTTTGTAGAATATTCTTGGACCCAATACAGCTCTTCGACTCCCCGGAAGTTTCAAAAAATCCTTATTTGTTCGGCAAAACTTCGAATATTATACGACTTTACATAAAATTTCCAGATAAAGCCTGGCTAATTAGAGGTCAGGCGTGCTTTGCATAGCCCAGGCTCAGCCTAGGCGATGCAAATTAGAAAAGCCTGAGGAAGCCTAGGCAAGCCTAGGCTTTAGCCTAGGCCTCCCTCACTCTACTGGAGATGACTACACGCATATCAGATTCAGAAAAGTCATCTATTTCGACGCTTTGATCCAAAATTAGCATGGACTTCAAACAAGGGCAAACAAAACTCCAAATGGCAATCTTGTTTGGTTTGAGCGCTCAACGGTGATCTCAAACAAAACACGTTTGATTTGATTCTCCAAAAATCCCTATCAAGCAATATTTTTCAAAAACGCCAGTTTGAGGCCTTGTTTTTGTTTCAGTTATAACAACTCTAGTTTACAGTAAGTCGAAAGTGCCGCTCAAACGCCTCATCCACCATATGTCGTCAAGACCACGCTCTCTGTCCGCTAGCTATTGCAACCTGAACTTCAGACTCAACATCTATGAGCCGGTACGGGTATAAAAAGCAATGGTCAAAAACGTTTTGATTTGGGTTTAGTTGGTCGTTTGGTTAAAAAATTTGGTGGAAAACGGTTCTTTTTGCTCGAAAAATCCATCTTTTCTGGTATCCTAATACAGTGTGTGTCAAAAAGATAGGCACACCTTCTTTTTTTGCGATGATCTCGGCCCTCGTCCACGTAGCGACGTAGCCGCGTAGCGGCGTTTCAACCCTTGTTTTTAATAAAAATTTGTATCTTTGTTCGGTTTAGAAATACAAGGACATCTTAGAAAGAATTTCGCAATTTATATATTGCCAAAATTGGAGCCGCAGAAAAAAATGTAGCCCCCCGATAATGTGATAGTTCCGGCCTTTGATAACCCGTAAAATTTAGGGGAGAAACCTGCCTGCGATGATACTTTATTCATAACCATATTTTAGAGGGAAGTTGCGGCGGCACGAACGAAGGACGGACTTTTGGACGTGAGCTAACAATTCGAAAAGAGCGAGCAGCATCGAAACCGTTCTTTTTAGTGGATATCGACGTCTCTTGGTTGGGACTGTTAGCGGCGGGAAACCAAATTGGCCCTGGGATTCTCTACGGCTTTATAATAAAATACAAACCATTTTTATAGGATTTTACATGTTTAAAATATCAATATAAAAAAATAATAAAATTTGCGAAAGTGCTTAGTTTGTCAAAAATTGTAAAAAATGACCACAAAAGGTCAACATCTTCGAATTTTCAAAATTATAAGATATTTTTTATGACTTTCTGGCAAATGAAAACTACTAAAAACGCTATGAAAGTATATAATATATCATCAACAGCTAAATAGGTAGAAAACAGAAAGTGATCCCCCGCTATCAGTCCAGAACCGGAAGATGATATTGACGCGTATTTCAGTGAAAATTGGAGCTGCCGATACCCATTCGATGAAAGGAATCGATGTTTGCGTTTCTATACTAGTAGTACCCGTAAATGGGAAGTCAACGCAAATTTCAGATTAGCCCCGTTCTCCGTGTGCTTGCGCCTATGAAGGAACTCTGCTTCCAAGCGGCACACCCACTTTTCGATAATCTAAGAGATTTGCGGTCGTGCTATAGCGGTGACGCTGAGAAAATTACGTTCAACAAGGTCAGTTTGAATAAAAATTGGTATTTGGCGGAAAGTTCCGATCAAAAAGCAAAACGAAAAAATAGCGACCGGATCCGAACCCTCGCCAGTATCCTATCAGCGAGTCACTTACCACTCGGTCATTCAGCCGGTGATTCCGATGTGATGGGAGAGGCTCATAAACCTATCAGTTATGCCAATTTTTCGGATGCGAAAGATGATATTCCGGCAGTGCTGTATCTCTGTCCACAGGTTCATTTACAAGGAGATGGTCTCAGCTCGTCATCGAATTTCAATTTGAAAATTTGCACACTCGACGAGACGAATCGATTGGTGTAATTTTCAGCTGCTGATATAGTAACATGATCATTTTAAACTCCGTGGTCTGGTGGCCTAGTGGTGTAGTTATCAGTCTCTGGGGAATCTAACGAGGGTTCCAACCTGCACACGATATTTATTTATTGTTTTTTTTTGTCTGGGGGTTCCTCTTTGCTTTCTAAAGGCCTTCAAAAACTTTTTAATCAGTAACTATACACCACGAAGCGAAAAATCGTGAGCGGGGTGGAACCCTCGTTAGATTCCCCAGAGACCGATCACTAGACCACTAGGCCACGAGACCACGGAGGTGGGGACAAGGGGAGAGACTATGAAAGTAGGGCGAATTTCCGACTAAAATTTTAAACGCGTTTAAGCTGATCATGTTACTATATCAGCAGCTAAAAGTTACACCAATTCTTCGTCTCGTCGAGCTCTATCAGTGGGCAAATTTTCAAATTGAAATTCGATGACGAGCTGAGACCATCTCCTTGTGAGGTTCCCTTGTCAGCTGAAGTCTCCAAAATGGAGAGAAGTCGCCTCAAAAATCATCCAAATGTTTAGGTGCGCACGGTGCGATGTCAGCAATGTGTCACGGTAAGGATGGTTTTCGGGGTTAGGCCCCGAAAAAGCCGCAGTCTAATGTTTCATATCCGATATTTAAAACGAGAAAGATGCAAATGGTAAATCCGTCCTTTTTCCGCCAAGTCCCTCTTTAGTCCTTAAGGTCAGGATCCTTAGCAAATATGCATAATAACCTCGAAATTCAGATGCAAATGAGGATTTTTCGTTTCCGGGGCTGAGCCCGGCCCCAGTTCAACTCAAGTCCGGGTCCGCCCCCCCCCCCCCCCAAATTTGCATTTTCTTGGCGCTCGGCGGAGCCCCAGGTTATGTAAAATGGGGCCGGGGGCTCGGCCCCGGGGGCCTGATTTCCGAAATTGCCATCTCTGCTTATACTCAGGATCAAAAGCAGCAGTCAAAACGATCGAATTATATTCTACCAGCGCCCAAAACCCGCTTCGCGGGCCTTGGGCGCTGGAATGCGACCTTTGCATGATTGACTTTCAGGTAGCTTGCGCATTTCGGGCTTTCCCCTCTACCGACCACACTCGCGCGTGCAACTTGCAAGAATGAGGACATTTCTATTTTTTCACATTATGCAAATTAGCCCTCCCGGATGCCAGACAAACACGTCCAGAGGCTACGGTTTACTTTACCCCCCCCCCCCCAGCCGGAAGTTTTTGGCTATAACTTTTTTATTTTACACCAGCGCCCAAAACCCGCTTCGCGGGCCTTGGGCGCTGGAATGCGGCCTTTGCATGAAAAATTTGACTTCCCGATAGCTCGGGGTCCTTCGGACCCCTTCTCCCCACCGGCCACACACGCGAGTGCAACTGGCAAGAATGAGGAAATTTGTATTTTTCCGCATTATGCAAATTAGCCCTCAGGGACTCCCAAAAATGAATAAAACCGGCTTTAACTTTGTAAACTTGTATTTTATCGAAATTCTGACAACGCCATCGGAAACAGAAGGGTCGATTCCTCCGGGTGACGGAGAATTAGGGCATTTTATGCACGGGAAGGCCCTCAAATCGGGCCTCGAAAGTGACATCCACACACACACACACATACGCGCCAAAATTATATAAGGTAGGATTATTGTAGGCTCAAATTAAAACTCTTACTATATTTTTCGACGCTCTATCGAATGGCGTTGCGAAAATCCCGACCAAATAAGCGAAAATACCGACAACTTTGAGACCCTTCGGCTGTCGGGGGGGGGGGGGGGGGGGTTAAGTAAACTCTTACCCGTCCAGAGAGACACGCCAAAATTATATAAGGTATAGGATAACACCAGGGTTCACAAGTCGCTTCGCCATTTTTCACCCCGCTAATTTCATTTTTCTACCTTACCTGCTAATAATGTACTTCAATAGTATTTTTCGTGTGCGAGAAAGTTTACAAATATTTGAACTGAAAGTGGGTGTGAAACGGACGTTTCGCGGAGCAGCCAATAGAGCCCCAAAATTCACAGCGCTACGGGGATGATGCGCCATGGGGATGCGCCATCTGCGAAGAAACGTGGTCCGTTTGGGGTGGGATGAAGCCGAGCAGACGACCTCAGGAAACCGTGTTCGAAATTGAGCATTTCCCGGTGGGCCTGGTGGGACAGCTGGCTGATGTGGGTATTCTGATTTATTGTAACAGTTTTTTGGTGATCGTGGGATTTCGATACGTGGAATAGCACATCATCTGCAAAATTTTTCGCTGATTCCGAATCCGTTTAGAAAACTAGCGGAACCCCCTGATTAAAAAGTTACAACCGTTTTTAGCGCCGAAATCCCTGGATGGCCGTAGAATATTTCCATAGAATGTTGGAAATTGTGTGAATTTTGAGCTACGGGTATTCTACGGGTAAGTTTGAGGTATCCCATGAAAAGAACGCGTTTTTCTACCGCCGTTTGGTGTATTTCATCCCATAAAGTATTTCGCGGGGATTTTTAAACGATTTAACGTTTCGCATTTTCGACCATCTCGACGCTAAAAACGGTTGTAACTCTTTAATCGGGGCGGGTTCGGTAACTTTTGTAATGCATCCGGATCAGCGAAAAATTCTGCACAATTCTATCAAAGATATCGAATTCCCACGGTCCCCAAAAAAGACGCTTACAGTTAGGCGCAAAATTAAATACTTTAGACGGCATTTTGTGCGGGACGACCGTGGAGCCCCGGGCGTTCACTTCAAATCTGCAGAATCTACAGCCACCGACTTGGAACGGGTCCATTGGTACCAGAAGTATTTTTGGTATGGATACAGGATGTCCCAAATAAAATTAAAATAATAAATAAATTAAATCTCAGATGTTTTTTGCTGTATTTCGGCATCTTTCATGCAAAGAGAACACCCTTTTGTCAAAAGGTCAATTTAACCGTTTAAGCGCTATCCAAGCGGTGTTTTTGCAAACTTCCTTCAAAAATCTATCACTGGGTTGCCTGGAAAGGCTTCAAACTCTTTAAATTGTGTTTTTTTTAAATCCTTGGTCAGAAAACACTAGAAAACCCGCCCGTACCGCATATTAGTAAATGCTAGATAATGTTGTTAAATACACGAAGCTATCCTCAAATCCCAGTTAATAACTAATTTTGTGTTGCAGCAACAATTCGCAGCGCGACTTCGCCGACTTCATGACGGCGTGATGCGGGTGCTACACGAAGCCGACGCTGATGCGGGAATTCTAGCAGAATGGATGCGTGAAAGGCACCAAGTGAAGGTGGGTGTGATTGGGAAAAGAAGTCTCGAAGTTCTTGGCTTTTACGAGTTTTCACTATAAGCCGAGAACATGGGTTCTTTCGCATTATCGAGGGGCGGGGACCAAATTATTTTTCTTAGAATCTAATTTTTCGAATCAACTATAATAATTTTGCTGTGGTCTCTGTCCGTCTGTCTGTCCGAAGCCGAATTCAACTCGAAGGGGAAAAGAGCTAGAGCTTAGTTCTCTTCGGATTCGGATAGAGCGCCATCAAAAACCCCCAAACTGATAAAAAAATTATGAAAAACTTTTAGTTTAAATTATTAAAATTAACTTTGAAAGTTTTTTCCTTAGTAAAAGGGGTGGGGGCCCTCTCCCGGGAGGCCACGCCCCCTTTCCCTTCGCCCCTCTTCCCCAGGCCCCTTCCCGCGCCCAGATAGCTTTTTTAAGTTACTTTAATACTTTTTAATACTTTTAATACTTTTTAATACTTTTTCATTATGTTAATTAATTATTTAAATCATCTAAAGCCATCGGGAAGGTATTTAGGTAGTTTTTGAAGGGGATTTCAGCCATGGGGGGTATCTAAAGCTATCGGGAAGGTAAAGTTACTTTAATACTTTTTAATTATGTTAATTAATTATTTAAATCATCTAAAGCCATCGGGAAGGTATTTAGGTAGTTTTTGAAGGGGATTTCAGCCATGGGGGGATCTGAAGCCATCAGGAAGTTATCGATGTAGTTTTTGAAGGGGATTTCAGCCATGGGGGGTATTGATGGAGGTGGGAAAGGATGTGGTGGAGTGGGACATGTAGGGTAGCCCGAAGGCCAGATGGTTGCAGTCGCGAAGCGACTGTAACCATCTGGTATCTAAATAGTTTTATACTGTTCCTAAGCCTGAAAATGATTCCCGATCAGCTGATAAAAGAAAATCAGCTGATCGAAACAAGAGCTGAACAAAAATTGTCGGTCAGCAGTGCTAAACAAAACTCATGACGATTTAGAGGGGATACGGATATGACAAATCCCACGAATTTCGGTACAATTTTGTCGTCGATGCCCATCACAAGCGTAAGTATTGCTGTTTCGATAATTGAAAATGGGAAAACTTAAGTCGATTCTTTATTATTCGCGTGGCGGATGGGGGTGGGTTCACTGGCGGAAATAAATTTTTTTCATGTGCGCGGTTCGCCTTCCTAGACCAATATTAAATATTTTATATAATTTTTAGTAGGTTTCAACCCAATTTAAAGCAATACAGCTTTCAAAAAAATCAGAAAAAAGTTCGAACAAAATCGAACTTTTGGTTATCTTCGGTCGAGAAAATCACTTTTCTGGCCTAAAATCAATTTTTTTTTAATATCGTAAAATCCGCTATTTCTAAAAAAAATTTGAGCTTGTGCACAAAAAAATTAGTATAAATAATATAATGACAGTAATTTAGGCTTCCTGGTGGCTTTTTTGCGAGAAGGACCGTGTCCCCGTTGGCCCACATATGGGGCTAGGTGGGACATCGCCGATGAGTGCTACCTTGGCGTGTATCTCTATATTTTTGAGAAATGATAAATGGACTGATTTCACTTCAAACAATAAACAATAAATCGCTTTGCTGATTATATTCGGGCTAGCACACCTGCGACCCATAGTGCGGGCGGAAATTAAAAATTCGCAAAATTCGCCTGAAAAGGGGCTACGCGACGCTCCTGTATACGCCGATTCAAACTAAACGCTTGCTAACAGAATTCCGTTTCCTTCGTGCTTACCGTCATTCGATTCAGCGTAATTTGTTCTGTAATCATCACTATATATAAAAAAATAGTGTTTGTGTGTGTGTGTATATTTGCATGCACTTCCGTTTGGATGTTCCGCTCCTACAGCCTCGGGGAAGGGTTTTTTGGATAGGGAAGAAACGACAATAGGTTTAGAATGGTCCGGAATCGACTGCACACACATAAAAATTTTGAAAAATTGCGGTTTACGCTATTAAAAATAGGTTTTTGTAAAACCCTGTTTGTTAGGGGAAATTAGCATACGCCGGAAGTAGGAAGAGCCTATACAAAAGGGACAGCGGAGCCGTTTTTCACTTTTTTTCTTGCTAGAATTCAGGAAGAAACATGAAAATTAAGTACTTTCACAGGTCCTGGACGGGGCCAGGGTTGAAAAGCCGCGAAGCGGTTTTTCAACCCTGGTCAAAATAAAAAAATAGACATGGAATCGTGTATTACACCATAATTGAACACCGAATACACAACAGTAGAAGAGAAAATACTGCGAAGATGGTGGCGCTTGATTCGGTGGTTGACCTTCGCGTTCGGCAAGTTCAGTAGTGGAAGCCGGCGGGTGGGGGCACCTGGTACTGGTAGACGCCCTGCGGCTGCTCGGGGAGGGGTGGAGCCGATGGAGCGGGAGGCGGAGGTGGCGGGGGAGCTGTAAAATGTGACTATTTGGGAGCCGAGGACGACTCCGGCGAGTTCAAAGAGTTCAAGGTGCTCTACTGCTTCAAATTAGATAAATTTCTTTCGTTGGCGCGTTGTTCAGCAAGTTCAAAAAGCTCAGATGGCTTCTTCAGCTGGTTTTTTTTTGCGTGAGCTTGCGACGGTTTCAAGCCGTTCAAAACAGCGGAGAATCCAGCACAGCTAGCAGCCTGCGACGGCTTCAAGCCGTTCAAGCTACAGCACGTCTACTGGAGCAAGTTCTGACCTGCTTGGACATATGGCGGCGGCGGCGGCTGCTGAGCCATTGGAGCCACTGAACGCTGCGAAGTCGCCGGCGCCGCTGGAGTATAGGCAGCCTCGGGCTGTGGATTAACGGCATCTTTGCAGCTGCGAACTGCAAGGCACGGCTTTTAGCGGTTGCCAAGGGTCCGGTAAGCCGAGATCCGTTACCCACCACAAGCCACAATGCACCCGACGATGAACATGACGCACAAGAAACCGCAGATGAGCATCACCAGCGCCAGGAAGCCGACTGAAATTAGCGAATTGAGCCAATTACAGAAAAATAGCTGTAACTTCAGTGGTGAAAAGTTGAAAATCGATTTTATAAGGGACTGGAAACGCAAAAATCTACCCCCCTCGGTCCATTAGGTCTAGACAGCTACGCGACACATCAAAAGACGCCCAGAGCTTTGGATCGCGCCACAAAAATGAGATTTATACGTATCTTGTGGTCTCGCGTAGTTGTCGCGGTCAAGTCGCTAACAGAGGTCGATTGTTGCGCTTGCTAGTTCCTTTAAATACCCACTTGGCCCTAGCGCCACCCCGTCGTCGTGATGATGATGGTGGTGGTGATGGTGGGCCTGGCGGGCGGGTCTTGGGAATGTGCCTGAAATTTTGGGGTGTCGCGGTTCCTTTAAAGCGGTTGGTCGCTCTCTCTCCTCTCTCTCTCTCTCTCTCTCTCTCTCTCTCTCTCTTTTTCTCTATCCCTCTCTCTTTTTCCCTCACACTCTCTCTCCCTCGCTCGCTCTATCTAGCTCTCTCTCTTTCTCCCTCTCCATGTCTCTCTCTCTATCTCTCTCTCCCTACCATCATCCATCCATCCCCCGTCCGGAAGCGTCGGATCGTAGCCGCGGAATTCCTCATCCGCATCGTCCTGAAAATTCTATCTCTATTGGAAATCACAGTCCTACCGTATCCCACAAATAGCCGATCGCTAGGGCGCAGAATAAGACCAGGAACAGCAGAAACCGCATGGTTCTCGATCGAAATCGAAAAATTTTGCAAGGATGGGCTTTTTAGGCTTCCCGGAGCAGTGATCCGTACTCAAAGATTAATTCAAATAATTTTATGTAAATTTTCATGTGCTGGGAATACTGCGAAAAGTTCCTGCTAGGTTGCGGCGCAGCATGGAGAGCAATAGCGTCATGACAAAACTGCTCGAGGAGCCTCTGCCAGCTTGCCTCGTCGCATGGGATATACCGGTTTTCCGCATTCTTTTTAGCTTTCTTAAGGGATCTCTGCTGGTTTGCCGGGTCACATAAAAATCATGAATCCTTGATTCGGCTCCCATCGAATTTTCAAGTTCCCCAAAGCTTTCTGCCGGCTTGCCAGTTCAAAAAGGCAGAAGCTCGGCTTGGCTCTGCAAGCTTCGATCACGGCTTTTCCTATAAATCCTTTATCCAGAAATCAGAAATCCTTTATCCAGCGAGATCATGTGTGGTAATCACAAAAAATTGGATGGAAAAATCGAGAAATAAAGGCATAAATAAAGGCATTTCAGCGATCACGCGTAGCTGTTGTCTCGGATTTGTCTGCGGATCTCTCGGCGGCTGTGGCGAGGGATCGCGTCGTTTTCGAGATGGTTTTCGAGATGGTCTTCGCCGTCTCGATGGAGACGGACGGGGCGATCCAGTCGGTCTTCTCCTGCATCGGCTTCATCCCCTTTTCGATGGTTTTGCCCTGGAAAATGGGTGTTAAAGGGGCTGCGTTTCGCGCTGCGTCTGCCAATAGCCGCGACGCGACGGCAAGGCGTTCAGAGCCTGCGAGGTTTTCAGGGTTTCAAAGGACTATTTGTCATTAGTACGATGTCGGAAAAGAAATCGCATCTTTCCTCGCAATGCCGCGACGCGAAGCAGCCGCTACGTGACCGTGACGCGACCGCAACGCGTTCATAGCAGGCGTCCAACCTCTTCCGTGTTGGGCCGAGAGTCGGTGAGCGTCAGGCTTTTCGGCAACGGGCGTCCCGAGCTGCTGTAAGCTTCGGCGATGGCTGAAAACGAACGGGATTACAGAGGAGCTGATTTTCCAGAACCTTTTCGAAAGGCTTCGCGCTTGGCCGCGCACCGCGCCTCGGCCTGTCGCTGCAGCTGGGCATCACCCTAAATAATGTCTTCAAGGAGTTCAAGGCCAAAACCTCACGAGCAAACTGGAGCGCTCTGAGATCTCGCTCTCCGAGCCGTCGGCCGCACTTTTGTGAGTCCGATTCTGGATGGTGTGCGGAGGGAAGAAGTGGGCTGAAAATGAAACTGTTTTGTCAAAAATTACGGTACCCCCCCCCGCTAAAAGTCTAGCACCTACCAATGCCCTGGTTGAAGACGAGCCGCCGGTTCTTCAGATCGAAATAGCAGGCCACCCCGCAGGCGACGAGCAGCGCGACGAGGAGCCCCGAGACGAGCGTCACCACCCAGAGGCTAAAATTAAAGGCACATGGAAGGCAAAAAACGCAAAAAAAATTGTTGGTCGTTTTCGAGCTTTTTAAAGGGGGCTGGCAAGGCATAGTGATACCTTGCCTTACCCTTAAAGGAACCCTGAGTGCCCTGGACCGCGCACTAATGACTCGAACGACTCGACCTCCTCGAACACTGGTCAAAACCCACGTCATAACCCCAAAGAGCAACTCCTCTTTCTCGGCATCAGCTTTAACCGCCGTGACGAGCAGAAAGAGCCAAAGAAGCCACTAAAACGATAAAAAAAGCGTAAATTTTGTAGCTACCATTCCAGGGCCGTAGAGAGCTCAAAAATGAACATTTTCGAGCAAAAACTCTAATTTTATGTTTTTGGAAAATGCAAATTAGCGACTCAAATTCTCTGCCTCGCAAGCTCTGTCTCTCTCTCTCTCTCTCTCTCTCTCTCTCTCTCTCTCTTGTTCTCTCTCTGTTTATTTCCCTCTCTCTATCTCTCTCGCACGCTCTCTCTATGTCTCTCGCACTCTGTCTCTCACACACTCTCTTTCTTTCTCGCACTCTCTCTCGCACCCTGTCTCTCGCACTCTGTCTCACTCTCTCTCGCCCTCTCTCTCGCACTATCTCTCGCACTACCTCTCTCGCACGCTCTATCTCTTTCTCACTCTCGATCTCTCTGTCTCGCCGTCTTTCTCAATGAACTATTTATCATCATATTAAAACCACATCACATCCAAGAATTATACAATAAATAAAATGCGTTTTTAAAAAGAATTTTTCATAGTAAAGCTCTTTTGATGGTGGCTGATTCGTCAGTAGTAGTTTGTATATTAGTTGTACTGGCTGAAAAATGGATAATAAAAACAACTACACGTTAATCAAAATTCTAGGGGGGTTTTGCGGGTGAAACTGAAGAATTCGGGGTTTTTTCGAGGCCAAGACCACAAACTACAAACTTCACTTGGTGCTCTCTTTCTCTGGTCTCTCTCTCTCAAACCACAGTGTTGAACCTGGAAAGTTAGTCGGGGAGATGAAAACTCAAATTTTACAAGAGAGAATTAAGTTTTGAACCTAGTAGATGACGGCCCATTGCCTAAAGGCAAATAATTCGTGATTCGCTATCGCTAGGAAGTGGTAATAAAAATGTTTAAATCAAGGAAAGTACCCCTTGATGAGTCGCTTCTCCTCGGGTCGACCTGCGCCATCTTCGATCGATTTTTGGCGGGTTTCGGCGACGGCATCCTGGAAATAATCAATACTTTGTAAAAATCTGGCTCTTTGGCATTATCGGGGGGGGGGGGGGGGGCAATCAAAACTAAAAATACAAAAATATCGATCTTTTTTGGATCGAAAACTGCCGACCTGTGACCAAAATTTCGACTTTTTGAAAAATTTTTGAAGCTTTTGAGATAGTTTTTCTTGTTTAAATATAGGTTTATGTAACGAAAACATCGTTAAAATACTTCCTATCCAGTTACTAGGCCTTTCTAAACTTATAAAAAATTTCGGGTGTATTTATCCGTTAGGTCATTAAATTCAAATCCAGAAGCTTTTTTTCGTTGTTTTAGCTTGATAGATTTTGTGGTTTTATTAAATTTAATTATATTAAAAATGGCTTGTAATAGGTTAAAATTCGAAAAAATTATTAAAAGCGCCAAAAACGATTTTAACGTTTTAATGAGCTCACCACTTCATCAGCAATATGGACGCCGACGAAGAAGTGATAGGACCAGCCTCCGAGAACTGCACCGAAGAAGGGTGCGACTACCGGGATCCAGAAGTAATTGTTGTGGTACCTGAAAAATCTTTCTCTTCCTCTCTCTCTCTCTCTCTCTCTCTCTCTCTCTCTCTCTATCCCTCGCTCTCTCTCTCTCTCTCCTTCTCTCTCTCTCTCGTCTTCAAAAACTCACGTAAACACCTCGGATCCATAGATGAAATATGCAAAAATACGAGGGCCAAGATCCCTGGCTGGGTTGATTGGATACCCCAGGTTCAATCCCATCGAGCAACCTAAATAGATAGAAAATCTTCATTTCAGGCTAATTCCTACCGATCATGATCAGCAACAACCCGAAGACGACGGAGTGCAGGTGGTCTGGGACCTAAAAAATTATTTGAAAGCTTTTTAAGATGGTTTTTGTGACCTTATTCCGCTTGTCGGTCACGACGCAGACGAAGAGGCAGAGGAGAGCGGTACCGGCAATCTGGAAGGGAATGGATGAAAGAGAGAGAGAGAGAGAGAGAGAGAGAGAGAGAGAGAGACAGAGACAGAGACAGAGACAGTGAGAGCGAGAGAGTGTGAGAGTGAGAGAGTGGGTGAGAGATATCTGGTCCTACCTGATCAAAAAATGCCGTCGTATTGCTCACGAAAGCTGCTGGGAACGAGCAGAAGCACCCTGCAGACCCAAGTGTCCCGACGAGAACCCGACGATCTCCAGAGAATTTTTGGAATTGATCTAAATATCCGAAACTTTAATTTTTTTTAGTTTTTGATTCGATGATCATTTTTCCAAGCCGTGACCCACCAAAATAAATCGCATACGCAGCCACAGCTCCTAGGAAAGCGCCGGCGAGTTGGACAAGGCAATACAGGAAAAAGTGCTTGATCGGCAGCTTGCCGAGCGTCACCATCAAGAATGAGACGGCCGGGTTGAGGTGGCCGCCTGCAAGCAACTTAAGGTATTAAAAGTTGTAGTGTTAGACATACCTGAAGTCTGACTGGTCATCATCACGCAGAAAGTGATGGCAAATCCCCATCCGAGGTTGATATTCACCCAGGTGTTCAACTTCTCATGTGTCAGGATAAATTGCATGACGATCGTGAGGCCGATGAACTGAAAAAGGCTTTTCAAAGATGTTAATTTTTTCATTCCATATTTCTCTATATTTTCCTCTCTCTCTCACTCTCTCTCTCTCTCGTTTTCCTGTCCCTCTCACTTACCAATAGCATAAAGGTCCCAAAAAATTCGGAAAGTAAATTTCTAGTCAAGGGGCATTTGATGGCGATCGCATTTTTTAGCCGATCCACTGGAGAGGCGACGACGGTCATCCTGAAAAAAAAGTTAAGTGTTGCAATGCAAAAGAAAGAGAGGGAGCGAGCGAGAGAGAGAGAGAGAGAGAGAGAGAGAGAAATTGAAAGAGACAGAGATAGGGATCGAGAGAAAGCTAAAATGAGACAGAGAACAGCAAGTAAGGCGTTTTCAAATTTTTTTTGCGGGTTTTCGGACATTTGCAGTGATTCAAACTGAAAAGAGCCTTTCTAGGCCTAAAATGAGTCAGAAACTTCGCATTTCTTCGATCTGGTCGAATGTTATAGAAGAAAAAGGTAGAATACGAAGATACTAGATGGGTTTATCATCCTTAAACAAACCACAGCTTGAATTGGCTTAAAAAAGTGTTCTGAGGATAGGTTGCAAAAACGTTCAAAAATGGATGTTTCTTCTTTTGTTCATTGCCAGAGGAGTGCCGTGCCGGGGTGCCTTTTCTCAAAGTGCTTTATCCGTCCGTATATAGTACTTTTTTGCCGTAAGCGGCGCCCTAGACGATTTGTTGGATGGGGGTGAAACACGAGTACGCGCCCGTATTTGCCCTAGGGGGGCTACTAGCCGCTGATTTGGGGGGCAGAGCGCGGCCAAAAAAAGTGCATAAGGCCCAGAAGGAGCATTAGCCAAATGGGGGAAGGCAAATAAAAAGTATTAATTTTGTCGAATTTAACACTTTTCCCCTTAGCGAATGGGACCTTGGCTCTTCTCGCTTTACAATGGATTTAAAATACAGAGAATTTTGGCTAAGAAGAATATGTATAATACAAAAAAATTATGTGATGCAAAAAATCATATTTTTAAAAATACGAGCACATGACAAAACAGGAAGTCCGTAGCGATAAAACCAACCGCACGGATTGTTTACGGCTTTCCCACAAAAAGGCACCGAAACCTCCCGATCGATCCAATAGCCATCAACCAAAAACATTTTATTTCGCGTGCCAAAATCCTTTTGAAAAGGGGCCAAAATCCCCACGTTTTCCAGCTATTCTTCCAGAATCCTGAGAAACGCGCTAATCGCCGTGTCCGCCCGGGTTTTTTACCACTCGAGATAATGATTTACGGGCATTTTTTGACCTGCGGTCTGAGGCTAGGGGGGCCGAAAATAGGGTTTTTACGATTAATTAGATGTTTGAGATACCTTTATTATGTTAAAGCAATTTTTTAAGCTTGGCAGAAGCAAGCAAGCAAGAAAGTTTGACGTTTTTGAGCAACTAAGATTAATGCTAATTTCAAAAAAATAGAATAATAAATAGGGCCTCGAGCTTGCTTTTGTTATACTTCTAAGTTGTCAGGATCAGAATTTTTTTAAGGGTTTAAAGGTTTTTTATTTGAACATTTTTTTCTTGTTTTGTTTTTAAATCGACAAATCGGTCAAAAAAACAAAAATTCCTGTGGCGTAGGACTCGGGTTCAAAACAAGGTAAAATTTTCTTCTTTATCCGATTAACATTTTCTTTTTCTGAATTAAAACTAAATCTAGGTTAAATTAGGGTTAAAATTGGTTGAAGTACAATTAATAATTAAAAAATCCATTTTAAATTGGTAAAATACGTCAGGAAATCGGATTCAAACGTAAAAACCGGACAGCAACATCACTAAAATACGCACGGTTTCAGGCGCTTATCAAAAAGCGTTCTCCGCGAGCTATTTTATGGGCTTTCGGTGGCAGACTGACTACTCAAAAAAACCGCTGACATTTGCTAGCTAATTCCATGTCTCAAAAAAAATAAAAAAATCCAAAACACAAAAAAAATCCTCCCAAAAAACCCTGCTAGCCTGCCCCAACGAAAATTCGCTTCCCCATTCTGACCCAGACAACCCATGGGGTTCCCCTATCAACTTTTTGGCCTCACCCCGTCGGGTTTAATTCGCAAATATCGGGGTGGTTGGGTGGAAGTTGCGGACAAGCCGAGAGGAGACGATTAAACCTTGGTGGCATTTGATTGCAGAGTGAAGCTTTCTAGTCGAGGAAATGAGTCATTGGCCGCACAGTGCAAAAAAGCTGCCCAAAAATTTTAGAAAAGCTCAAAGGAAATGTGCTGGCTGGTCCCCAATTTTTAAACCGGAAAAAAATTTGCTGAATCTTTTCCTAAAAATTCTGCTGGGTTTTTGTCTTCACTTTATATCACTAGACACAAAAAACGTCAAAAGATGCCAATCGGGAGGAAAAGGGCTTTTTGAAAATTCCTAAATAGACCCTACTAGGCTGCCTTTAAAGCGCACGTTCAGGGAGGGGCCGTATACTCGTCCCAACGTATACACCCTATGGACGTAGGGACCGCGTGCACGGCCTGCCCGTGCTGTGACAGGCCATTCCCCTCCTATCCGGGGTGGGGCGCCCCTCGCCCCCTTGCCAGGTTGTAGCTGTGGCTGACTGGTATCCATCCGCGCCTCCCGAGCGGGGGGCCCGGGTTCGACCCCCGGCCGCGGCAAAAACCTTTGCTTTTTTCCAAAAAAACGTCCCTGAACGTGCCCTTTAAGGCAACTTTTCCTAAATAATCTCTGACAGTTGGCCTTTTCCACAATGCGTGAAAACCAGCCAACAGAACACTCAAACTAAAAATTCAAGGGCAAAAATTAATTTAAAAAGCTTAGGGTGTCAGTAACCAGAAAAATTCCCAAAAAACCCTGCTAGTTCGCCTAAAAAATTGAAACTGCGAAAAAAAAACATGTAAAATTGCCAGACGTATTGATATTAACAAAAAATGAGGCCACCCAACGTCAAAATCACCTAGAAATATTTCCTTTAGAGCCGGCGAGTGATAAATGGGCGCGCTTCCCCAGCTTTTCTGTTCTCACTTTTTGTATCGGGATTGCGATGAGACAGTTGTCTCCTCCTTCTCCTCGTTGCCCTTGGTTTTTTGAACGGAGCAATGGACGCTTTTCGGGCGGAAGCTTCAAAATAATCTTTCCTAACTTACCATCAAAGTGAAAAAATAAAAAATTAGACACTACAAGTTTGAAATAACGTTGAAAACAAAAAATTTGCCTAAAAATTAATAAACATGGTTTTCCACCTGTCGCGCTGCCTTTAAAAATAGCGGCTAGTATTTTTCAAACTGCCAAACTAGATATATCAAAATACGGTAGTAAAATTTATCTGTAAAAGGCAAAACAAGACGCTAAAAAATTTAGCAGTACAGGACCGTACAATACCTTTTATATCAACTGGCACACAAAAATTGTATTGTGATCAGGCGCGTAGCCCGCCGCTCTCTCTCGAACTTTTGCCAATTCCTTAATACCTTCGTTAAGACCTCTTGGTCAAACAGAATGAGGGCCGGCCATGATATGGGGCGGATTATCACGGGGCGCGTGAAACGGCCCAGCCAGGTGCAAAACGGAAATGTTCGATGGTAGGATAGTGGAATGAGTACGCTGGGAGACTATCGACACTTTAGATGAAGCAGAGAACGAATGGTTAAAAAATTCAGCCTATCCTACTCTCTTTCTCTCTCTCTCTCTCTCTCTCTCTCTCTATCTATCTCTAGCTCCTTATCACTCACCCTCACTCTCTCACCCTCGCTCTCTCTCGGTCTCACTGTCTATGTCTCTCTCTCACTCTCACTCGCCCTCACTCTCACTCTCTCTCCCTTTCTATCACCCCGTCTCTCTCGCTCTCTCTCCCACTGCCTCTGTCTCTATCTGTCTCTCTCACTTGCTCACGCTCATTCTCTCTCTCTCACTCTCCATCTGTCACTTCGTCTTTCTCACTCGCTTTCTCATTCTCACTCTCTCTCTGTCTCTCTCTCTCTCTCTCTCTCTCACTATCGCTCTCTCTCTCTCACTCTCTCTTGCGCTCTATCTCTCTCTCTCTTGCGGCCTCGAAGGCTCGCGTTCAAATTAAAACCAAAAAAGTATTTCGTTAGTATCTAGCAATTTTTTATTATTTGATGTATAAAATAAGTTGTGAAAATAAACTTTTAAATGATTTAATAAGTAAAAGCAAACGTTTTCAAAATTTAGCTTAACATAAATCATCCGCCGGATTCGAATTGGCCGACCCGACCAAGCAGGAAGCGCCCGGCCGAGTGAGGGCACCCCCCGGAAAAAGGGCGACGTGATGGGGGCACAACAGCTCCACATCCATCCAGAGAACGAGCAAAAAGCCCGGCGAAAAAATGTCTGCCGATCTTGCGATGACTACGTGCTCCTAGGGCTGGCTAACGGGGAGCCCGTTTTTTTTTCGTAAAAATGGAGCCCGAATTTTCACGTAAATTCTTGGAGCGTTTTTAAGGGCAGCGTGCTAAAGTTGCTGTGAAAAGTAAATAAATGTTGCAAAAAATTCTTGATTCCTGAACTTGGAAACTCAACGTACAGAGAGAGAGAGAGAGCGAGAGAAAGAAAGAGAGAGAGAGCGAGAGAAAGGAAGAGAGAAAGAGAGAGAAGTGAGAGAGATGGTACAGAGATGGTCGAGAGACAGAGGGAGAGCGACAGAAAGAGAGGGAGAGAGAGACAGAGTGAGAGAGAGAGAAAGAGGGGGAGAGGTGAGGGGGGAGAGCAAGAGAGAGCGAAAGAGCGAGAGAGAGAGAGAGAGAGAGAGAGAGAGAGAGAGAGAGAGAGAGAGAGAGTAGAGTTTGGTGTCTTTAATCCCATTGGGCCTGCCGTCACACTACCTTTAGAATGACTTTCCAATGAGAGGGAGCGATATCAATCTAGAGAGGGAGGGACAGAGAGACAGAGAGAGAGAGAGGAAGAGAGAGAGAGAGCCAGAGGGAGTCATATTAGAGTGAAAGCGATGCGACACGCCCTTGAAATGCCGCCTGATTTTCTCACGCTATTACGTAATCGATTACTACACTTACTTCCACTCCGGAAAATTCGAGCTCACTAAAAAAACCGAACTTTGGACTGACGCACGCGCAAAAAACGTACCAGACAAATAATTTGATAAAAAAACGTCTGGGTTTGGTCACACACATGGCCGGGAAGTTGAATCCGGTGCGACCCGTTCTCTCTCTTTATCCTTCTTTCTCTTTGCTATAGGCTGCCCCCCTCGGGAAAATTGGATTCTTTTTCTCAGCTGGCCCCGAGGGCAAAAGGAGACGTGTTGAAGACGAGGGGGGAAAATAGCTGGGCTTCGACTGCGGAGGAAAACTGGAGTAAGAGCTTGAAAAATGGACCTGAAAACTAAAAAAAAAAAGAAAAAACGCTTTTATATGCCGAAAACAACGTTCAAGCGGCTACGAAGATTTTTTCAAGATGGATTATCAAAACCTTAATCCGCTTGAAACCCGGGACTACGGTAGAATACGTTAAAACTCGTGAACTGGTGATGCAACGAGAAGCCCGAACCTAAATCCCCCCTACCACATCCTGCCAATTGCATCACGGGCCCCAGGGAAAAATAAATGGCCCCGGGGCATGACGAAATTTGAACGTTTTCTGGGGCCCGGATCCTAGAGTATCTTCGGTTTTTAAAATCGGTATTTTGTAGGGTGGAGCTGGAAGCTAGGACCTGGAAGTTAACCAGAGGGAATTTGAGAGAAGTCGCGGGCTGGTGCTCCAAGCTCCACGATGGGGATCCTATTTTTCATTGCGCTTTCTCCAAAATGTATTTTTAGAAGCTTTTATGACACCGGTATTTTCCTGACATATTAAAATTACACGCAACTCAATATTATTTATTTATAAAAATACTATATTTATATTATTATAGCTTGCTCTTCTCCTTAATATTATTCGTCTGGATCGTCTTCAGGACGGTCTGTAGCCGCTGGAGAAGCGCCAAGTTTCCGGAAGCCCTCATCCGACGGGTCATGAAGGCCTTAAAGCGCACGTTCAGGCACGTTGAACGTATACTTCCTATTGACACCTGCGTCTCCCTCTTTTCCCAGTCCCTCGGCGTCAATAGGAAGTATACGTTCACCATAAATATACGTCCCTGAACGTGCGCTTTAAAAGGATATTTTTGAAGATACCTGCCATAAAAACTATTTAAAAATTGCCTTCCCTTTAATTTGCTAATTTAATTCATTCAGTTTTGTATATTGGTTGAAAAGCCAAAAAACAAAACATATTTTCTGACTTTCAAACCCTAGAAACCACGCCCACCTTTGCAGTATCCAACTCTCCCATGCAAATCTTCAAAAAATCCGCATCTTCGACGTTGAGCGTGACGTTGGCTCTGCCCTCATCCCCTTTCCGAATCCCCGCGTCTTTTGATTTAAAGTCGAATGCTTAAAAATATTTTATTTCTCATATACCCCTCAAAAACACTCTAATACGGGAACTTACTATATTGCTGTACCACCTTCCCGTCGTGCTCGAAATTCATCAAAAAGACGGCGTTGATCTTGCGAACGAGGGCCTGGTTTTGGCCGAGGCCGGCCTGCAAAATTTTTTGTATTATTGGTTGCGAAAATGCACAAAGAATCACTGCTAGCATGCCCTCGTTTACCAAAAAAAAAAAATAAAAAAATCTCTACCATAAGTTCAGGCTGTAAATACCAGGTTTTAGTTTCAAAATCCTTTTTTCGTAGCAAAAAAATCATAATAAACTAATGGACACACAAATAAACTCTGCTAGTATGCCCTTAAGCTAGTAAAAAAATGTGGTTTCTTATATAATCGTCACCTTAATCATAACAATAACGCAAAATTCGTTTTCTAACAGAAAAACAGCGTTTTTAGCGCCAAAATAACGGTTTCAGTGCTAAAAAGACCAAATAACCATGTAAAATCTAGAAACAAAAGTAGTAACCAATTAAACAGATTAAAATCTTGATTATTTCATAACCTTTAAATGGCTAAAATATAAAAATTAGATAAATTAAATCAATTTCGCAAAAACCCACCACCATCGCATCGAGCAACGGCTGGCACTCAAGCTGAATTTCCTCCGGCATTTCGCAAATTTCAGTAAAAATCAAATATGGCGAGTTGATGGCCTGAAAATGGAGGTGTTTGAGGAGGAGCAGGTGGAAACAATGAGCCCCACCCTCCGATCACACTCGATCGAATGATACCCACTGTAGTTTGCCGAAGATGGAGTGAGCGCGCTGACACTCCGGCCGGCCAGCCGTCGGTCTCTGAGCAGCCCGATCGTCAAATTGCGGGTGTTTGCCCTGGAAGGCTGTAAGCATCGAGCACGGCCTTGAACTTGTTGAAGGCGACGGCTTGTTTTGATAAGTTGATAACGGGTTTGTAAATTCCGTGAATTAAAATAAATAATTTTCGTCCAATTGTTGCTCGTTTGCCCAATAAATAGAAGCTAAAGCTTTTCTTTGTATTCGCTTCTTTAAAGCTTGAAGTAAGTTTAAACTTCCTGATAAAAACAAGCATATTATTTCATTAATATTATTACACCACGAAAAATTACCGTGTTAACGTGCTTCCCGCGCAACAGACAAAAAAAGCAAATTTTACGCAATAATAGGCCAATTTTGTATTTAACAAAGTCATATTTATTAATGGGTTTTTTAAATGATGCAGTAGCACTTTTCTCAAAAAAACATTGTTTAGTAGAGAAACATCATCCTATTACGTCATTTCCGGCACAAAAAATTTAAAAAATCGTTGTTTACGGCCGGTTTTTAGCTATTAAAAAGTCATATTTCGTCTATTCTTACCATCTGAAGCATAACCTCGCATTATGGCTCCAAATCCGACAATTTCAAGCCAAAAATCTCACCTCACAGACCTTTTAAACGCCGAGCCGTCTGGGGGCAGCAGCCTAAACTCCGACCCACCCACCGTACCTCTCATTGTCGATTTCCAGTGGCTAAGCGCCGTCAGCTTTTCCGGCCACGAGCTGCTTTCATAACTTGAAGCCCCGACAGCTAAAACATCAATAATTCGTCAAAATGCCGTTCGGAGATTACAATATGAAAAGCCCCGGTTAGTTTGGTATATTTTGCAGTAAAGATCCCCTTGCAGGCGTGCGCCGATTGATGAAGGAAGCCAGCGAACTGCGAGACCCCACCGAATACTTTGCGGCGTACCCCATGGAGGTTTTGGTTTTGTTTTTAGGTTCTAAAGATAGTTTAGGAAAACCTATTCGAGTGGCACTTCACCGTCCGTGGCCCGAGGGATACCGATTTTGATGGCGGGATTTACCATGGGCGCATCGTTTTCCCCGACGACTACCCGATGAAGCCACCGAATATTATGTTCTTTACGGTTGGATTTAGAATTGGACTTCTTTGCATAGCCCATTTTACTTTTATAAAATACCAGCGCCCAAAACCCGCTTCGCGGGCCTTGGCCGCTGGAATTGTGTCTTTGCATGAAAAATTTGACTTTCCGATAGCTCGGGTCCTTCGGACCCCTTCCCCCACCGACCACATTCGCGCATGCAAGCGTCAAGAATGAGAAAACTTCTATTTTTTTCACAATATGCAAATTACCCCCAAAATGAATAAAACCGGCTTTAACTTTGTAAACTTGTATTTTATCGAAATTCTGAGAACGTCATCGGAAACAGAAGGGTCGATTCCCCCGGGTGGCGGAGAATTAGGGCATTTTATGCACGGGAAGGCCCTTAAATCGGGCCTCGAAAGTGACATCCACACACACACACAGTTACACGCCAAAATTATATAAGGTAGGATTTTTGGCCCATGGTTATTTTTGCGGACAATCTTTTGTCGTCAGCGTCCAATTTTTCTAAAATAAACCGTGGAAACGTTTTCCACTGCTTTTCTTATTATAAACGAAATTTTTACAGATTTTTGATTAGCAATATAGATAATCTATTTTGCGAAAATTTCGAATTTTTAACCTTTCTGAAACGTTTATAAACATCTTGACGCTCGAAGTGTAGCTCAATTTTATAGAAAAACTTTGAAATAACGAGTTATTAAATTTCTGCGCTTGAAGGGAATAAGAAGACGAAATCCCCCCGCCCCCGATAATGCAAAAGAACCATATTATTTACTTTTTCAGCCGAACGGCCGCTGGGAGCTGAACAAAAAGGTATGCCTCTCCATCTCTGGCTACCACCCGGAAACATGGTTACCGAGCTGGTCAAGTAAGCGGCTTTCTGAAGATCATACAAACTTATAATTAAGTTCGCACGGCTCTCCATGCCCTCGTCGGCTTTATGGCGACCGATTCCGGCGGTGCCATCGGGGCCCTCGACTACCCACCAGCCGAGAGGAAGCGACTAGCCAAAGCGTATGTTTTTTGGAGTTTTCGAGGACTAATTCCGATTTAGAAGCGAAACATGGAAATGCAAGGAATGCGGCGCATGTATGAAGGATGCGCTTTTGCCACTCACCGAAGCTTCGGAAGCCATTGAAGGCGAGGCCAAGGAGCTGGCGAAGCAGCTGCAATTCAGGGTATCTTTTGAAAATGAAGCTGAAACCAATTTTCTGATTGGACGATAACGGATTTTTAAACGAATTTATTGAATAAATAGCAAAAGCAAAGTATCATTAATAGCTTTGTAACTCTACAAAATTGCCAAGCCTTTTAGAACGTAAAATCTGAAGCTTGTGACCAATATAGCCATTTACATACATCTTTTTTGCGAAAATCAGCAATTTTCTGAAAAAAATGTTTGGCTTTAGTACAATTGTTGCTGTTGCTAGATTAAAACGTAGGATTTTATTTAGGACGAATCCGCCGTAAAAGCCGAAGTGGCCGCCAGCAGCCAAGCTAGCGCCCCCGTCGAGAACAACGTTTCGCCAAAGAAGGAAGGATCTGCGGATGAAGACAAAGAAAACAAGGCCCCCGTTGTTTCGTCGCCGGAAAAGAAGCAGCCGGAACAACAAGACGTTCGACCCACGGTGGAAGAAACGACGCCTGAGGACCCGAAAATGACTCCCAAAACGGAAAAGGTTGTTTTAGGAAAAATGGGTTTTGTACTGGTGTTTAGCCCGGAACATCTACATCCACTGGAGAGCCGACGTTGCGGCGTCGGACGGCTGGCCTACGAAGTCCTTTGGTTAGTGGTTTATTAGAGGTTACGAATGGTAGCATTTTTGGTTCCGAGTAGTCTTGTTAGACCTGTGAATTAATATTAGACAAAAAACACTCGGTATTTCAGACAGACTTTTAAATTTTAAACAGCTCTCGAGGTTTTCTAAGTCGTGTTTGTGCTTCGAATATAGGAATTTTTTTGCAGAAGAGTTTGGTTGCCTCTCGGTATGCAAAAGAACCTGAGCGAACTCGGCTTATCTAAACTTATCGTTTCTTTTCAGCCCAGCGCTCAACGCCAGAACACCAGCGACGTCGTTGCCGAAACCGAATCCAGCCCTTGGACCGTTCTGATGATGATCCCCGTCTTCCTCGCCCTCTGCGTCGTCGGACTCGTGCTCACCGCCCGCCTATACTTCAAATAACACGCCCACTTCTGCCTCGTCCAAACTCCTCAAAAACTCAAGTTGACCACGTCTAGCCATCCAGCTCACTCTTGTCATTCAGCGGTGAAAAAAAATGTGTGTTTTCTCGCTTTAGTTTCCCCTAGTCTCCTCCCAACGCGCTCCCGTAGAGCTTTTTGTGTCTCCTGTGATTTCTCACCGCCGGTTCAAAAGGGGGCCATCCGCCTCGCCTCTCCTTTCTTTGTGTATCTGCAATTTCAGCGGAATAAACGGTATTATGGTAATTTTATTCGTTCACAACATTCACCTCGATTTCGCCGGTGTGCCAGTCGCCTGGAAAATGTAATTATGTATCTTGCTGTACGTGGAGCTTATGCTAACCTTTTTCTCTCCGCCGTCCGCCCGGTCGTCATCCGCCTGAATAGCATTGTTATAGCCGTGGGAATCTCGTGGCATTTTGCGCTAATGGCAACAAAGTTCAACGTACTGTTCAGGAAAGTAATCGGCTGTTTTGGAAGCTATCGGCGAATTTGGCACTTTAGTAAGTAAAAGCGTTCGTAGATTTTTTTATAAGATTTGACATTTATAGTAAGATAATAGCAAATATCTTAATCGTTTTTCATCCCATTTAGCTATACGTAACTTGGAAAAAGTGCTTAGAAACTCGGAAACTGTTTTGAAATCTTAAATTTCGTAGAAAAATCTATATTTTTAGTATTTTCAAGAAACATTTCTCACGTTTCTGGTATAGGCGGATTAAAAATAGGGTAGAAAGACTTATTCTAAACATATAACAAAAATTAGCTGCACAGAAGAATTATGTGCCGCCACGATTTTGCGAAAGCACGGTAAAACTAAATAATCGTACCAATTTCGGGTGTTTCGCTTCTTCCGGTTGCTTCTTCTCATCTTCGGCTTCTTCCTTCTTCAGCGCCTGCTTCACCGTGTCAAAAGCCTTCACCACAACGTCACGAACCTAAAAACGGATAACTGAAGCGCATGTTCCGCCCGAATTTTCATGAACCAAGGGCCCATGGTCACCCGGATATTTAGGGGGACCTTGTAGGCGTATTCAGCGATTTTCTTTACATTCTGGAAGAGAGCGCGCGTGAAGTCGACGACTTGCGAGAAGGGCGACGGTTCGGTGGAAGAGTCGTTTTTGGCGGTCTAAAAAAAAGGGCGCTATTTCGGAATAGGGGACCCACTTTGATTACTCTAAAAACCACTTCTTCTGGTGTAATTTTGCGCGCTGGTTCCGAAATACGGTGTCCCAGTGCGTTAACTGCGCTAAGTATAATCTAAGTATTGGAACACACACGCTTCCGTGTTTTAATAACAGCTTATCGCGACCTTACTTTACGTGACAGGGGCGAAGAGCCGGCCTAGTTTACAGGTGGGCTTTACTCACGTTAACATAGATCAGGGTCGCCTAGACTTGGTCTCAATGAATCTAAGATCGGGCTTACTAGCATTTAGCATTAAAGCCTCAAAAACGGAGCTAGGAGTGCATTGTAGCCAAAAGTCGGGCCTGCGCCGCTAGGTTCCCTAGCAGCCCATTAAACTAAAATCAAATTTTTTTGTGAAAATGTTAGGTTTTAAAGTTAGTGAGGTGTTTTTTCGGAACCAGCGCGCAAAACTATCCAGGAAAACATCGCACAAACCCCAGTTTTGGTATAATAAAAGTGGGTCCCCTATTCCGAAATAGCGCCGACAAAAGAATCTTAGAAATGTAAAAATGGGAGAAAATTACCGTGATATTGTTAGCAGAGTCGAGCAGTTCTTCGGTTTTCTTTTCGGATGGGGTATTGGCCTGAAAACTATGTAAAGACAGGCAAAAAAAATAGTAATACCGAGACAGCGATCACTGCAAATGCCACAATAGTAAAGAGGAACAAAGCATTCGTGGGTTTCATCTGGAAATGGGATGAATATTCAGCTTTACAAGTAGTTTACCCGAAAATTACTTTACACCGAAAATCCAGATTTTTACGAGTCTGCAATTTTTTTTCAAGCCTCTTTTTAGAACCTTTGAACTCTTAGAAAGCCGAGTAAAGCGCTAGAATATTTTATTTAGGCAGAAAAAGCGTTGATTAAAGCCCAGCCGACTGCATAGGATGAAACCCTAACTTTTAACAGTCTTATTCGACTCAAAAAAGCAAGATTTCACTAAAATCCTGTGATTTTTGGGGGTCCGGGAGGGCTAATTTGCATAATGTGAAAAAATACAAATTTCCTCATTCTTGCCAGTTGCACTCGCGAGTTTGGTCGTCTCTTTGGATCTGCCTCTCGATGCCTTTCCTTCCCCTGCCCCGGGCAGTCCTCTTGAGGCATAAAACGGGTGTTTGACGCGTGCTACCAAGCATTGCATGGTGTAGTGGTTAGCGTTTCGCCGTGCTAATCTAACCATCGGAGGTTCGATCCTCGGACATTTTAGCTGTTTTGCTTTTTGCTCGGAAAGCGCGTTTCGGAGTGGATTTCCGTGTAAGGACGTTATTATGAAGTTAGTCACTCAAGCCGCAGCCTATAGAATGAAGCTACCCGCTCAAGCATGCGCTGCAGGCCAAGGAATCAAGCTAACTGCTCAAGCTAGCGCCGCAGGCTTTATAACGAAGCCAGCCGCTCAAGCTAGCGCCGCAGGCTTAGAACGAAGCCAGCCGCTCAAGCTAGCGCCGCAGGCTTTAGAACGAAGCCGGCCGCTCAAGCTAGCGCCGCAGGCTTCAGAACGAAGCCAGCCGCTCAAGCTAGCGCCGCAGGCTTCAGAACGAAGCCAGCCGCTCAAGCTAGCGCCGCAGGCTTCAGAACGAAGCCAGCCGCTCAAGCTAGCGCCGCAGGCTTTAGAACGAAGCCAGCCGCTCACGCTAGCGCCGCAGGCTTTAGACCGAAGCCAGCCGCTCAAGCTAGCGCCGCAGGCTTTAGAACGAAGCCAGCCGCTCAAGCTAGCGCCGCAGGCTTCAGAACGAAGCCAGCCGCTCAAGCTAGCGCCGCAGGCTTTAGAACGAAGCCAGCCGCTCAAGCTAGCGCCGCAGGCTTTAGAACGAAGCCAGCCGCTCAAGCTAGCGCCGCAGGCTTCAGAACGAAGCCAGCCGCTCAAGCTAGCGCCGCAGGCTTTCAGAACGAAGCCAGCCGCTCAAGCTAGCGCCGCAGGCTTCAGAACGAAGCCAGCCGCTCAAGCTAGCGCCGCAGGCTTCAGAACGAAGCCAGCCGTTCAAGCTAGCGCCGCAGGCTTCAGAACGAAGCCAGCCGCTCGAGCTAGCGCCGCAGGCTTTAGAACGAAGCCAGCCGCTCAAGCTAGCGCCGCAGGCTTTAGAACGAAGCCAGCCGCTCAAGCTAGCGCCGCAGGCTATAGAACGAAGCCAGCCGCTCAAGCTAGCGCCGTGGGCTTTAGAACGAAGCCAGCCGCTCAAGCTAGCGCCGCAGGCTTCAGAACGAAGCCAGCCGCTCAAGCTAGCGCCGCAGGCTTTAGAACGAAGCCAGCCGCTCAAGCTAGCGCCGCAGGCTTCAGAACGAAGCCAGCCGCTCAAGCTAGCGCCGCAGGCTTTAGAACGAAGCCAGCCGCTCAAGCTAGCGCCGCAGGCTTTAGAACGAAGCCAGCCGCTCAAGCTAGCGCCGCAGGCTTCAGAACGAAGCCAGCCGCTCAAGCTAGCGCCGCAGGCTTCAGAACGAAGCCAGCCGCTCAAGCTAGCGCCGCAGGCTTCAGAACGAAGCCAGCCGTTCAAGCTAGCGCCGCAGGCTTCAGAACGAAGCCAGCCGCTCGAGCTAGCGCCGCAGGCTTTAGAACGAAGCCAGCCGCTCAAGCTAGCGCCGCAGGCTTTAGAACGAAGCCAGCCGCTCAAGCTAGCGCCGCAGGCTATAGAACGAAGCCAGCCGCTCAAGCTAGCGCCGCAGGCTTTAGAACGAAGCCAGCCGCTCACGCTAGCGCCGCAGGCTTTAGACCGAAGCCAGCCGCTCAAGCTAGCGCCGCAGGCTTTAGAACGAAGCCAGCCGCTCAAGCTAGCGCCGCAGGCTTCAGAACGAAGCCAGCCGCTCAAGCTAGCGCCGCAGGCTTTAGAACGAAGCCAGCCGCTCAAGCTAGCGCCGCAGGCTTTAGAACGAAGCCAGCCGCTCAAGCTAGCGCCGCAGGCTTTCAGAACGAAGCCAGCCGCTCAAGCTAGCGCCGCAGGCTTCAGAACGAAGCCAGCCGCTCAAGCTAGCGCCGCAGGCTTTCAGAACGAAGCCAGCCGCTCAAGCTAGCGCCGCAGGCTTCAGAACGAAGCCAGCCGTTCAAGCTAGCGCCGCAGGCTTCAGAACGAAGCCAGCCGCTCGAGCTAGCGCCGCAGGCTTTAGAACGAAGCCAGCCGCTCAAGCTAGCGCCGCAGGCTTTAGAACGAAGCCAGCCGCTCAAGCTAGCGCCGCAGGCTATAGAACGAAGCCAGCCGCTCAAGCTAGCGCCGTGGGCTTTAGAACGAAGCCAGCCGCTCAAGCTAGCGCCGCAGGCTTCAGAACGAAGCCAGCCGCTCAAGCTAGCGCCGCAGGCTTTAGAACGAAGCCAGCCGCTCAAGCTAGCGCCGCAGGCTTCAGAACGAAGCCAGCCGCTCAAGCTAGCGCCGCAGGCTTCAGAACGAAGCCAGCCGCTCAAGCTAGCGCCGCAGGCTTCAGAACGAAGCCAGCCGCTCAAGCTAGCGCCGCAGGCTTTAGAACGAAGCCAGCCGCTCAAGCTAGCGCCGCAGGCTTCAGAACGAAGCCAGCCGCTCGAGCTAGCGCCGCAGGCTTTAGAACGAAGCCAGCCGCTCAAGCTAGCGCCGCAGGCTTTAGAACGAAGCCAGCCGCTCAAGCTAGCGCCGCAGGCTTCAGAACGAAGCCAGCCGCTCAAGCTGTCGCCAAAGGCCAAAAAAGGAGGCTAATCCCTCAAGCTTGGGCCGCAGGATGAGGTAGCGACCTAGCCGATCAAACATGCGCCGCAGGCCTAATAACCAGACTAACAGTTCATTTTTGCGCCGCATGCCAATACAAAGAGCTTTGCATGGGAGATGGGTTTTTCTTTCTTCAGGATAACTGTCTGTGGAAGGGTGCTCGATTCATAAGGCCTAGACGGGGTCCAGCGGGGGAGAGTCGCGAAGCGGCTCCTCCCCCGCTGGTGTGCTACATAAAAGAAGTCGACTTACAAGGGAAGTGCACGAACTTAAGGTGGCCTTTCTTTTTCAAAAGAAGTGGGTCTGATAGAGTCGAACACGGGGATTCCGAATCTGTAATCAGAATCTGCTAAATGAAACGGAGAAAAAAGTTATGAGGCTTCAAAGTTAGCAAAATCGACAAAAACGGTACCTTTAGCGGCCTGTAAAAGGCGCGGAAGCGAAATTGAGGAAAAACCGATTGGTGCATCTTGTTCAGCAGAAAAAGCTCTTTCGAATGAGCCTTAATATGTAGCAATTACAGATAATTTGTCAAAAAGCTTCTTTTTAATTCACAGGTAAGGGTAGAGCCTGTGGAAGTCATCGAAGAGATTTCCGCGAAATCATCGTATACTTTTTGAATGATAGCTCATTCGAAAGAGCTTTTTCTGCTGAACAAGATGCACCAATCGGTTTTTGCTCAATTCCGCTTCCGCGCCTTTTACAGGCCGCTAAAGGTACCGTTTTTGTCGGATTTGCCAACTTTGAAGCCTCAAAACTTTTTTCTCCGTTTTATTTAGCAGATTCTGATTACAGATTCGGAATCCCCGTGTTCGACTCTATCAGACCCACTTATTTTGAAAAAGAAAGGCCACCTTAAGTTCGTGCACTTCCCTTGTTAGCTGAAAAAGCTTGTTATTAAGGCGTTTCTAAATACTTTCATGACTTTTCTAGCTTTCCAAAAAATAATTATTGTTGAAACCAGCGGGGGAGGATAGCCAGATAGGGAGAAGATGCTGATTTAGCCAAAAAAAAACTTAATGTAAATGTGTTCTAAACTCTTCGAAGACTTTTCTCGCTTTTAAAAACTATAGAGAGTATCAAAAATAGTTTATTTCTAAAGAAAGCATTTAAGACTGTTAAAACCAAGACCAAAAACTTACCTCGAACCCGATGCGCCGCCGCCCCGAACCCGTAAGACGATGTGGCAGCGGTTGGATGGAGTGGCGGGTGGATGGTAGACCCGGTCGAGCTGACCCAGTCAATACATCGAAGCGGACCCACACATGTGTCGTGTGAACAAGAAGGTCGTTAGCATTTCGAACAATGCCCCGCTCCGGAAGAGAATCGTCGATAGTATCGACCGTACTCCCGCAGAACATCCCGATGACGTCATCAACGGCGGCTTTGCTTTGTAAAATCGGATCATCGTTGTTTTCGCGAAAACTTGGTGATTGATGACTTAGAGATGGGCCAGAAATCGTCTTCTCTGCCTGCGAATTCTTTGGAATTTGGGGCAAAATTAAAAACGGTGGTCTGTGAATTAATACGGATTTTGTAAGGTAGGATTTTGGTAATTTTTTGGACATTTTAAGATAATTTTAATAAGAATAATTTTTAAAATAGATTTTGGTTCAGGGGCTTTGCCTTAGCTTTTTACGTAATCAAAAATTTTTTAAGATGTCGAAAATGTCGAAACACTGAATTTCCATGTGGAAACCACGTCTTAGCTCTTATTTTTGCCATAACCAACTTCTTTTGGGGTATTTTGAGCTGAAATCGAGACGCTAAGCATAGTTTTTGTTGCTCTATCGAACCGCGTCTTCGAAATGTCGAAAAATCTAGGAAATGTCGAAAAAACGAGCATTACTACCCACATTTCCAGAGTCATTTTTGTTGTAAATAAACGGTAAATTTCGCCAATTATCAATTTATAAATACCACCATTTCAATCCCCGAAAAATCGGCAGGTGATGCGGATTATGGCTACTTCCGCCCTTCCTGGAATTCGCTAGCAATATGCTCAAAAATGTTGAGAAATAACCCCAAAAACACGCCCAAAAAATCCGGGCCACCCTGGTAAAATTCCCATCTGCATTGCTCTGAACTACGGTAGGTGGTGGGCATCCACAAGCTCCAACTACCGTTTTTCGGTTGTGTTTTGGATGTAGTCAACTACCAACCGTGTGAGCTGCTTGGAAAGCTCGGCATCACCTACCGCACCCTTCGCACGACCATTAGTGCCACGCGCACCTGCCTGTTTTTCAGGAATTGCAGCGTGAAGGTAGCAAAAAGTTGAACGAAAGGCAGGTCCACCTGTGTTTCGGGCCCGATAATTGGCTGGCTTGGCAATAAGGAGAAAGAAAAATAAATTGAAAAATCTTTGGACTTTCTGACGCGATTTTCCTGGTTGAAATCGGAATAATCAGACTTTTAAGCGTAGCTATTTTTCTGATGCCAAACCTTGGCAAATTACCTGGTTTGAGCCAGGAGTTGGGCACTGGAAGTTAACGAAATTAGGGGCGTCGCGTTCACGTTGGGCAAACTTCTTTTAAACTTTTTTTTCCAAGCGGGTTCCAGCTCCCATCCCGGTTCCTGCTCCTGACCCCAATTGGGGCGGAAGGGTCTTTGAATTTAGCTTCTTTGAAGGTATATCACCATATCACGTGAATATACACTTTGGGGGAAATTCTGTTGGCTCCTAGCTCCCAGATTCCAGCTCCTAACTTCCAGCTCCGAGCTTCCAGCTTCTCGCACTTCCGGTGCAGCCGTTTCCTTCCCAAGCGAGACGACCTCAAAACCAGGTTTTCCCCCCTTATCAATGCTTGCGGCCCTTTTCGCAACGTCAGAATATTCCAATCCGCTCCCGGCTCCTTGCTGACCGCAGCTCCAGATTCCAGCTCCTGGCTTTCGGCCCACAGTGCTTTAAGATCTCAGTATCTACCGGGAAATTCTGGATTCCCGCACAGGAACTCAAGTTGCTGCTCAGCTGCTCGAGTTGCTGCGCGCTGAGCAGCAACTCGCGCTCGAGCTCCCCGCTTTTCGATTCGGTCTCTGGTTTTCAGACAGCTAGTGTGTGTGTTTAGCGTGAAGAATTGCTATTAATTCGCGGATGGCTACAACTTTGAGTTATCGAAGGCTTCCATCCGTTCCATCGGTGTCCGCATCGAGGTCAAGCTCCTTGACTGGAAACTCCCGGCTCCTTGCTTTAGCCTCAATTTTCAGGGGCGCGGCGAATTGCGATATCTCTCTCATTAATGCGTGAATCACCCGATCTATCTATTTTAAAGGTACTGGGAAGTCCGTAATTCACGTGAGGAGCAGATTCGAGCAGCCATGTTTCAGGTGAGCTAACGCCAGAAAAGCTTTTCAACAAAAAATCTTTAAATTCTAAGAAAAATACATGGATCAACAGGAGTACGTTATTTAACTATATTCTAGCTTATCTTTGCACTTTTTGGAAATTGTGGGTGCCATTTTCGACGACGTGACCACCCCCCGCAACATTCCCGGAAATTAGGGAATTCCTCCCCCGTTCGCCACCCAGTTTTCCAGACATAGCGTGAATTATCTTATTTGTCCAAAACTTGCTCTCACTCCCCCTCTCTCTCGCTCTCTCGCGCTCTCTCTCTCTCTCTCTCTCTCTCTCTCTCTCCAGAAAAACATTTAGCTTTTCCGTGGCTTCTCCTGGGCTAGAAGTGGTGGGAGGGTGGCGACTCAACTCTCATGAAATTATCACAAAACCACCTTGTTTTTTGACGACTTTTCCCCGGGTTTAAGAGGTGAGGGTGAGGGCGGAAATTCAGAATTTTCTGGGGTACACCTCACCTACCTGATTGGTTTTTATGTTATTGCTGTAGGATACCGTAATCTGCATACTTTTAGTTCAATTTTTCGACACTTATGTATTTCCCTTTTTGTGCTTTTAAAAGGTATACGGTAGCTTTTAAAGGGACAGCGACAGACATCGATTAAAATCATTAATTTTCCCCTAGATTTTCAGAGAATGCAATTAGAATGCAAAGTCGATTTCAGGTTAAATAGATCTTTTGCGTTATCGGTGGGGGAATGGAAAAAGCCATTTTTTTTTATACAGCGCGATTAACGCAATGATGCGTTTTTAATCGTTTAACCAGACTCGACGGAAAATTTAACCAGATTCCAGGTGCAAAAACTATCGAAAAAGTTTTGGATTGTATGCAAACCAGGTCGAAACACGATCATTTTGGTCGAAAAATCCAATTTTATAAATTTCAATAAAAATTGTAAAGTTTTTAGGTCTAGAAATAGTCTAAAAACCAGTCTAAAAACAATTCTCAATTTATATTAGAAATATGAGTTTCCCTTTTTATATCTACGTGCCCGGACCCGTTGACACTTTTCTACAGTAACCCTTCTGTTATATTTGTCATTTTTACAAGCTTTTTTCATGTCTATCTATTTCCGCTTTCGAAAATCATCCCCTAGAGATAAAGGTAAGGGAGCTGACGTCTAAAGCTTTGGGTTCAAGTTGCCCTTATTTTCCCTGTTCCCCCGATTATTGCACTCTCGGATTTGCAACGTATTCCTCTCTACATATCTTCATTTTTGTGCCCAAATCGGCCGATTCGCATTAACCGCACCACGAATCAGAAAATTAGCCAGAAATCGGCCAGCCAAAAGCTACCGTACCCCCTTGAGTCAGCAAAACCACGCTGGAAATCGCGTAAATTTTTATTTAATCGGATCGGCTCCAAATTCGGGGGTCCCGCGGGGAGTTTCCGCGATTTTACGATGTTTGCTGGTTATTGGGGCCCCGGAGGGAATTAAGGCAGACTCGTTATTGAGATACTGTATTGTTGCAATTCTTGGAACCTAGAAAGGGTCATATCAAAGGCTACGTCTAGGCAGAGTAGTTTGTTAATTTGATTCTTCCTGCTGCGGCTCACTAGTTAGGCTTGGGCTTGGCTTTGGCTTAGGGTTGGTTTAGGCTTAGCTTAGCTTGGGCTTGGTTGAGACCTGGCTTCGACTTAGCTTACAAGGAGACGTTTTTGGTGTGAATGGAGTTCTGAGTGGAAACCAGGCCTATTTTGTGCAAAATTTTGCGCTGATTCCGAATATGTTTTCCATTTCTGCTAAATAGCTCGATTTCAAAAGTTATAGCAATTTTAAGGTCATTTTAGCCCAAATTTTCCTCTCTTTAGGGACCATTATATTGCTTTTCCCGGCTGTTTTTCCAAAAATAAATATCGTCACCGTATTCAGAAAAATTTTCTCTATCGAATGAGCTATTTAACTCGAAATTGTTGAAAATCGAAAAAATCGACGATATGGGCTGCGATTTTTGTATGGGAAATGGTGAAAAACAGCCGATTTGTCACCTCTGTAAGCCATCGTCGATCGGCAGTAGCGCACTAATCAGATTTACCATTCAAATTAGAAAAAATTCTCTACAAGATAGGCTACTTAAACAAAATTAAAACGTTATAACAAAAAATTAGCACAGCATAGCATATGGCTACTCTGGGCCTAAAAATTATCTGAAAATAGCTGTAACTTTTTAAATCGCGCCATTTAGCAAAATTGGCAAACAGCATTGGAATCAGCGCGAAATTCTGCACAGACCAGGCCTGGTTTCAACTTAAAACTCCATTCACACTAAAAAACGTCTCCTTGTTAGGCTTGGCTTCGGCTTGACAGAGGCTTTGCTTAGGCTTTGTTTTTAGGTCGCCGGCTCCTCCAGTCAAGCTGATCTTTCCATTGTCTAAAAAAGTTCAGTTTTTCAGGTTCCCCAGGGGCTTCTTATCAACTTCTTTTCCGACTTCTACGAATTCCTAGCCGCTACCGTATTTTCAACGCTATTTGACCCAAACCGCCCGTATTTCACACGAGTTCAAGCCGACCAGATGATTTTCAGTTGGTGAGTTGTTGGAAAAACGTAAGGATTTTGCTTGAACGGCTTGAAGTCGCGGTGCTAGCTTGGACGTTCGAAGTTATCAGCATAGACTCGAACCGAACGGCTTGAACTTGTTGCTGTACATTCCCATGAAATGCAAAAGAAATCCCGAAATTTACATTTCCAGGCTCACCGAGCTCGGCTCAGCTTTCCAATACTATGGACAAATCACCTACATTCAACCCGGATTCTGGGGACCGTCGATGGAGGTTACGGTATGTGGCTTAAGGCAGGCAGGCTAGCATGGATTCTTGAGGAAATTCATATCTATCTCACGAGGCCTAGTGAAAATCTAGGGTCGATTTTTGGCTTTTTAGCGTTTTTAAAGGGACAGCGACGGTCTGAAATCATGAATTTAATTAATAAAAAACATTCATTACGTCGATAGGATCGCTGCGTAGTCTTTAATTTTTCCATATTTTCAGTGCTACGGACTCCCCTGCGTCACCGTACTCGCCTTCCTTTGTGGTCTTTTGGCCAGCCACCCGAAATTGATGCGTGAATATCAGGTATGAAAATTGTTTTAATTCCTTGGGTACTGAAGTACGAAGATTACGGTAGCCAAAAATTGTGCATTAAAAACATATTTCGCAAAAGCACAACTTCTAGAATTCCATCACCTTCATGACGTTCACCTGCTTCTTTACGGCCACCCCGATCGTGTGGTACAATGTGATGATTTTTATTGGGATGTCGGTAAGGCAAAGTTTCCAAAAATCGATTAATTCAATTTTTTAAGCTAACCAGCGGGAAATTCACGTTCTCCCTGTTCAGCTGCACGTTCTGGAAAATGAGCACGTTGTCGCTGTGGTTTTGCTCATTTTTGGTGCCGAGCGTAGGTTTTTCAAATTCGAAATTTCGAATTATGGACACCATCCCGAAAAGACACCATCCCGAAAGACACCATCCCGAAAAATTTGCATGCGAAAACTTCATTAGCATAGAAAAATAGCTCCTTTTTCTATAGTAGAGCTGACTTTTCGCATGCAAATTTTTCGGGATGGTGTCTTTTCGGGATGGTGTCCATCTACCGTTTTTCAAAGGATTTGGACATTTTAAGGGGAGCATGACATGAAGGGGACTGGTCTTAAAGGGGGTGTGAGGGAGGAGCATGACCCAAGAGGAACTTGTGTCCTTTAGCATGAACATGAAAGAAAGGAGCTTGAGTCTTTTAGCATAAGCATGGCAGAAAGGGGCGCCAGTCTTGAGCACCAGCTTGGCAGAAAGGGGCTCGCGTCTTTTAGCACGAGCATGACAGGAAAGAGCTTGAGTCTTTTAAAGTGAGTCCGAACTCAAAGTGCCTGTTTTAAAGGCTTCGCAATCAAGAAAACTATTTTAAAAGGAGTACGACTCCACGCTAAAAACTTTTTAAAATGGGTGATGACTCCGGAAAACTCCATTTTTAGGTAGTAGCCTTTAACCGCTACCTGCTCATCGTCCGCGACCGGCACGTGACCATCGGGTTCTCCTTCAAAGTCCTCATGCTCGTCTACTTTCCCATGGTCTGTTGTCAGGCCGTACAGGTTGTACTCTGTAGTTCAGTTGATCGTCGACATCCTCCACTTTTTTATTGGTATCCCCAGCCCGAACGACACGTGCGCCAAGCTTTTATATGTTAATTTGTCGCCGGTGCCAGAGGTATGGAGCTCAAAATCTAGAAAAGTTTAAAAATAAAAAGCTAAAAATATCTGAAATAATGGTTTCTACCGTAATCCACAATCCAATTTTTTAGCTCTACACTCTCTATGTATTTGCCATCAGCTTCACGGGGGTGCTATCCGGGAAGCTGACACTGATGCATCTCAGGAAGCAGATCAAGGCGCACGGTAAGGGATACTGTACACAGGAGTATGGTTGAATCGTCAAAAAACGCACTAGAATTTTATCCGCGCATTAATGAAAATCAAATTCTCCAAGAATCTCTGCTAGGCTCACAGTTCCTAGAGAAAAAAAAACAGTAATTCGCAACATGTTTACAGTTTCTAGTCCTTTGAAAGATTCCTACGAAAACTTCAAATTTTTTAGAAAAAAGTGCAAAAGGATATATTTCTGCGCGGCCCATCCTTTAAGAATTTTTTTATTGGTTTTTGTCGGAATACGGTAACAGCAGATAAATCACCGTTGTTATCACAGCATCTCGAGCTTTCCACGCAGTAAAATGGCTGATTTCTCCGTTTTTCAGGCACTATCGTCAACGATCGTCAACTAGCCAACGTCATCTACCGCCAAACGTGGATCCCCTTTCTCGCCACCACTTTTTTCGTCTTCTCCAATTTGGGCATGATCACAGAAAGTACGGTTTCCAGGAATAATCCTTAATCTGTGTATATTTTTAAGCTTTTCCTGGCGTTTCAAGGCTAAAGAACGGCCCGGATTCTCGAAAACTAGCCATTTTTCCGTTCACCTTGAATTGAGGCTAATTAATCCCTGCGGGGGTAGCGAAATTTTTTAGGGCCGGAAAAACTTGAGAAAATCTCACCTAAAAAGGTTGAAATTCAGCGGATACAGTAACCAGATGGCTTTAAAAATCGACCACTTTTTAGTGTACGCGGTGCCGGTGTGGTTCTCACGGCCTGCGAATATTTATGCCGTCATTGGGACGACGCTTTTTATCCCGTTGATTACGTTGGTGATGGTAAGTGGGAGAGGGAGAAAGGGAGAAAGGGAGAGAGAGAGCGAGCGAGAGCGAGTGAGAGCGAGAGAGAGAGAGAGAGCGCGCGAGAGTGAGATACATGGACACAGAGAGAGGCTGAACTGGAGCTTATTCTCCAATTTCAGGCGAGCAAAGTACGAGCCATCGCCTTGGAGACGTTCGGATGTGGCCAGTGCCTTAAATACCGCATAACGCTCTCCAAGGATCCGTCCAGCCGAGGCCCTACGCAAACGGCCGTTAGTATTGTTACGGTATCATAAAAAAATCATTGGTAACTTACTCTCTTTCTCTCTCAATCTCTCTCTCTCTCTCTGTGTCTCTCTATGTCTCTCTCTCTTTGTCTCTCATTTTCGCTCTCCCTCTGAACAGATCGACCACATGCTCCTTGAATTTATTCCCTAATAGCTCTGAATTGTGTAGAGTTCGCCTTCCGGGTAGTACATAGTAGTATCGTACCGTACCTTACCATATATTTTTACGCGTTCGTGTTTTGGACTGTAGTGTACTGTGTACTGTGTACCTTGCACCCATTCATGTGATAAACCTTTTAAACCATTTATTCACAAGGCAAGAGAAAATATCCAATTTCCCCCGGGGGCTTAATTGGCCATCAGCGGCGTCTCGTTGTCGGCGGTCGGCTCGAGGATGCGCTCGACGGCTCGGCCTGGAAAAAAATTCGGGTTATAATTAAACATCCATAAAAACGTGTAAAAATGCAGTAAGGTAGGCTAGAGTAACCAACGGGAAAATTGCGTTATATGGTCACTAAACGGATTTTGGATTTTTATATACCAAGATGCTCAGCAGTTCGAGCTGGTTCAGGATCAGTTGAAAAAACTATTGGGAAACACTTCTGGAGCGAGTTATAACACTTCAAAGTTGGCGAGTGTCGTATATGGTCACTAAACGGATTTTCGATTTTTATATGTCAAAATGCTCAGCGCGCCGAGCTGATTCTAGAACAGTTGAAAAAACTTTTGGGAAAAATCTCTGTCGCGAGATATCTAGCTTACAAACCGTCCATTCAGCCCCTGAAGGAGTACGTAGTACACCAAAATACGCCAACCGTACATCGGAAAGAAACGGAATGGTGGAGAATTGCCGTTTCAAGGGTAAAAAAATACATTGTCAGGCAAGGTGGGCCGTCGCTTCGGATGGGCTGCCGCTCCACTCTTCCGAAATCGGGGCGCCCCCGGCCGCTTCGCCGGCCTTGGCACCCCCATTTCGAAACCCTGTACGAGCTCGCACCCATCCGAAGCGACTAGGCCCCGGGGTGGCACGAAGCCTTATTTTTAGGCTCAGATCGGGTGTGTAGTTTCATGCCAAACCCATTTCGAACCCAACCATTTTTCGCAACACCGAAAACTGACTCGCCGGGGCGACAACGTTATGTAGTGGGACGGGGTGACGCCAAACTTTGTAGTGGTATATCTCGCTCCAGAAGTATTTCCCAAAGGTTTTTTTAACTGTTCTAGAATCAGCTCGGCCCGCTGAGCATTTTGACATATAAAAATCCAAAATCCGTTTAGTGACCATATACGACACTCGCCAACTTTGAAGTGTTATAACTCGCTCCAGAAGTGTTTCCCAATAATTTTTTCAACTGATCCTGAACCAGCTCGAACTGCTGAGCATTTTGGTATATAAAAAGCCAAAATCCGTTTAGTGACCATATAACGCAATTTAGCCTAACCAACCGTACTCGACGACGATCGTCACGAGGTCGCAGATGACGAGGAAGTGCGTGTACTGGACGCGGTCGATGCCGGCGAGGAGGTTCATCACCTGGAAAGCCGTGGAATCCGAGTGGTTCGGGGAGGTTCAAGACCTAGGCTTAGGCTTGGCTTGGATTAGGCTTGGCTTAGGCTTGTCTTAGGCTTGGCTTAGGCTTGTCTTAGGCTTGGCTTAGGCTTGTCTTAGGCTTGGCTTAGGCTGGGCTTGGGCTTGGCTTAAGCTTTGGCTTAGCCTCGGTCTCAGGGTCGACTTAAGTTAGGCGGAGCATGTGTTTAGCCTTTGACCGATCCCCACCAGCAGCAACTGCTTGTCGTGCTCAGATTGCAGCCGTTCGCGCAGCACCTGGTGCTGGATCGAGCTAAAAACACTTCTTCCCACCCAATGTTCATCTCCCTTACGCATCATTGTACTTGTGGGTGAGCAGCTTCTTCCTGTACATGCTCAGCTTGTTGACCTCGCTGCGGATGAGGTTGTAGTCGCCGTTGCGCCATTCGCGAAGCGTCAGGATCACCTGGAAAGCGGTGCATTCTGACTTGCTGAAGATGCTGACCTTCTCCTGGATGTTGAAGTAGAAGCGGCGCTGCTCGAGGCCGATCTGGTCGAGTAGCTCGTACTTGTGGGCCAGGAATTTGCTGAACTGGAGCGCGAGAAAATGGAATTTGCCGGTTTAAAGGGGTGGTGACACCTCGGGATTCTGGGCCGTTGAGGACATGCTCATCATCTGGAGGCCGGCGGAGAGATGTTCGATGATGACGTGGCAGACGGCCGCCGTTTCGTCGTAGTAGCTGTAAAGGGGAGTGTGTTGTAGTAGCCGGGTACTGTACTGTTAGCGGGGGGGGGCGCGTAGAATTCGTGCTGAGAAGCGAGAAGCTTTTATTTTTCCGCTTTTACCTGTAGAAAATAGATAGCATTTTAGCAATTTTTAATTTTAGAAAGGGTTAATCTTCTCTGAAATTTTTAGCATTTAAGGACTCCCGAAGCGTAGGGTTGAATATTACTATAAGGGGAGCGTTGCGTCCTCTCTCTCACCCACTGCCCTGTCCCTCTCTCGCTCCCTCCATCTCTGTCTCTATCTCTCGCCCTCTGTTTCTCTCTCCCTCTCTCTCTCGCCCTCTGTTTCTCTCTCCCTCTCTCCCTCTTTCTCACCGCTGCGAGATCCCGATCGAATGGGCCACCAGCGCATCGTTGAGCCGCCGCAGACGCTCCAGCTGGTCCACCTGAGCATTCATTACTAGGAGGATACCCCGGTATCCGATACCTTGGCCTCAATACCCAGATCCGAGTACTCCTTGCCGGTCGTCGGCGCGCCCTTCTTGTTGCCAAACTTAAAAGTTCAATCTGTTCAATCTTCGCTTCTCAACCTCCACATACCCTCAAAAACTTGGTGAGCTTCATCGGGCCGGGGACAGCGTGAAATTAGATGCGTAGTTGAAAGAATTCGGTGCAAAAGATTTGAGGCGGAGTAGTAGCAATGATGTTGTTCGGGCTCTCCAAATGCATTTTATATCACAAAAATTATGCTAATTAATTCTTGTCGTCCGGTATGCAAATTCTAACTTATTCTTTTAAGTCATTTTATCCATTAAACACGACGATATTTGAAAGCAGCAAGCGTCTGATTATTCCTGGCAAACGCCCCGAGCACGAGAAGCTCCCCAGATGACCGGAATCTCGATTTTAAAAGCTCTTCCTTGCAGCAGTCCCTTAAAATCAGCAGTATTGGTGAAAAAGTACGAATCCTACCTAATTCCAGTCTGCTCAAAATTCTGCAATTTTATTTCCACGCCATTGATCGTGCAGGTGCGGTCACATTTCCCTTTGAAATCTTGGAATTGTAGCTCGATTTTTGAGCCAGAGGCCGTCTGAATGGAGTTTGTAGCCTGGGGACAGAACTTGTAGCTTTTAAAGGGACGTCAAGAAAAATCTATAGATGTTTAGCATCTAGATCTCGGAAAATGCGTTTCTTTTAGTTGTTTGGTTTTGGCAATTTCGAAACCTGGATTTCAGCGTTTGATTCTCACCTTAATATGCACCCAGCATTCCTCCGGCATAAACAAATTTGGGCCGTTATTCCGGACCCCGGAATCGAGTTGAATCTGGTGACGCTGCCAACTCGGTTTTGCCTGGAAATACACTGAAGCCCTAACAAAGCTTGTACGCTAAGCCTAAGTCAAGCCTAAGCCAAGCCTAAGCCAAGCTCGAGCTAATCCTAAGCTAAGCCTAAGATAAGCCTAAGCTAAGCCTAAGCCAAGCCTTGGCTTCAATAGTCCTGCAGTACCTTCAACTCAACACTGCACTTCGGATTCTTGGCCGTAGACTGGGTCAGCTCATCACAAAACCCTCCGGAAAAGCCATCCGGGCAAAAACAGGTGCAGGTACTGTAGAAACGGTAGTTTTTATACGTTACAATTGTTAGCTACCAAGGCTTTGAAACGCTTAAAAACTAACTCCTTGAAAATGGGGACACCACCATTTTGGCAGGCCAAATCATCACAGTCGGGATTTTCTAAAAAAGAGAGCTTGTTCTCTCTCTCTGTCTGTCTCTCTCTCTCTCTTTCTCTCTCTCGCTCTCTCTCCTCTTTTAAGTTTCACCGTAACATCCATACAAACGATTTAACAACACAAAATCCAGAAAGGTTATGCGGATCTAAAAAAAAACATTTTGCATTTTGTTTCAAAGCTTACCCGTTGGCCCAGCGTTTTCAAATATCGCCTATCCAGTGGTATAATCGAAGGCATTGACTGGTTAATTCCATTACCATCTAGAAAGACATGAACGTATCATCGGTTTTAAAGGCAAAAGAAACTCACAAGCCCCATAATGCATTACGCTACCCAGCTCGTAGGGCAATTTATAGACTACAGAAGGGAGGGAGAATTGCTGAAAAGGATACGAATTTGAATATTTGAATACTATCTGAATTTTCCTGGGATCCGAGCAGAGAAAATTTGCGGAAATTAATGTCCGCATCCCTTTAAAGTTCAAACAAACCTTTCGATACTGCCGTAATTCACTAGGCTTGATGTTCGAAGCAAAGACGTGGATATGTTGGTCCCGATCGGCTCGAGACTAAAATGAACGAAATAAATCCTTTTTTCATCTATTTCCAAATACCTGCGTGTGCTCAAAGCCCAATAGATGGAGAATCTCGTGCGCTATCACGCCAAACTAGAAAAAAATTCAAAAAATCCGCATGCGTACCGAATCCGTGCATCCGAAAGGTATCGAGATGTTCTGCACGGGGCCCTCGAAATGCGGACCGACGCGGGACCAACAGGTTTTGTCCTGAAAATCTGGTGAAGAGGGCTTAATAATTAGCATACATTTATGACCCGAACCAATGGGACGCCGAGGTCTTCTCTTGGGTTTTCCAAAAATCGGATGCAGCTTTTGGACTCGATCTCCTTCAGGACGGTGCGGATTTTGTGGCGGCTTGGTAGAGCTGAAATTCATAGAAAAAGATAGAGAGAGCGAGAGAGAGAGAGAGAGAGAGAGAGAGAGAGAGAGAGAAAGAGAGAGAGAGATAGAGAGGGAGAGACTTACGAATCCGAAATTCAAATCGAAACGGCACCGGCGTATCCCTGGGCCATCTTTTCCCCAAATTGACAGGACTTTCGAGCACCGGCAGCTGCTGTTCGAACAGCTTATCGTAGCTCGCCTCAACCTCCTATAAAAAAAAACGGTTTTTTTTTGTTGTTTTTAATAGTCGAACTCACCACCGTAAAAGCCCGTTGAAACCGTGAAGCAAATATCAGAAAGAAGTTTGCAATGCCAAATGCTCCGAGCATCGTCAAAGTAGGAAAAGATGTAGGACAAGCTGGTGCTCAATCTCCGCCAGGTTTGAGCCCTTGTTCCTGGCGGGGAAATTGGATGTCGGTTTTTTCCGCTGCAATCCGATGGGAGAAAGGCGTTCATATGACTTTGATGGAAAATGGTTGTAAGGGGACTTTGAAGGAAAAAAGGCAGAGGATGATTCTGAAAAAGGAAGATGGTGCAAAAGAGGTAATTTTCACATCTTTTTGACTTTCGTCACTTTTTATCTGTCGCTCTCTCTCTCTGTCTCGCGATCTCGCTCTCTCTCTCTCTCTCTCTCTCTCTCTCTCTCTGAATCTGAATTTCGGATTCGTAAGTATCGGATCCGCGACATACCAAGAATTAGTGAGCCCCTCTCTCTCACTCTCTCTCTCTCTCGCTCTCTCTCTCTGTCTCATTCTCTCTTTCTCTCTCTCTCTCTCGCCAGACACTTTTTAGTGCGTACCTTGTTCACCTCCAAAATTTCACCTATTTTTTACCCAAATTCCTTTACTGGTATCCCTTTTTGTGATAAGATCTATAATTCTTGGTGATACCCGAGACTGAGAGGCAAGAAATAAAGACATGTGATGTGAGATGGATATTTATCTAGACACCACTGATAATAAATGATCGAGTGACGTATTCGATGCGGGTGTTCTCTGACTCCCCTCCCTTTTTCAGGTCGAACGAAGTTCCCCACCCCTCGTTGTTTCCTTGCTCATACCGGGTCATGCAAGTCGTTTTGCTTGCTTCTTCCGGCTGCCCTCTATTTATGCTTATAAACATTTATTTGATTTTGTTTTTATTTTGCACGATCTATCAACGTTTTTTTGCACTTTCTTGATTATTATTGGTCTAGAAAAGCAAAAAGTTGAGGAAAACATAGAAATGTTTGGGCACTTCTACGTTGCGCGATTTTCGGAATATGCAAATGCCGCGCTACTATTAATGATGTTAAGCTACTCTAAAATACGCCCAAGTGATTGCATTTGTCATTTCTCCCCTGAAACCCTGAAACTGCCATTATTCAGAGCTTTTGACAATTTTATTGCTTTTTCATTGAATTTTTCCTTGCCGAACCCGGCGCTTCCGGGAAAATCCCGACGCAGTAGCCTAGGCTTCGACAAAAATCCCGACATCCGAAATTCGGACAGCCTAAATCCCGGTACGAATCTTGACAGCCGAAACCCCCAAATCAAAATCCCGACAGCCAGAATCCCGACAGCCAAAATACCGACATGCGAATTAGCCGTTTAAAAGGTCGTGGCATTCAAACTTGCGTCAAGGATATGTCGGGGGTTTTGGCTGTCGGGATTTTGTTTGGCTGTCGGGATTTTTGCTGGAATTCCCGAGTGATGCCATCAAGATTCCGCCGCCGCCAAAAAATCTGCCAATTCCTTTGCTTCCCAGTCCCTTTAAAATGCTATACTACGACCTCCAGGCCTAAATTTTCTTCTCGACCCGCCTGTTCTCTGGAATCCGTGCGAAATGACCAAAAAACCGACTCCAAATTGCTTTAAGATCTCCCATTAAAGGGCTGAACTGTTCTCCGTTACTCGTCGTGAAATGGACTCTTTTTATGGTTGTCTGGGTGATATCGAGGGGAGCAAGAGAAATGTAGAGATTGTGATGAGCCGTAGAGATCTCCCTTTTATAGATCCCCCTCACTCACTCGCGCTCTTTCACCCCAAGAAACTGATCTGCCAGATTGATCCGCACCTCCACAATTGGCATAACATGATCGCAATTAGCGGACATGTTAGCGCGGATTAAATTCTTTTTCTGTTTTTCTAGCTTTATAGCTTTTTGGAGAAAATCGTTACTTTAACAGATACCTCAACAAAATCGCCATTCATTTTGCATCTTTTACTTTCTTTTTAAATTACTTTTGTTTGCACATATTCTTTAGGATGTTTTCGACTTCTTCAGGTTCTTTGGCGTTACCGGGGGGGGGGGGGATCTTTGCTTAGAATTCACTTTACTAATCTAAAAATGGAAGTGTTTTTAACGGTTTTTTACCATTCAGAAATGTAGAAAATTCACAACTTTTGGCTAAAATTACGAAAATATGATTTATCCATCTAAAAGAGTCAATTTTAATACTAATTTAAATTTTTCTGATTTTTTAGATAATTATTCCACTTGAGACATCGTTAAAAGGCCGTCCGCGGCTCACCCGGCCTGTCCCCAATATGGCTTGGTACAGTTTTTTTCGACCCTGTTTTTTTGACGTCATCTGAAAGCGCATAGTCGAATTAGTAGGGTGGCACTATTTTGAGATTTTTAAAAGTTTATTTTCCTAGTTAAATTTGGCGCTAAAGTGACAAACCTCAAAAAATTATCTCGAAAACTACCGGGCCAAATGGGCTGAAATTTTGTGACTAGGCCTCATTTGGGATGAGGATCATTTTGCTAATACATTGCAAAGCACGAAAATGGCCGGAACATATGCAGAATGCGTACCAAAAACAGTTTTTTTGCAGTTTTCGTCTTGATGGGTGTTCGGCCGCATTATGAGACTAACATAGAAAGATGCGCCTTTCTTTTCTGCATCGATTGATGTATCTTTTATCGGTCGGCCAGACACCCATTTGCTCGAATATTCCATTTAGTACGCTCAAAACGCACCAAAAATGTACCCGAAAAATGCAGAACAAAAAGTTTTTGAATTTTGAAGCATGAAAACATATCTATAAGACGAGCTGAAGCTATTGCAAAAAAGAGCAAAAAGAAATTCAGCTTTTTGGAGGGGGCTGGGATTGAACTCGCGCCAGCTCTGGATTGGCACGCCGACGCTCTACTGACTGCGCCACAGGGCTCCCAGGCACACGACCCGGGTTCGATTCCTGCCGGATTTCAGACCCCTTTTAAAAATGTTATTTCTTTTTGCTCTTTTTTGCAATCCCTTCAGCTCGTCTTCTAGATGTGTTTTCATGCTTCAAAATTCGAAAACTTTTTGTTATGCATTTTTCGGGTACATTTTTGGTGCGTTTTGAGCGTACTAAATGGAATATTCGAGCAAATGGGTGTCTGGCCGACCGATAAAAGATACATCAATCGATGCAGAAAAGAAAGGCGCATCTTTCTATGTTAGTCTCATAATGCGGCCGAACACCCATCAAGACGAAAACTGCAAAAAAAACTGTTTTTGGTACGCATTCTGCATATGTTCCGGCCATTTTCGTGCTTTGCAATGTATTAGCAAAATGATCCTCATCCCAAATGAGGCCTAGTCACAAAATTTCAGCCCATTTGGCCCGGTAGTTTTCGAGATAATTTTTTGAGGTTTGTCACTTTAGCGCCAAATTTAACTAGGAAAATAAACTTTTAAAAATCTCAAAATAGTGCCACCCTACTAATTCGACTATGCGCTTTCAGATGACGTCAAAAAAACAGGGTCGAAAAAAACTGTACCAAGCCTTGTTCGGGTGACCCGTGGACGGCCTTTTAAATTTTACGAAAAACGCTTTTAACACCTTCTACGACGAGGCGTTTCTGTAAAAAGAAAAAAAATTACGCCCCCCCCCCGATAATGCATGCCATAGATTCCCTCCTCTTCAATATTTTTCGTATTGATGATTTATTCAGATTTCAGACATGTCTCCAACCCCAACCCCGAAAGTAAAAATTAGCGAGAAGAGGTGAGATCGGATACTTTTTGCTAGGTTTGCTAGAAATCGTAGAATTTTTAGTTGGTCTTGAAGTTGGGAGTTTGGAGCAAACCCTGGAGCTAGGAGCTAAATAGCTATTTATCCAGCTCCCAGCTCCCGGCTTCTAGCTACCAGATGCTGGTCTTACCACACTACATTTTTTCTCTTTTAGGCCAGAAATTCTTGGCGCGGCCGAAGCGAGAAGCCCGGAGGAATCCGAGGCGGAGTGTAAGTTTTTGTCGAAATTATAAATTAATTATAGTTACATCGAAAATTGAATCAAATTTACTCCAAAAACCCGAAAATAATTTAATTTAGCAAACGATCTAGCCACCGAGCTCGTCCGTTTTGAGCCCCAACTCGCCCACCCGTCCGCTTTTACCCCCACCCAGGGGTGGGCAAGGTAGGTAGATCTGCAAAATGGGGACTGCCGGGATTTTGGTGGCGGGGCAGGGACTGCCGGGAGGGCGGGGGGTGGGGGGAAGACGGCGCGGAGCGCCGGAAAAAAATTTGAGATTTTTAACAATTCAACATTGCAGGTAACAAGTATTTCATCGGGAAAACGGAACGAAGCATTTGTTTGAATATTTGAATTATTGCATGTAATAAGCATTGGGGGCTCTTGGGTACTCAGTAAATTGTAGAATCGAACATCGAACCATATCCTGCATACCCAACCGGCTGTCCGTCCTCGAGACATTTTTCGGGTTTAAAATGAAAAGTGCCTTTTTGAGGGGTTTTCCGGATTAATTCCGGAATACGATGATTTGCAGCTATGGGAGCGGTATCAAATTGTAGAGCTTGTTATTCCACATCGAACCATACCTCGCACGGCCCACCGGCAGTCCGACTTCATGGACATGTTGGACTGCCGGACCGGAAAACCTGGTTTTTCAAGGTTTTTCCGGCATAATTCCGGAATACGGTAATTTGAGGGCCTGAGAGTGGCACTAGATTGTAGATCTCATCATTGCGCGTCGAACCATACCCTAAATGTCTTTTTGGCAGTCCGACTTCGAGGAAATGTTGGACTGCCGGATGTGAACCCGCATCTGCAAAATGAAAAAAACGGGTTTTTGAGGACCGGGTCGCGACCCTTTAGGGGCCCATATCTCGGGGCCCCAATAGCGCACCGGGACGGTAGATAGCTCATTTTGTAGTTCAGGCTTGGGGTATCTGGTGGTGTATCAGTCTTCTTAAGGAAACGTAGGAGGCCGGAGATCCTGGACTGCCGAGTTTGAGGCCATTTTGCAGGAGCACATTTTACGAGTTTCTTCTAAAAATCATATCTCGATAATTTCTCGATGGATTTGGCTCAAATTTTCGGAGGAGATGGACCGTCATCTGTTCTATCCAAGGCCTGGAAAAGCGAAACGTCGGCAGTCCGATTTAGGAGGTAAAAAGAGCGATTTACATTCTGCAGACATTTTGCAGGCGCGGGTTCAAATCCGTCAGTCCAACATTTCCTCGAAGTCGGACTGCCAAAAGGACATGTAGGGTATGGTTCGACGCGCAATGATCAGATCTATAATCTAGTGCCACTTTCAGGCCCTCAAATTACCGTATCGGGAATTATGCCGGAAAAACCTTGAAAAACCAGGTTTTCCGGTCCGGCAGTCCAACATGTCCATGAAGTCGGACTGCCGGTGGGCCTTGTGAGGTATGGTTCGACGCGCAATGACGAGATCTACAATTGGGTGCCACTCTCAGGCCCTCAAATTACCGTATTCCGGAATTATGCCGGAAAAACATCGAAAAACTAGTTTTTCCGTTCCGTCAGTCCAACATGTCATGAAGTCGGACTGCCGAAGGGTCATCTTGGGTATGGTTCGGCGCGCAATGACGATATCTACAATCTGGTGTCACTTTCAGCGTGAAAAATTAACATATTACGAAAATAGAGCGGAAACCCCTATAAAATAACCCTATTTCCATATATCCGTTCGAACAGCTCACAGATAACGGACTGCCGACGGGACATATAGGGTATGGGTCGACGCGGAACAATGAGATCCACAATTTTGCGTCACTCCCAGACCGTGAAAGTCCTTGGAATCTATCTAATTGCGCCATCAAATGGTAACCCAAGTATGGCGGCGTAGCCGTCCCGCCAAAAATCGCTTTTTCCCTTCCAAAATGGACTGCCGGACTCCCGGAAAATGGACTGCCGGGATTTTGCCGCTGCAAAACCTTGCCCACCCCTGCCCCCACCGGCATTCCGGAATGGTTTCAAGTAGGGATTTCCAACCTAGAAAATTTCATTTAAACGGTTCAGGCAAAAACGACCTTGATAAAGGTACCAAGTCACAGGACAAGTAAGTAAATAAGGGTCAAAATTTTATAGAATTTTTCCAGTCGAACAGCTCGGCCGGATCCTCGAGAAAAGCTCATCACCGAATAACCTATCGGGTAAGCCGCTTGAAAATTTATTTCTTTGTATATTTTTGTATATTTTTATATACGATATTACGGTAGGTTTTTAATCGTACAAACTAAAAAAATTACAACCCAATATTTCCTTTAAAGCCGTTAAAATCCTTTATTTTTTAACCCTTTTTTGCCTTTTACCTTTCAGCTATCAGCCTTTTCAGGGTCGTTAAATTTCGAATCAAGTCTTTAAACCTTGACAAGTCCTTTCGAAACGAAAAACGATAAATACGCTTCAGAATCCCTACGCTGCCTCTCCAATCCGTACCACAAAAATAGCGGGCGAGATGATATAATTTTTGACTTGTTCAAATTGCCTGGGACGAATGAGGCGTCAGTCGGGAAGCTGATTACGGTAGGTACTGCCGACACAAAAATCTCTCTTTTCTCTCGCTGACTCGCTCCCTCTCCCTCTCCCTCTCTCGCTCTCTCTCGCTCTCTCTCTTCAGAAATTCAGACATTCGGACCCAATTCCAGCTCTTTTCAGGTCCTAAAAGGTCTCGGCTTGCGAAGAGACGATCCTCGACTCAAGGAAATGATGTCAAGGGTACGGTAGCTAAGACAGCTTTTAGAAAATCACCTAGGTCCGAACGTTCACCAAAATGGAGGAAGAGCTCAACCACGAGACTAAGGACCCAAACCACTGGAAGCTGAGCCGAGAGCAATTTTGCGAGTGGGTAAACAGGGGCAAGTTAGCGGGGATTCTTTAGGAACCGTACAAAACAATACATTACAGTACCCACTACAGTATACAAAAAGTCACGTTCTACAAATTATTTAGATGTATTTCCCCGTCAACGGAGCTGATTTCACAAGCCCTCCAAAATAACCTTGTCATCCCCTGTTGGCCAGTTTTTACCGAGAAGATCAGAGATATATATTTAAAGGTAAGAAACTAATAAAATTAATACAATTAATATAAGATGATTTTATTATATTTATTCATTAAATAAATTACCAATTTTTAGTGCAAATTGATCAAGGACGGCCAATGCGCGCAGTACATTCCGCAACTAGCCAGGGAGACCCCGAAAAGTTCGGAGTATCGATATGTACTGTCGATGGGCAGCGGGTGGGTTTCTCTCTCTCTCCCTCTCTCTCTCTCTCTCGCTCTCACTATTCTCTTTCCAGGCCTCCTGGGGCGATTCCAAGATCCCCTTCTGCGTCCAGTCCGTCTCCAAGGCGTTCACCTACGCCATAGCTTCCTCGGAATTTGGTGAGTACGCAGGAATCTATTGCTTCCTGTGAACTCCTGTGAACTATAAATATGAATATTTTTTAACCTTTCCTGTGAGCTTCCCGCTTTAAATACAGCTAAATTTACTAAACAGCTATTACAGTCTTGAGCGTTAAAAAGGGTATCTGGACTCCAAAAAATTAGCCCCTCCCCCCTGATAATAGAAAAGACCCACGAACTCACTGATAATAAAAAAAGACCCAAGAACTGAATAAAAGGATTTACAGCAAAAACAAACCGATTATCGTGACGTCGTGGGTCGAACTTGGTGATCTCGGTGTGGAGCAGGCAGTCGTAGTTGTGGAAGTTGAACTGCGCCACGAGTTCCTAGAAGTATTTTAGAGGACCTGTAGGTGAAATTACCCTTGGAAACGCCACTCCACGACACGAGTTGCCCATTTTATCGAGCGGTGGTGACCATAGGGCGATGCCCATCACGTTCGGCACGACGACGATCAGGATTCCGGAGACGCCGGACTTGGCGGGGAGGCCGACCTGAAGCTGACAAGTTATAGGGTTTTCAAAAGGGGCCCGGGGGCTTTGAGCTGCAGCAGACGGTAATTAAGGGCAACCGCAGAAATGCCGACAAAGCAGACATGGCAATCGGCCGGGCCGCGCGGCTTTTTCGGCCGCAAAAATTAGACTGCGGCCGGGCCGCGCGGCTTGGCCGCATTTCCGGCGCGGCCGCGGCTTTTTTCCGTTTTGAGGCCGCACGGCGGCCAAGCCGCGCGGCTTTTGAGGCCGCATCCAAATGAGTTTTGAGTACTTCCGGCACGTAAATCAGAGATGCAATGCGTATTTAGCCTGCTAGCGAGGAATATCCATACTCGACAACCTTAATTTTTCATTTCCATTCTCATTTGGCATGAAATTCGCGGTTTTTCGATATGTAAATGAGCCACTTCCGGTTTGCGGCTTGGCCGCAGCGGCCCGGCTGAGCCGCGATGAAAATGCGGCTCGGCCGCGAAGCCGCATTTCCGGAAGTAACTAATTACTGCGGCTCGTAGGGGGCCGCCTTTTTATGGAAATTAGGCCGCCGGCCCGGCCGCGCAGCTCGGCCGATCGGAATTGCCATGTCTGCGACAAAGCAAAAGACCGAGAAGCCAATATCTCGGCAGCTTAAATGCTGAAAGTCGATCAAAAAATATTGACAACCGAAATTGCAGACACGCCAAAACACCGATAATTCATAAAGTCAACAAGCCCGAATGCCGACAACCTGGTTTCCGACAAGCAAAATGCCGACACTCTTATTGTCGTGACTTTGAATTGCCGACAAGTAAGGTGTCGAAAGCCGAAATCCCGACAAGCGGCAATGCCGGCAGCCATTTTCTCGGTTGTTTTCGCGCGGTCCGTTGCGCGGGAGTTGGGCTTGCGCGGCCCCATGCGCGGCTCTCGGAAAATGCGCGAGCCTGGCGCGGCGGAATGCGCGGGACCGCGCTTTCTGTCGCGCAATCAGTCACGAAAGGAGCATGCGCGGTCCCGCGCATTTCGTGCATGGTTTCTAAACGTACTGAATGAAAAACTCGAGGCATTTAGCGAATTTTCATTAAATTTAGATTTATTTATAGAAACTTGTTTCTTTCCTGGAACCAACGCTGTTTTTTGCACTGAAGGTCGGAGGTATCAGGCGAGGCTATTTATCATTTTCAGGGAATTTAGGATTTGCAAATGCTGATACTTTGATGTCAAACGCTCCATGGTGAAGCTTCGGCAAGTTTTTTTTATTTTTTTCAACAAAACTTCACTCTCAGTTCTCAGTGAATGCACCGTCAGAGGCCCCGGTGTCGGTAATATGTGGCATATGGCATAATTACAAGAAGAAACGCGTATGATGAGAAGTAAGTCTGATTTATTATTGTTATCGGGAGAATTTAGGCAAAGAAGCTGGTAGAAACAACTATCTCTTCAACGAAATGACCACGGTCAGTCAAAAACGTAAGTGATGCGAGCGTAAGTCGAACTAATACTGTAAGTCTGAATCTATCTAGCAAGTTAGCTAACAAAATAAATAGGATTTAGCTCAATTCGTAGGCACTCACTTGGAACAAGGTGAGTCAACAGTTATAAAAAGCTAGTTTTAAAATACCAAGGACAAGTTTAGGTTCATCGACAGCACCTCAACTCTTCTTGCGGAAAACAATCTTTTAAAACTGTTTTTGTATCATTACCCCGGTATAAATGTATAGCTACTCATGCTCCATCTACTCACAGTAATACCTGCTCCTAACGCAGGTTTAATAAGTAATATAAGAGGAAAAGCGCCCCTGGGCCAGTTGACGGCGAGAGCCGCGCAAAGTCCCGCGCATTCGCAAGTCCCGCGCATTTGGCCGGCGCTCCCCGAAATGCGCGGGACCGAATCCCTGCCAGTCTCCGGTCCCGCGCATTTTGTCGCGCAACGGAGCGCGCAAAAACAACCGAGTTAGTCCAATTTTGCGTGTAATTTGGTCTCTTCCGTGGCGGCATTTTGGCTTATCGACGTTTTTGCATTACATCTATCGTTTTGACTGTCGGCACTTAAATTTTCGGCAATAATTTGTCGATATTTTAGTCTGTCGGTATTTTAGATTGTCGGCATTCCGGAAATCGGTAATTAATTATTAGTAACGCTGGCAGATGTTTTCATGGGAACCCACCGAGAATGTGAACTGCCCGCTCGCGTCGTACATTCCTGAAAAACAAAAAATGTTTCTATTTAAGAGTCTACTACCTACCACAGGAATACATCAACGAAAGGACATCGCGACAGGCGTTGGGCGCGATGCAGCGCTCGCCAGTGATCGGGCAAACACCTGAAAGTTGCGGCTACGCCAGGATCCAAGCACGTGCCCCCGTTCGCCAAAGTTGCTGCCATGACGCTCATCGTCTCGCAGGTCACTTCCAGTGAGCACAGTTGGAAATAAAAGTCGAGTGTCTCGACGAGAGAGGGCATCTGAAGCGGAAGTCGATGTTTTTGACGGATTCCGGCTCCTAGTTTCCTTTTAAAGGAGCTATGAATTGCATCAGAATACGCAAACGTGTCCTTTTTATTATGCCTCTATTTAACGATGCATTGCGCCATCAAATTCCAAAAATATCTTGTCCATCAATCGTCATATTTCTCATTTCCTTTTCCCTTTAAATCAAGAAAACTCACTCCCTCCGGGAAGCACTTGTTCTCCTTCAAAAAGTGGGCAATCGCGTAGTTCCGGTCGGCGGTTGCTCTTTCGGATAAGAAACTGCGGGTACGTAGGGTCCGACGTCTTCGCCACCGGCAAATTCCTTGTACTCGGTGAGCACGTGCTCAAACCGGTCGGCCATGTCGAGGTCGGGCTAAAGGGTGATCTGATCTGGAGGTCTATTTATTTTTTTTAGGTTGAAAATGATGAAAACGATTCCTTATTCCTTTTTAAATGGTTTTTAAGGGACTGGGAAGGCAAAATGTTTCATGAAAAAACTGTCAAACCCAGAAGAGTAAGTTTAAATTAGCATCAAATGAGAAGAATAGACATCAAAATCCTACCTGCAGTAGAGACGCGACTCCGATAGCCCCGGAATTCACCATCGGATTGTGGGGATAACCTAAAACCAGGGATTCCATTGCCTTCAGCGCTCCTTTAAAATCACCAACCACTCGGGTCAAGGCAAATCTCGTTGAAAAAGCGGCCAGACGGCTCTTGCCCGACGTAGGAGTGCTACGGTTTACTTTACCCACCCCCCTCAGCCGGAAGTTTTTCGCTATAACTTTTTTATTTTACATTATTGTAGGCTCAAATTAAAACTCTTAGTATATTTTTCGACGCTCTATCGAATGGCGTTGCAAAAATCCCGACAAAATAAGCGAAAATACCGACAACTTTGAGACCCTTCGGCTGTGGGGGGGTAAAGTACTCTTACCCAATGCTACACGCGCGGTGAGATTGTCAAGAAAGCCGACCAAAAGATGGTGGCTTTTGGCACGTGCACCTACACTGTCCCTCCAACTCGAGTGCTACCTGAACCGGTAAAAACCTCCAAAATAACCTTACCTTTAATTTCAGGCTCACAGCCTCATCTCTCAACTGACGCAAATCCAATAATGCTGCGTCGACATATTCTACGAACTGGATGCCGGGTCTTTCATATCATGTGTCATTGTATCCATGTCATTTTTGATGAACCAAGCTTTAATAAATCTGAAGAAACAAAGACAACAACGTCACATGGTGACAAGACAACGACGATCATACAATGTGAAAGATTATTTACGCTAGGATGACAATAAATGAATAGCGGATTCTTAACGCCATTTCTTAGGCTTAGGGCCTGCCGGCAGCACGTCACGACCCCGTTTCTGCGCCATCTTACTTCCAACCGTCTCATCCCGAAGCGTCGTCTCTTCCTTTAAATTGATTTGAGAAAGAGAGAATCTCAAACCTGAGGCGTCCGCTCACCCTTCTTTTGAAACTTTTTCCGCAAAGAACCTCCGAGCCTAAAATTCTATTTAGAAAGTGAAGCATAAACGTACGCTTCCGCCATTTCCGCATTATTCACTTCAGCTTCTTCTTCCGAATCCTCAGTTGGAAGACCCTTGCGTAGTCTTTCGTGGAATATCATTAATTTCTGAAAACGAAACTAAAGGGGTGAATGCTGCTTACCTCGACTTCTGGGTTAAATCCTTTGAATGAAAAACGGCCAAACCGCAAATCCTCCAGCTGGTCGTAAGAACGTACGAATTCATATTGTGGCCTAAACAAGAGTTCGATCTTTAGTGAAGGGCCTACGCTTCATCGGCTTCTTGTTTCACGACAACTTCATTTTGGCTGGGTCCCTCGCCCAAGAGACGCTTCTTCTCGGCCAGCTCCTTCTTCTGTGCCTCTTTCATTTCAAACTTCTTCTTTGTGCGTTGCATAAACTAAAAAGAACGTTTCCAATAAAAATAAAGGTCCAACCTTCATATCCATTAGCGCCTTCGAAATACCAGGACGGGCCGCCATTTTGCTAGCTGAAACGGATATATTTCAAACCGGTAGGCGCAAGGCAAAAAGCAGTGATGGACCGAGAGCCATTTTGCTTTGCGAAAAAGTATTGAGCAAAATCATTTATCACACGGTTTGAAAATCAACAAAAATTTAACAATCCCCTGAAAATTTCGGAAACCGGATAACAGACAACAAAACAATCTACAAAAAATAAAATTGTATTCAACTTCCAATCACACGGAACATGTGTAGCTGTGTGCAATCTTCGTACTCTGTGCTCTTCTCCGTGCCACAAAACTCGTAGGCAATCTCGAACAATCGTTTCTAAAAAAAGTTTTATATTTTGGGTATTGCGTTACCTCCTGCAGCCATTCCTCAACTTTAAAAGAAAGCGGCAAATGTTCGGCGATGTCGCAAATGGCGGGGTTATGGATGATCACGCATCCCGGTTTCAGATTCTTGTGCAGGAATTCCCAGCAAGATACCTACAACTATTTTAAAAGATTTCGAGAAAAGTTACACGTTCTTCCGCCGACATGAAGAAGCTAAATACGTTGTTCATCACCACGACGTCGGCCGTCTGTATCATGGAGGCTTGATTTCGCACATCTGAGCAGCAGATTTCAATATCTAGAAAAATCTATTGATTTCATAAAAATGATCCTGACTTGGAAAAGCGTGTTGCTTGACGAATTCCATTTGCAACTTGGCGAACTCTGGGTTCAACTCAATGCCGGCGATTTTCCAATCTGATTCACTAAATGAATAAAACACATAAAACAGCGAAAACAGCGGCTTACCCCAACAAGCTCGCTCCAAAAATTACTGCACCCATGCGCGACCCAATGTTGACAATGAATGGGCTTGGATTTTGCAGCAACGGCACGAGTCTTCTGAACATGAATTCAATCTAAAGCCAAAATCAAAAGTAAAAAGCCTCATACTTGCTCTTTTGACAGGGAGTGCGAGATGAAATTGAGAGCCTCGAGGTCCTTAGAACCGCATTGTTTGCAATAATATCTAAAAAGCATGATTAGTGAGCTCAAGGATATTACCTTGAGACCTTCCCCTCGTCTACCATCTGATCGACATCATCGTCAGTGAAGAGAAAATTGTCGATATGTAGCTAAAACAGCCGTTTCTCCGCAAAATCGAGGATCATACCGTGTTAACAGCATTACAATCTGAATCATATCCGACTGTTGGATATGCTATTGACTCCGTCGGCATAATCGCTTCTGGCGATACCTGTAAACTCGTTAGTTAGTGAAAAAGACAGGATTTGACATTATAAAATGTGCAAAAAACGCCGCTTGCTATATACCTTAGCTTTCAGTTCTTCGGCAGTCTGAGCCAACTTGAACAGAGATTTTCGTATCTTCTTGGACCACTTCGACTATCATCGTCGACTTTCTCCTTTTTTCGGAGTTTCTCAAATGTCGTTGCTAACCTGTCATGGTCCCCGCAGGCCCGCTGGCAACCTCTACCGTAGACGAGTACGAAACACAACATCTTGCGAGAACGCTGCGGGACCACTTTTCGAGCCCTCCCCCCCACCCCTCTATTTTCTCGATATTTCTTCTTTTGGCGCTGAAAACTGTCGGAATTTAAAACATATATTGCTTATAAAAAACCTTATATTGATTCTCTAATTGCTCTGATCCCTTTTAGAAAATTTCCAGCTCTGTAGATTTGGAGTTTTCTCTATATCTCTGCAAAAATCTTTCTTTCGCAAGGGTTCAAAAACCACAGAGCTTTTTCCAAAAACCGTTGCCTTGTCCTTACAAGCTTTTTGCAATTTTTACCCCTTCCGGCCAGAATATTAGTATTCACCCTACGACAACAGCCTTTCTGCTCTTTTTTAATGCTGACTTTAACTCTTAAAACTCTTTGCTTTATTTCCTTTTATTCCACATGACTGATTCTTAGTATTTAGATACTTTCTCCATGATCCATGTCCTTTTTCAATGCTTACTCATTCTCTCTGTCTTGCAATATCAGTATTCATTTTAAATTCCAGGTCGATCTCAAAATGTCGGTCGTCGGAATCGATTTCGGCAACTCGAACAGCTACATCGGCGTCGCTCGGCAGGGCGGAATCGATGTGATCGCCAATGACTATTCTCATGGTTGTTTCAAGGTTGTTTGCGTGACCGCGATTAAACTTTGGTTTAGAATACGTTGATCAACTTCAAACACCTGATCGGGCGGAAGTTCAATGATCCAATCGTGGAAAAATTTGGTCCCTACATTCCGTGTGAACTGGTCGAGCTTTCCGATGGAGATGTTGGCTTTAAGGTAAATTTTAACGCTATAAAGGTTTATAATGCTATAGGCTTCCGCCATAGGATACCTGAAAATATTTTATCGTTAGATATATTCCTTTTTCAGGTCAATCATCTTGGGAAAGAAGGCACTCAGACGCCCGAACAAGTCTTGGGCGCCCTCTTGACGAAAATGCGGGACACCGTTGCTGCCAATAGCGAAAAGGGCACGAAAGTTCACGACATCGTTCTCGCTGTGCGTAAGCTTGCTTCTTTATTGCTCATCAGCTGTTCCTCTTCAGCCCACAATTTGTTTTAATTTTTGATTTTCAGGTGCCTTCCCATTTCACCGACGTTCAGCGTCGCGCTGTGCTGGCGGGCGTGCAAACGGCTCAGCTGAACCCTCTTCGCTTGATCAATGAATCCACGGCGATCGCATTGGCTTACGGCATCTACAAACAAGATCTTCCGGCAGAGACCGAGAAGCCTCGGATTGTCGCGTTTTTGGACTGCGGGCATTCTTCTACTCAGGCTTCTCTCGTGTCCTACCATAAAGGAAAGCTACAGGTACGTTTTTGCTCCTTTTGAAAAAGGAACTTTTAAATGGAAGGCCCGATTCTGACCGTTTAATATAAATTGCTTTAGATGTTGGGCACCGCATTCGATCTCGACGTCGGTGGGCTTTGGTTCGACGGCTTGTTGCGTGACCATTTCCGCAAAGAATTTTCCGACAAATACAAGATCGATGCTTCGAAAAATCCAAGGTGAATTGACTTCGCGATTCTTTTTGAACAATGCTTCAATTCCAGTGCATGGCTCCACCTTCTCGACGAATGTGAGAAAGTGAAGAAGCAGATGTCGGCTAACGAAACAGCTCCGCTCAACATCGAATGCGTTATGGAGGATAAGGACGTGTTCGGATCGATGAAGGTGGAGCAGTTCGAAGAAGCCGCCCGGCCATTATTTGAGAAGATTCAAGCCCTCCTGGGGCGTGTGCTCTCGGATGCGCAAGTGAAGCCGGAAGATGTCGAAAGCGTTGAAATTGTCGGAGGTAATAATATTTTTGCATCTTGCCGAGGCGAATCAGGTTTTAGGGGCTTTGAGTTTTTGTTCGAGTTTTGAGTCGTTACCTAGCTTTTACAGGTTCTTCGCGCATTCCCTACGTTCGCAAGATTGTCCGCAACGTCTTCGGCCAAGACCCCAAATCGACTTTGAACCCGGATGAGGCCGTCTCGCGCGGAGCCGCCATGCAGTGTGCTCTTCTTTCCCCAGCTTTCCACGTTCGTGACTTCCAAATCAAGGACTGCCAGCCATATTCGATCCGTCTCGATTGGGGAGAGGCCAACAATGTGGATGAAGGGTGAGCTTTTTAAGAATGTTCAGCTTTATGGTGTTTCGGGAAGAAAGGGTCGGGGTTGTTTTGCCTGGCTGCGGGTTGGACCATGGGTTCGCTGGTTACTTCTCTTATTAGCGCCCTTTCAGACAATCGGATGTGTTCAAGGATCATGATGGTGCCGAGAAAGAGAAAGCGGATGCCAAGAACGACGAAGAACTGCCCCCTGACGTTGCCAATTTTATCCTCGACTATGTAAATTTTTTTATTTTTTTTGGTTTACTACGTTTTTAGAGCCCGCTCACCACGAACACCTTTGAGGAGATCCTCGAGGAGCTGCGTGAACCGTGAACCCTGACATTGAGGCGACTCCAAAGGATATGGAAGTCGATTAGAAGGGCCTATTTTTTGTGTTAGCATATATTGTTTTTTTTTGTTGCTGACCCCAAAAATTTGCCTGCCCGTTGATTTGTCATGATTGCGATCTGTGTTGCAATAAACTTTCAACATGCAGGTTACGTACATTATGAGGAATCAGCGGTACTGAAAATACCCTTACGGTGGATGGAAAATTGGCAATGTGCTCTTGGTCGAGCGTTCTGTACAAAGGTATTGCTTCGGGCGTTCGTTCTATGCCGCCGAGGAAGGAGGAGTGGATTCGGAGGAATCTGTCGTGTTTTCTGTGAATACCGACGTGGCCTTTCGCAAAGAGAGAAGCACGATGTTGATCTTCATCCGGCGTGGTGGCTTCGTCGATGCCGAGAAGGAGCTTTCGGATCAAATGCAACTCTTAGTGTAATGACCACGGTTTTATCCCCAAATTTTGTTGCAGGCTGAACGAAGGAAGTCCATACGAAAATCTGTGGAGTATAATTGGCAAGGCAATGAGTCCCTTCTTCAAGTTCTAAATTCGCCGAAGCGGACGTAGCGAACGGGACGGCGACAAGCTGGCTCCTGTTGCCGAGAAAGCCTTGAACGAAGCCGAAGTCTCTCTGCTCCACCTGCAGCAGAACATCGACATCCCAGAAATCAACTTGGTCGTCAACCAGCATATTCTCGCGGCCATCCAAGCTCAGGGTCGGAAAGCGAAGGTATTCTGTGAATGCATCCTTCAAATACGTTTTATAGGCTGATGACCTTGGAAACATGATAGAGGACTCGCTCTTCTTGAACACTCTTCAGAGCGGTGTTGGGCGCTGGATCAAGGAAATCCAAAAGGTTCGAAATTTCCTTCCTTTTCCAACAAACCGTTTAAGGTTACCAAACTTGAGCGTGATCCTGCTTCCGGCTTCTCGCTGCAGGAAATGAACTTCTGGCTAAACCTGGAGCCTGCCCTACAGAAAATGCAAGAAAAGAGAGAATGTGAAGAGATCCAGTTGACTTTGGAAGTGTTGAAGGCTGGCAAACGTTTTCATGCGACCGTCTCCTTCGATTCCGATACAGGTTTGCAATGTGTCCGGATGCTGAATTGTCGTTTTAGGGCTGAAGCAGGCTTTGGACCTGGTCAACGACTATAATATGCTGATGAAGGATCTGCCCCTCAACGAGATCGTCTCTGCCACAGATTTGCCAGGTAAAACTTCCGACCAACGTTGCTTTAGCTCTTCGTGAGGCTATCGGCAACGTGTTTGGGCATCTGAAGAAGCTACGTGTCACGAAATATCCAATTGCCCGTGCCCTTCGCTTGATTGAAGCCATTTCGCGAGACGTCAATGCCCAGATGAGCAAAGTATGTTGAAAACTGAAATGTCTTATTCTTTGCTATTTTCAGATCCTCAGCATCCGTCGCCTGATGCACATTTCTATGAAAGAGTTCGATCAACTGATGAACGATTGTTTCAAGGTGTTTGCGAAATGGGACCAGGAATACGACAGGTTTGTCTCTCCTCTTTTACAAAGCTTTCGTTTAGGAGCAGCATTCTGATGCGCGCGAGACGGTCAAAAAGAAGCGGGAAGAAACGTTGAGGCTGACTTTCAAGCCGAATCTCGTGCATAAGAAGCTCGAGCAACGGCTGGCACAAATCAAGGCTTTCCGCCGGTATCTTTGCGTTTTATATTATCATGTATATTATATTTTCTTTATAGCCAGCACGAGCAATTCCGTACCGTTATCGAACGCGTCCTGCGATGCCCGAATGCCATCGACGGAGTCGCACAGTTGAATGCTGGCGCTGGGACGGTTACTGCTGCCCCTACGGCTGTCGAACAAATTGACCGGGCTTACGAATACGTCAAGGAGGTCGATTGCTTGGACGTGACAGCCGAAGGGACTGTGGCTTATGACGCTGCTCAGATCAGGTGAATTTTATTCCTTTTGCACCATTTCTTATTCAGATACGAGCAAGAAGTTCAACGCGTCGAAACAGACATCACCGCCTGGCTTCGAGGACAACTTGGCGCTGCCAAGAACGCAAAGGAGATGTTCAGCATTTTCTCGCGCTACAACGCGCTTTTCGTCCGGCCGAACATCCGGTAGTCTTTGATGTGCGAATTGTATATGCTGTTTCAGTGGAGCCATTCGCGAGTACCAGACGCAGCTCATCGACAAGGTCAAGGAAAATATTGCTGAGTTGCAAGAGATTTTTGCGACCGTAAGCTCGCAATTAGTACCTTGAATTTAACTTCAGAAATACAATGATAACTATCGCCATGAACAGCTGACGAAACGCCTCGACATTCAGCCGCTGTCTTGTCGCATAATTTTCGTCAAGAACATCGAGAATAAGCTAAACGACTCAATGAAGAGGGTCGAAGATGTCCTTGGCAAGGGATGGGAAGGCCATGTTGACGGTGATACTTGTTGTCTGTCAATAACTCTTTATTACAGGACAACAACTCAAGAAGGAAAGCGACATGTTCCGTCAGCGTCTGAACATTCAACCGATGTACGATGACTGGGTCAAAAGCACAAAGGAGAAGAATCTATCCGCTTCCGGGAAATTGCTTACAATTGACAAACGCAACCAAGACGGCAAACCGGTTCTCCAACTCAAGGTTTTTTCAATCCCAAGTTTTACCCCCATTTTAGGTCAATTTCCGCGACGACATGATTCAACTGCATAAAGAAGTGCGCTATCTGAAGACTCTTGGCCAGCGCATACCACTTCAAATCGTCAATGCAGCACACCAAGCTGCTCAAATGAATCCGTATGCGACAGTCGCCAGAAAGCCAATTTTCCTTTAGATTCGCGGTCGTGCTCAAGGAATCTGTCCGGACCTACTATTGTCGAAAAGAAATTGGCCGATCGGAAGGATATCGAAACCTTGATTGCCTCATCCAAGAAGGAAGTGCAGATGATCATTGCTGAAGTAAATTATAAATTACAAACCACACTTTCTTTAGAGCCTGCAATTGAACTGGGATTCGTGCAAATTGGAACAATATGTGACGCGCTTCAACACTGCGGTCAGCAAGTATAGCGAAAAGTGCGAAGAGCTGTTCGACATAATCTCTCAAATCGATGGAGCTCTCGCTGCGCTTGATTCTTGCCCCTACACGATGGAGAAGGTCGCCTTCGGTAATGGTGTTCTTAATTCCCCTATTTAGATAACTGAGCAACTTCGAATTGTCCAGGAGAATGTCGACGTTTTGGCGCTTGGAAGCTACTCGAACCTGCAGTGTTGGTCTGCTGATCTGGATAAAAACGTACCTAGTTTCAAACTAAAGTGCAAAGGAACTTCCTAGATCGAACAAAAGCTCTCCCGGCGTCTCGAAGAAGCCATGCGCATTTGGGCCTTGGTCTACAACAAATCTCCGTGAGCAAAACATTCAGCTTCCAGCCGTGCAAAATATTGTCGTCGAGGTTTGCTTGGTTGGCCATCCCTAAGCTTTTCTAAGGTGCGCTTGACTGCGCAAACGATCTACATCAGCCCCTCGATCGAGCAAGTCCGAGCGAGGCTTTGCGAGCAACTTTTCGAGTGGCAAGCTGTCGTGACTGCGCAGAAACGTATCTCGCGCACACGTTGCCAGGTCAGTTGTTGGATGGCAGCTTCTCAAACTTATTTCTAGCTCGCAATGAACGCCGACAATGTGGAAGCCACCTACAAAGATATCTTCGGCGCTTTGCTGAAGGGCCTAACCACTCTGGAAGCTGCGTATAAGACTGTCGACGCAGTCATGACGAAGGTGGAGGAGTATGTGGGCGAATGGATGTGCTACCAAGCGCTCTGGGACTTGCAAGCTGAAGTGCTTTACGATTCACTCGGTGATGACCTAACCCGCTGGATGCGAACTTTGGACGAAATTCGCAAGAACCGACGCATCTTTGATACTACGGTTTGTCAGCTATTCGGAAACTTTACCGGCTTTAGGATGCTCGCAAAGATATCTACCCCGTTGTCATCGATTACACCAAGGTTCAAGGAAAAGTTTCCTCCAAATATGACAACTGGCACAAAGAAGTCTTGCAAAAGTTTTCTGCTGCCCTCGGTATAGTTGACTTTTGTTTCCAATAAATTCTTCTTACAGGCCAGGAAATGCAGACCTTCCATGGACAGGTCTCCAAGTGGCGCTCGGATCTGGAAGGGCAAAGCGTCGATTCGGGATCCACGACAGACGCTGATCAACTCATCACCTACGTGCAGGGCTTGAAGAAGCAAACGAAGATTGGTCAGGATCAGGTTCTGGCATCTTTGTTTGCAAGTATATTTTGCTTAGGTCGACAAGTTCCGGGCTGCTCAGCGACTGCTCAACCAGCAGCGCTTCCAGTTCCCCAACCAATGGCTTTATGCCGAGCATGCTGAAGGAGAATGGGATGCTTTGCAAGATCTGTTGCTCCGAAAAGATTCTGCTATTCAAAGCCAGGTCCGCGAGCATAGCTGTTTTTTTAACCATTTCCTTCAGGTCGCCAATCTGCAAACGAAAATCAAAGAAGAAGATGAGCTTGTGGAAAAGCGCACCATCGAGGCCCTTCAAGACTGGGAAAGATCGAAACCCGTCGAAGGAGGCCAGCGTCCAGCCGTTGCACTTGAACAGTTGGCGGCGTTCGAGCAGAGGCTTTGCAAGTTGCGTGATGATCGGGACAAGATGAAGAAGGTTGACAGGTTTTTTTATTGGGAGAATGTTTTTTTAGGCTCGGCTAGCCCTTGACCTCGCTGAGACCACAGGAGTTCCAACTGAGGCTGACAAGTTGTCGATTGCGGTGGAAGAGTTGGGCGACCTGAAGGGCGTTTGGGAGGTATAATCTTCATACGTTCCATTTATCCTTTCCTAGGCGTTGAAACCAGTCTATTCGGAGATTGACGAAATCAAGGAGAAGACATGGCTCAGCGTCCAACCGCGAAAACTTCGGCAGAACTTGGACGAGTTGTCACAACGGTTGAAGGGATTGCCCGTCAAATACAAGACCTATCAGAGCTACGAGAAGGCCAAGGATATGCTCCAAAGTTATGGAAAGGTTAAAATAATACCGTATTTGTGCACCCCCTGTGCTAGGTGAATCTACTGATTGCCGAGTTGAAATCTGAGGCTCTGAAAGAGCGTCATTGGCGTCAACTGATGAAGGAGCTTCGTGTCACTTGGAATCTGCAAGATTTGACTCTTGGACAGGTAATGTTGTAGTCTTCGCTTTCTAATTATTCTTAGGTTTGGGATGCCGATGTGCAACGTCACGAAGCTGCCATCAAAAATATTTTGACCGTTGCTCAGGGAGAAAATGCCTTGGAGGAGTTCTTGAAGCAGGTGGGCGTTCCTTGTTTCTGGTCCCTATTGACCTGGTTGCTTTAGCTGCGTGAATACTGGCTTGCCTACGAGGTCGAATTGATCAACTACCAAAACAAGACGCGCATTATCAAAGGATGGGACGATTTGTTCAACAAGCTGAAGGAACACCAGAACTCCTTGGCGGCCATGAAACTTTCAGCCTACTACAAGCCATTCGAGGAAGACGCCCTCTCCTGGGAGGACAAGCTCAACAAGATCTCCTCAATGTTCGACGTGTGGATCGATGTGCAGCGGCGTTGGGTCTACCTTGATGGCCTGTTCAGCGGTAGCGCGGAGATCGCTTCCTTGATGCCAAATGAGAGCTCCCGTTTCAGCAGGTACTCTATCGTTTTTGGACGTTATATTTTTTAGCATCTCTGCCGAATTCCTGGGTCTGATGAAGAAAGTGATTGCTTCTCCGCGAATCTTGGATATTGACATGATGCAAGGTGCACAGCGACTTCTGGAACGGCTCGCTGAGATGTTGGCCAAGATTCAGAAGGCGTTGGGTGAATACCTGGAGCGAGAGCGCTCGTCATTCCCCCGGTTCGACTTTGTCGGCGACGAAGATCTTCTGGAGATTATGGGCAACAGCAAGGATATTTCTCGCCTGCAGAAACATTTGAAAAAGATGTTTGCTGGAGTAACAGCCGTCACGATCACCGAGGAAGACAAACGAGTATGCTCTTTGTTTCTGATGGATGTTGGTTTTTAGATCACCGAGATGCACAGTCGGGAGGGCGAAACTGTCGTTTTGTCATCTCCAGTTGCGACTCAAGGCGTTCGTATCAATGAATGGCTGCATGCGGTTGAGAAGGAAATGCGAACCACTTTGGCCAAGTTCCTGTCGAACGCCCTCAAGGATTTTGCAATGTTTGTTGCCTGTCGGCATCTCAACACCAAATATTTAGGATCGATGTCGACACCGTCTCTCATGCCAGCTACATGGAATTCCTCGACAAGTATCCCTGCCAGCTCATTGGTCTGGTGGCGGAAATCTGGTGGAGCAACCAAATGGAGAATGCTCTGCAGCAGGAAAAAGATGCCGCTGAAGTGGAAAAGGTAGCTTTTTATTGGTAGCGCATTATGAATTGTTAGGTTGTTTCGAAGACCCTCGCCCTGCTTGCCGACAACGTACTGAAGGAGCAACCGCCAATTCGCCGTCGGAAAATTGAGATGCTCATCACGGAGCTTGTCCACAAGAGGAATACTTCAAGGAGGTTGCTACAGCGAGGCGTGACATCCACCAATGATTTCGAATGGGCTCAGGTATCTATTATTTGCGTATTAAACGAAATCATCATCAAGGCGATGCGAACAGCTTGGCGACCCCGGAAAAATGCTGCATTGTCCGGTTGGCGAATGCCGTCTTCTACTATGGCTTCGAATATTTGGGCATCCAAGAACGACTGGTTCGTACGCCCCTCACTGATCGTTGCTTCTTGACGATGACCCAGGCTCTGCATTCAAGGTATTCATTCAACCGTCTTTCTAACTAGACGAACCGTTTAGACTGGGAGGCTCGCCCTTCGGTCCGGCCGGTACCGGAAAGACTGAATCAGTCAAGGCTCTTGGACATCAACTTGGGCGCTTTGTCCTCGTGTTCAACTGCGACGAAACTTTCGATTTTCAGGTGTGTTTTACTTTTGACATCAATATATTGCTTTATTAGGCAATGGGCCGCATCCTTGTCGGTCTCTGCCAAGTGGGCGCTGGGCTTTAGCTCTTCCGTTCGCTTGCCATGACCCAGCCGGATCGACAGCTCATTGCTCAAGTTATGCTCTTCTCACAGGGCTTCAGGACAGCGGAAGTGTTGGCGAACAAGATCGTCCCACTATTCATGTTTGTTTTTCTTTCAACTCTAACTTGTCCGCAGTCTTTGCAAGGAACAACTTTCTGCGCAATGTCACTACGATTTCGGACTGCGTGCTTTGAAATACGTGCTCGTATCGGCCGGAAACATAAAACGTGAGAAGCTCAATCAAGTCGGCGCCGCTGCCCTCGAAGATGTGGCCGAACAACAGGTGCGAGGATCTTAATAACAAAAATGGCTATCGTCATTAGATGCTGATCCAATCCGTCTGCGAGACCATGGTGCCAAAGTTGGTGAATGAAGACATTGCCCTGCTTTTCTCCTTGCTCTCCGACGTATTCCCATCTATCCAATACGCACCAAACGAGATGACCGAGTAGGAGTCCATTTCCAGCATAACCGTTTTTAGTCTCCGCGAGAAGCTCTCCGAAATTTGCTCGGCTCAAATGCTTTGCTATTCAAATCGGACCGGCGAGCTGGGATCGGCCTGGGTGGAGAAGGTGCTGCAGCTCTACCAGATCACAAACCTGAATCACGGTCTCATGCTTGTTGGTCCGTCCGGTACCGGCAAAACGACTGCTTGGAAAATGTTGCTGAAGGTAAGCTTTCTCCATGGCTTCATTGCTCTTATTTTAGGCGCTGGACAAGCTGGAGGGAGGTGAAGGCGTTGCGCACGTTATCGATGCGAAGGCCATGTCGAAAGATTTCCTGTATGGATGGATGGATCAGAACACGCGTGAATGGACCGACGGTCTTTTTACTTCCATTGTCCGCAAGTATGTTGCTGGACCATTGGCGGAGATATTTATTTTCTAAGGATTATCGACAACGTGCGCGGAGAGCTCGACAAACGACAGTGGATCATCTTTGATGGCGACGTCGACCCGGAATGGGTTGAAAATCTAAACTCGGTCCTCGACGACAACAAGCTGCTCACCCTACCCAATGGAGAACGACTCGCCATTCCGTCAAATGTAAAAACCGATGTTTTCTTCACGCTCTTTCGAGGTTGCTGACCTCCAATACGCGACCCTAGCAACGGTGTCACGTTGCGGAATGGTCTGGTTCAGCGAAGAAGTTGTTAGCAGCGAAATGTTGTTCTCCAACTATCTGAAGACGTTGACCAATATCAGCCTGGAAACCGAGGTAAGTGTTTCCAAATGGTAAAATTCTGGCTTAGAGCGCCCCGGCTACTATCGCGATGACCCTGCAGCTTCAAAAGACCGCTGCCGAGTTCCTGCAGCAACATTTCAGGTATGGATTTCTTACGTGATCTCTATGGTATGTGCTATCCAGTGCGGACGGACTTGTGCCACTTTCTCTACGATATGCCCTGACCAACTGCGAGCACATCATGGTGGCGACATCCCAGCGTTTGCTGTCCTCCTTCTTTGCCATGATGAACTACTCAATTCGCGTGATGGTGCAGGCCAATGCCATGAGAGAAGATATCCCATTTTCGGTGGGATTGTCAAATAGACTTGATTACTGCTTCTTTAGCACGATCAAGTGGAAGCGTATGTGGCCCGATCTATGCTGGCGAACATTGTCTGGGCCTTCTCCGGTGATGGGCGTCTATCGAACCGTGAGGCCTTGAGCGAGCATATCCGCAAATCCACAACGCTACCCTTGCCTCCGAATGCCCAGGTTTGGTTGTTACTTCACTGCTCGAACACAAGTTTAGGCGCCGATCATTGATTACGAAGTCACGTTGACTGGTGAATGGCGCCCTTGGATCGCCAAGGTGCCGAAAATGGAGATCGAGACTCATCGTGTCGCCGCCGCCGATCTGGTTTGTCTATTTTTCAAAATGTATTACTTTCTGCATTTCCAGGTTGTGCCCACGGTGGACACAGTTCGCCACGAAATGCTTTTTTCGGCTTGGTTGAGCGAACACAAGCCATTGGTGCTATGCGGCCCGCCCGGATCCGGTAAAACGATGACACTTCTCGCTGCGCTTCGCTCTCAACCCGACATGGGTGTTGTCAACGTCAATTTCTCGTCGTCCACCACGCCGGAATTGCTGATGAGAACGTTTGATCACTATTGCGGATACCGGTATGTTTGTCAGGGCTCAAAATAAAGTAAACTTTTTCTTTAGACGAACGCCCAACGGCGTCGTGCTCGCTCCTTCGCAGCTTGGCCGTTGGCTGGTGATATTCTGCGACGAAATTGCCGTCACCCGACAAGCACGGAACGCAGCGAGTTATCTCGTTCCTGCGCCAGCTTGTGAAATTGGTAAGATTGATCTCTCTAGAAGATCTCATTTTTTAGAACGGTTTCTACCGCACATCCGACCACTCATGGGTTTCCCTGGAGCGCATTCAGTTCGTTGGCGCCTGCAATCCACCAACCGACCCTGGCCGACACCCAATGACGCTTCGGTGAGTGGTGGCTTGCCAATTTATCTATTTCCAAATGCAGGTTCCTTCGCCATGTTCCTGTCGTCTACGTTGATTACCCGGGCAAGCCATCGCTTGAGCCGATCTACGGCACCTTCAACTTCGCAATGCTTCGCATGGCTCCAGCTTGCCGCTCGATTGCCGATGCGCTCACCGCAGCTATGGTCGAAGTCTATCTGGCCAGTCAGGTGCGTCTCCTTCAGCTCCAAGAATTCTCGCGTTTAGAAACAATTCACGCAAGATCAACAGCCACACTACGTCTACTCGCCTCGTGAGCTGACGCGCTGGGTCCGCGGTATCTGCGAAGCAATCGCTCCGCTCGATAAGGTCAAGCCAGAAGATATCGTTCGACTTTGGGCGCATGAGGCTCTGCGATTGTTCCAGGTGTTTCAATCTCTAATTTTTTAACTTTTTTTTTATTTTTCAGGACCGCCTGGTGACCGAAGAGGAGCGCAACTGGACGGATGACCTCATCGACAGCACAGCCGAAAAGTACTTTGCCGGCGTCAATGTCAAGACGGCCTTGAAGCGACCGATCCTCTACTCTTGCTGGTTGAGCAAGCAATATCTCCCCGTGACTCAAGAAGCGTTGCGACAATACGTGAAAGAGCGGCTGAAGGTATTCTACGAGGAGGAACTCGACGTCAGGCTCGTGCTCTACTACAAGATGCTCGACCATGTCTTGCGAATCGATCGTATCTACCGGCAACAACAAGGACATCTTCTGCTGATTGGTACCAGTGGTTCGGGCAAGACTACGCTGTCGCGTTTCGTTGGTGAGCTGCCTACACTTTTATCACTATTCTTCGCTTTTAGCATGAATGAACGGTCTCTCCGTATTCCAACTGAAGGTCCATTCAAGGTACACGGCAGCCGATTTCGATGAAGACATGCGACTGGTGATTTTACTTTCCCGTCTTTATTCCGATTTTTCAGGTCTTTCGTCGGGCTGGTTGTCGTAATGAACGGCTCTGCTTTATCATGGATGAAAGTAACATGCTCGACACCGGGTTCCTGGAGCGTCTCAACACGCTGCTTGCCAATGGAGAGGTACACTATAAGCCGTTGTGATTTCTATGGATGTTGCTCAGGTTCCTGGTCTTTTCGAGCGCGATGAACACACCACGCTCATGTCTCAGATCAAGGAAAGCACAGCGAAACAGGGCTTGATGCTGGATACCCCTGACGAATTGTACAAGTGGTTCACAACTCAAGTGGGTTGTTTAGTTCATAGTCACGCTTTTTTTTCAGGTCATGCGGAATCTACACGTTGTCTTCACGATGAACCCATCAGAAAATGGTCTTCGTGATCGCGCTTCCACTTCGCCTGCTCTGTTCAATCGTTGCGTCCTCAATTGGCCTGGTGATTGGGACGATTCCAGGTTGGTTAGGCTTCCCTAAACCGCGAAAAAAACGCGAAAAACCGTGAAGCTACTTTTTTATCCTGACGGCGCGGGATTGATGTGTTGTTTTAGGTCGGTTCGGAGCTTGCTGCTGGCTACGACACAATGGTGACGAAATGGGAAGCGCCCTTCTCCTTCGAACCTGTCTCCGAGCTGGTGCCCAAGCCACCCAAGTACGAGGACGCTGTGATGAACACCATGGTCCTTGCCCACAATGCCGTCAAGAAGGTTAGCCATTGCTCAGTATAGTATTTGTGCTTATACGATTTTAGTTCAACCTTTCTGAGTCCAAGCGCGGCCACCGCACGATGGCGATCACGCCACGGCACTCCTTGGATTGCATCCGCCACTACACGCGACTCTATCGCGACAAATATCGGGAGCTGCAAGAGGAAAAGGTATACAGTTTCGTCAACAGTATAAGCTACTTCTAGCAACATCTCAACATCGGTCTCGACAAAATCAAGGAGACGGAAAAGCAGGTACTCGAGCTGCAGAAGAGTCTTTCCCAGAAGAGCAACGAACTGGAGGAGAAGAAGGCCGAGGCGAACAAGAAGCTCAAGCAAATGTTGTTGGACCAGCAGAAGGTGTATTCTTTTCTCGTAGGTGATGATTTTTTTAGGCCGAAGAAGAGAAGAAATTCTCCGAACAGCGCCAGAAGGATTTGGCGGAGCAGAGCCGGAGCAGGCGAAGCAAGCCGAGGTGCAGAAGGACCTTTCACAGGTCGAGCCCGCCGTGGAAGAAGCAAAGGCAGCTGTTTCTGGAATCGGCAAGCAGCAATTGATCGAGGTGTTTTTTCGTCATAAACATTTATTTTTATTTAGGTCCGCTCCATGGCTTCGCCCCCAGTCCTTGTGAAGTTGACGCTTGAGGCCATCATGGTGATGCTAGGGGGAAACGTTGGTACCGACTGGAAGGGAATTCGTGGAGTGATGGTCAAGGAAGACTTCATGAACCGCATCGTCCATTACAAGACCGATCAAGTGACGCCCGAGTTGATCAAGGCTATGCAGAAGTATATCAGCAACCCGGATTGGGAATTCGAGAAGGCAAGTCGCTAATTAATGTAAAAAATTATTGTTTAGTTAAACCGTGCCCGCAAGCTTGCGGCCCCATGGTGAAATGGGCTCGTGCTCAGCTTCTTTACTCCGATATGCTTCACAGGGTCGGGCCGCTTCGAAACGAATTGAGCCGGCTTCAAGCCGAAGTTGCGAAGAAGGAGAAGCAGGGAGAGGAGATCAAGGCTCGCATTGGTCAGTTGGAGCAATCCATTGCGGCGTACAAGGACGAATATGCACAGCTGATCGGACAGGCCGAGAACATCAAGGCCGATCTCAGCACGGTTCAAGAGAAGGCGAGTATTTTTCAAAACTTTACCAATTTTGGCTGGTTTTAGGTCGAGCGCTCGCAACAACTACTCAGTTCGCTGGGTTCGGAACGCAACCGCTGTACAGGCAGTTCGGACAGCTTCTCGCAGCAAATGGGCACACTGGTACGCCTGATATATTTTTTTCGAAGAATACCGGTTTAGGTGGGAGATGCAATGCTATCGGCGGCCTTCCTGGCATACGCCGGCTACTTTGATCAGCTTCTACGTGACCATCTCTTCTACAAGTATCTTAGAGATCTAAACATTATTTGGTATTTTAGGTGGGTCGATCATGCGCAAAAGGCTGGCATCAAGTTCCGGGCGGATCTCGCACGCATTGAGTATCTCAGCACGATGGACGACCGGATGGCTTGGAATCGGTATTTTGTCTTTGTCCTCGCAAAACGTGTCTAGGAACGGTCTGCTTGTTGACGATCTATGCAGTGAAAACGCGATCATGCTGCATCGTTTCAACCGCTACCCGCTTGTGATCGACCCTTCGGGCCAGGCCATCGACTTCATCATGAAGCAGTTTGAGGCAAAAAAGATCCAGAAGACTTCGTTCCTGGATACCGCGTTCCGAAAGGTGGGCTTTTCTCTGAGAGCTCTGATTTTCTTAATTTAGCAACTCGAGTCGGCTCTTCGTTTTGGAAATGCGTTGCTCGTGCAAGATGTCGAGAGCTACGATCCAATCCTGAACCCAGTGCTCAACCGAGAAATTCGCAGGGCTGGTGGCCGCATCCTGATCACAATCGGCGATCAAGAGATTATTCTGTCGCCTTCCTTCGAGATATTCCTCTTCACTAGGTATTTTGGGGTTTGGGTAGTGTTGGGCAATTTGCCCGGTCCGGTTTTGGCCCGAAAACCGGGCCGCCCGAAAACCGGGCCGACCCCCTCGGCCCGAAAACCGGGCCGACCCTCTCGGCCCGAAAACCGGGCCGCCCGAAAACCGGGCCGGCCCGGTTTTGGCCCGAAAACCGGGCCGGCCCGGTTATTTTCCTTACCTAAAAACCGGGTTTCGGCCCGGTTTTCCGGCCAAAACCGGGCCGGCCCGGTTTTCGGGCGGCCCGAAAACCGGACCGGGCAAATTGCCCAACACTAGGTTTGGGCTTCACTGTTTTCGATTTCAGGGACTCATCGGCCGAATTCCCACCAGATATCTGCTCGCGTGTCACCTTCGTCAACTTCACCGTCACATCCTCATCGCTGTCCAGCCATTGCCTGAACCAAGTGCTGAGGAGCGAGCGACCTGACGTGGACAAGAAGCGAAGCGATCTCCTGAAACTTCAGGGCGAATTTGCGGCTCGTCTCCGACAACTTGAAAAGGCTTTGCTCTCCGCACTGAATGAAAGCAAGGGCAAAGTAGGAATTAATCAGCCTTTGCCCATCTATCATCTTGCTAGATCCTCGACGATGACTCGGTTATTGGAACATTGGAGAAGCTGAGGACTGAAGCAAATGAAGTCCAGAAGAAGGCAGCCGAGACGGACCAAGTTATGGCCGAGGTCGACACGGTCTCGAGCCAATACTCGCCTCTAGCCGCCGCTTGCTCTCAAATCTATCATGCGCTGCAGCAGCTTGGCGAGGTATATTTATTGGGGCTGCTTGTTTATTTTTTTAGGTGCACTTCCTCTACCAATATTCGCTCGATTTCCTCATTGGCATCTTCACGAACACGCTTGCAACCGAGGACCTCAGCGGTGTTAGCGACTACAAGCAGCGCCTTGACATCATTACACGCGCTTTCAAGGTAAGCTTTTTAGCGGTTTCCGTGTAAATATGCAAGATCGTACAGTAATATGGTTTTCTTTTCAGACTGTCTATGGGCGTGTGTCGCAGGGTATGCTTCATGCTGATAAGTCCGTGCTAGCCTTGCTACTGCTGAGAATCTACGTGAAGGGATCCGCAAACACTTACGATGTGCAATGGAACCATTTGCTGGGCCGAGGCGAAAACACGATCAGCACGGTTGATGAAGGAAAGAAATACTCTGAGCTTACCTTCCTCACCGCTGGCCAACGCACAGCACTGGCCAAGTTGGCCAAGGTCCCTGGATTTACCCAAGCGCCCACGAGCGTCTCTTCCAAGTATGCCCATTCCTTTCCATCTTATATTTTATTTCCAGGGCAAACGAGGTAGCGAAATGGTTAGTGGAAGAGCAGTCCGAGAACAACGTACCTGTGCTCTGGAACGAGAGCGACAATAAACTTTGTAAGTATATTTTTTTGCTAGTACGCTCGGTTTAGCTGATATGGGAGCCGCCCTTTACCGCACGATCGTCATTCACACCCTACGCGCCGATCGCCTGCTTGCTTCCGTTCATCAGCTCGTTGAGACGGTCTTTGGACAGGCGTTCATGGCCCAGGATCGAGTCATCGATCTAGCGAGGATTACGGAGACTGAGGTATCACTTTAGTAAATTGAAATAAACACGCTTTTAGGTGGGAGCATCTCACCCCTCGTCCTCTGCTCCACCACTGGTTATGACGCGTCGGGCAAGGTTGAAGACTTGGCTGTTGAACAAGGAAAGGAAGTCACCCCAATAGCCATTGGATCGGCAGAAGGCTTCGATCAAGCTGAAAAGGTAACCTATATTTTACCTCCCTTCAAAGCCTTTTAGTCTCTGGTCTCCGCAACCAATTCCGGACGTTGGGTGTTGTTGAAGAACGTGCACTTGGCCCCATCATGGTTGGGACAAATCGAAAAGCGCCTCCACTCTCTGAAGCCGCATCCGTCCTTCCGCCTGTTCCTCACCGCCGAAATCAATCCGAAGCTGCGATCATCGATTCTACGCACCTGTCGTGTTGTGGTGTTCGAACCAGCCACCGGGCTCAAGGTCACATTTCTTTTTAATAATTCAATTCTGTTATTTAGGCCAATCTTTTGCTCTCTCTGACATCCATTCCTGCAGCTCGGCTGTCAAAAGCACCTGCCGAGCAATCTCGTCTGTATCCGCTTTTCCGCTTCTTCGAGCGGGAGGTTAACCTCGGAGCGAGCCTCCTTGTCGACATGCGCCAGGATCTGCAAGAGGTAATTTGCCGATCTGTATTGTTACATACCTTAATTCTTTAGATTTTGGACATCTGCCGAGGCGAGAAGAAACAAACGGACGAGTCACGCGCCCTCGCAGCCTCACTCCAACGTGGTCAAGTCCCGACAAACAGACACTAGACAAGGCGCCGCAGGCGAAAAATCTAATAGACAATTGATGCACTAATGAAAAACGAGCGCCGCAGGCCGAAAATTTTGGAAAAATAGGCTTCATCGAAGTAAAAACTGTCTTAAAAACGGTAATAAACAGCGCCGCAGACAAAAAAATTTTATTAAAAAAATCATAAGGGACGATTACGAACTTTTCAGACCTCGATCGATTTCGGGGGGCCCAGGGCCCCCTGCCCCTTCCCCGCTACGGGCCTGGAAACAGGTATATCCTCCCGTTTAATCTATATGTTGTTATAGGAAGTGGCCCTGGGCACCCGGCTGCCGCTCTACCTCTATGGAGACCGTCGTCATCTCGATGTCTCCGCCTGCTTCAAAGCCAGCAACGGTTCAGCCTTCTACGAACGCCGTGTATCACTCGCGTCGCGTCGCGGGTCGCGAACCATTTTTTTAATTAGGAACTGTTGATTTCTGTGCAATGAATTTTGATGTTTTTTGTGCCCATGAGCTTGTTTGATATCGGGCTGCTTTACCGGGAATTTGCATAATAAACTTTGAATTCTCGTGCCAGCCTTTGTTTTACTAGGTCCTTAGCTTCTCGCTGGCTAGCTGTTAGAAAGATCGGGCCAGCTAATCGAATTGTAGGATGCCGGAACCTCTTGAGAAGCGGCGAAAAGGAGATTCCGCGCCCTGGCCGAAAAAGGTGCTGCCATATTTTCTTCATGCGCGTACGAAAATCAGCTTGATCTGGAGGCGCAGATCACAATCCGTTTTGTCGGCGAGGATGGGAGCGAATTGGGCGGTATAGGCACTTTTGAGTAAAAACTTTGATTAGACGGGGGCATCGTTCTCCCTTCGGGTGTTTCGGTCGGCATCCTACAGCAGCTTTGTAACACTCTTCTCGAATCTGGCGATGACCCAGTTCCAATCTCGTTCTTTACTGAAGAAGGGCATGAAATTCGCGACACCGTCAACGGTTCACAGGATACGATTGATCAAGAAAAAACCCTAACACTGGTCTATGCGCCTCAGACTGTTTTCCGCGTGCGAGCAAGCACGAGATGTTCATCTTCAATGCCGGGACATGGAAAGCCGGTGGTGTCAGCTCAATTTAGTCCTGATAGCAGGTAGTCTATCAAACCTTTCGCACTGCTTCTGCATTTGTAGCGGTCTGGCTTCCGGATCGGGCGACTGCACCAAGCCCCTCTGCTGTGCCCACAGTTTCTTGAAAAAAAACATTAATTCACTAATAATATTTTTACCGTTTCTAGTCCTTTGACTAAAGATCTTGAGAATAAAATTTCTAAACCGTTTTTACTACCTTTCATTGACGTAAAAACCTCAAATTTTTTAGAAAAAATGCAAAATATATATTTTTCCGCGGCCCATCCGTTAAGAACTTTTTTTATTGGTTTTTGTCAGGGACGTAGCGTAAGGTGGGCCCCCTGGGCCCGGAACCCCCCGAAATCGGCCGGGCCCGAAAATTTCATAAGGGGGGCCCTCATGATTTTTATTTTCGCGAGAATTTTGTTGCCTGCGGCGCTATTTTTGCACGTTTTTACTGCTATTTGTAGAGCTATGTAGCCTTTTTTTCAAAATTTTTCGCCTGCGGCGCTGTTTTTTCGATAATTTTTTTGAGGTTTTCGAAAAAGTTTTTTTCGGGCCCCCCCCCCCCGACATTTTTTCTGGCTATGCCCCTGGTTACAGTAACAGGAGATAAGTCACCGTAGTTAACAGTAGTGCAAAATTTACAAGCATTACTGACCGATTCAGGCACGATCGTCAACGACCGCCAGCTCGCCAACGTCATCTACCGCCAACCGTGGGTTCCCTTTCTCGCCAACACCTTTTTCGTTTTCGTTTCGGTTTTCAAGATCATTCCTAATTTGTGAATTTTTTCAAGTTTTTCCCTGGGGCTTGAAGGCCAAAGATGGGTCGGAATTTCGGAAAAATAGCCATTTTTCTTTTCCCCTTGAATTGAGGCTAATCTTTGCGGGGGCAGCAAAATATTAGAGTCCGAAAAAAGTTGAGAAAATCTCACCCAAAAAGGATGAAATTCAGCGAATACCGTGCCCAGGCATCTTTAAAAATTGATAAGTTTTTAGTGTACGAGGTGCCGGTGTGGTTCTCACGGCCTGCGAATATTTATGCCGTCATTGGGACGACGCTTTTTATCCCGTTGATTACGTTGGTGATGGTAAGTGGGAGAGAGAGATGGAGGGGAGAGGGAGCGAGAGTGCGAGAGGGCGAGAGAGAGCAAGAGAGAGCGAGAAAGAGACAGAGAAAGAGCGAAAACGGGGGTGAGTGAGAGAGAAACAGCGAGAGAGAGAGGGAGAGAGAGCGTGAGAGAGACATAGAGAGAGAGAGAGCGAGAGAGAGCGTGAGAGAGACAGCGAGAGCGAGAGAGCGTGAGGGAGAGGGAGAGAGAGAAGTCCATTTAAAGTTCGATTTCAGGCGAGCAAAGTACGAGCCATCGCCTTGGAGACGTTCGGCTGTGGCCAGTGCCTTGAATACCGTATAACGCTCTCCAAGGATCCGTCCAGCTGGGGTCGATCCGTCCCACGTAAACCGCTGTTAGTATCGTTACGGTCTCGTAAGAAATCGCGCGTAACTCTCTCACGCTCTCTCTCTCTCTCTCTCTCTCTCTCTGTCTCTCTCTCTCACTTTCGCTCTTCCCTCTCAATAGCTAGACCACATGTTCCCTGAATTTAACCCCCGAATAGCTATGAATCGAGTCGAGTTCCGAGTCCCGAGTAGTAGTATCGTACCGTACCTTACCGTATCTTTTTACGCGTTAGTCTTTTGGACTGTAGTGTACTGTGTACCTTGTACCCATTCATTCTTTTTTTTCTAAAGATCCTACTATATATAAAAAAGTAGTGTCTGTGTGTGTGTGTGTCGATTTGCATGCAACTTCCGTCTGTATATCCGGAGGATAACTCAATAGGGGATGAATATTAGGGTACGTATGATACATCATTAGGTGCGTAATGGCTCTGCGATGACTGCACGCATAACAGAATTACCGAAATACGCTATTTTCGATAATAAAAATAAGTTTTTCTAAAATTTTCGAGAACCCTCTAGGGTAGGAAACAATTAGCATATACCGGAAGTAGAAGAAGCCTATAAACAGGGATGGAAGGAAGTCTTTTCATTTTTGTCAGCTTGATTGAGACTGAATTATGCAAATTTTACAGTTTCATTTGTCCAAACGGGGCCTGGGTTGAAAAGTCGCGAAGCGGCTTTTCAACCCTGGTTTTAGAATAAAAATTCCAAACCGTTTTTACTACTTTTCATTGATACTTAACATTTTTTTAATAAAAACTGCGAAAGTATAAATTTTTTCGATTTTCCCGATTTTCCCGATACGGTATCTCGGGATTTCCACGCATTAAAATGGCTGATTTCTCCGTTTTTCAGGCACTATCGTGAATGACCGTCAACTAGCCAACGTCATCTACCGCCAAACGTGGATCCCCTTTCTCGCCACCACTTTTTTCGTCTTCTCCAATTTGGGCATGATTACAGAGAGTACGGTTTTCAGGATCATCACTAATTTGTGCATTTTTTCTAGTTTTTCCTAGGGTTTGCAGGCTAAAGATCGACCCGGATTTCCGAAAACTTGCGATTTTTCTTTTCACTTTAAATTGGGGGAATCTATGCGGGGGTAGCGAAATTTTTTAGGGCCGGAAAAACTTGAGAAAATCTCACCTAAAAAGGTTGAAATTCAGCGGATACAGTAACCAGATGGCTTTAAAAATCGACCACTTTTTAGTGTACGCGGTGCCGGTGTGGTTCTCACGGCCTGCGAATATTTATGCCGTCATTGGGACGACGCTTTTTATCCCGTTGATTACGTTGGTGATGGTAAGTGGGAGAGGGAGAAAGGGAGAAAGGGAGAGAGAGAGCGAGCGAGAGCGAGTGAGAGAGAGAGAGAGAGAGAGCGCGCGAGAGTGAGATACATGGACACAGAGAGAGGCTGAACTGGAGCTTATTCTCCAATTTCAGGCGAGCAAAGTACGAGCCATCGCCTTGGAGACGTTCGGATGTGGCCAGTGCCTTAAATACCGCATAACGCTCTCCAAGGATCCGTCCAGCCGAGGCCCTACGCAAACGGCCGTTAGTATTGTTACGGTATCATAAAAAAATCATTGGTAACTTACTCTCTTTCTCTCTCAATCTCTCTCTCTCTCTGTGTCTCTCTATGTCTCTCTCTCTTTGTCTCTCATTTTCGCTCTCCCTCTGAACAGATCGACCACATGCTCCTTGAATCTATTCCCTAATAGCTCTGAATTGTGTAGAGTTCGCCTTCCGGGTAGTACATAGTAGTATCGTACCGTACCTTACCATATATTTTTACGCGTTCGTGTTTTGGACTGTAGTGTACTGTGTACTGTGTACCTTGTACCCATTCATGTGATAAACTTTTTAATCCATTTATTCACAAGAAAAGGAAGAATATTCAATTTTCCCCGGGGGCTTAATTGGCCATCAGCGGCGTCTCGTTGTCGGCGGTCGGCTCGAGGATGCGCTCGACGGCTCGGCCTGGAAAAATGTTGAGTTTTAATTGATAAAATAATGAAAGACGTGCAAAACTACAGTAAAGTAGACTACAGACTCACCGTACTCGACGACGATCGTCACGAGGTCGCAGATGACGAGAAAGTGCGTGTACTGGACGCGGTCGATGCCGGCGAGGAGGTTCATCACCAGCAGCAACTGCTTGTCGTGCTCCGACTGAAGCCGCTCGCGCAGCACCTGGTGCTGGATCGAGCTAAAAACACTTCTTCCCGCCCAATGTTCATCTCCCGCTTACGCATCATTGTACTTGTGGGTGAGCAGCTTCTTCCTGTACATGCTCAGCTTGTTGACCTCGCTGCGGATGAGGTTGTAGTCGCCGTTGCGCCATTCGCGAAGCGTCAGGATCACCTGGAAAGCGGTGCATTCTGACTTGCTGAAGATGCTGACCTTCTCCTGGATGTTGAAGTAGAAGCGGCGCTGCTCGAGGCCGATCTGGTCGAGCAGCTCGTACTTGTGGGCCAGGAATTTGCTGAACTGGAGCGCGAGAAAATGGAATTTGCCGGTTTAAAGGGGTGGTGACACCTCGGGATTCTGGGCCGTTGAGGACATGCTCATCATCTGGAGGCCGGCCGAGAGATGTTCGATGATGACGTGGCAGACGGCCGCCGTTTCGTCGTAGTAGCTGTAAAGGGGAGTGTGTTGTAGTAGCCGGGTACTGTACTGTTAGCGGGGGGGCGCGTAGAATTCGTGCTGAGAAGCGAGAAGCTTTTATTTTTCCGCTTTTACCTGTAGAAAATAGATAGCATTTTAGCAATTTTTAATTTTAGAAAGGGTTAATATTCTCTGAAATTTTTAGCATTTAAGGACTCCCGAAGCGTAGGGTTGAATATTACTATAAGGGGAGCGTTGCGTCCTCTCTCTCACCCACTGCCCTGTCCCTCTCTCGCTCCCTCCATCTCTGTCTCTATCTCTCGCCCTCTGTTTCTCTCTCCCTCTCTCTCTCGCCCTCTGTTTCTCTCTCCCTCTCTCCCTCTTTCTCACCGCTGCGAGATCCCGATCGAATGGGCCACCAGCGCATCGTTGAGCCGCCGCAGACGCTCCAGCTGGTCCACCTGAGCATTCATTACTAGGAGGATACCCCGGTATCCGATACCTTGGCCTCAATACCCAGATCCGAGTACTCCTTGCCGGTCGTCGGCGCGCCCTTCTTGTTGCCAAACTTAAAAGTTCAATCTTCGCTTCTCAACCTCCACATACCCTCAAAAACTTGGTGAGCTTCATCGGGCCGGGGACAGCGTGAAATTAGATGCGTAGTTGAAAGAATTCGGTGCAAAAGATTTGAGGCGGAGTAGTAACAATGATGTTTTTCGAGCTCCCAAAATTCATTTTATAGCAGGAAAATTATGCAAATTAGTTTTTGTCGTCCGGTATGCAAATTATTATTTATTCTTTTAAGTCATTTTAAAACACGACGATATTTGAAAGCAGCAAGCGTCTGATTATTTCTGGCAAACGCCCCGAGCACGAGAAGCTCGCCAGAAGAACGGAATCTCGACTTCTTTAGCTCTTCCTTGCAGCAGTCCCTGAAAATCGGCAGTATTGGTGAAAAAGTACGAATCCTACCTAATTCCAGTCTGCTCCAAATTGTCCAATTTGATTTCTACGCCATTGATCGTGCAGGTGCGGTCACATTTTCCTTCGAAATCTTGGAACTGGAGTTCGATTTTCGTACCGGGGGCCGCCTGAATGGAGTTTGCAGCCTGGGGAAGGCTTGTAGCTTTCAAGGTACGTGCAAGGCAAGATCATGAATGTTTAGCGTCTAGATCTCGGAAAATGCGTTTCTTTTAGTTGTTTGGTTTTAGCACTTTTAAAACCTAAAAAAAAAAAAAAAAGACCCCCCAAAAATTTGAGCCAGAGGGCACTTACGGAGCTGAAAATTTGCACAGAGGTAGCGAAGGCAATTTTCTATGAACAAGGAAAGTTTCAGCCCGATCGGACAGCGGGTTTTAAAGTTATAGCGAAAATACTTTTCATTTTTAATTTAATATGGGGATCTTTGCAATTTGCATCAAAGATATGCATTATTCTTGCATTTACGAGCCGATTTTGCATAAATTTCGCTGAAAAGTGCCATTTTGTTGATGGAGCTTTTGGAAAACGATTGCGTACGAAGAATAAAAAGAGTGTTAAAACAACTGTTTTATCGATCCAAATCACGTCTTATTGTACATTTTGGCAATTTGAGCTTCGTCGGCCCGAAAACAGAGTTCGACGAGCTCGAAAACAGTGATGAAGTTTAGATTTGGGTTTATGTTGGCACGTACGCTGAAGTTTAAGCCAAGCTCAAGCGTTCAACGATAGTTTCCGCCATAAGGTCTGGTATTCATCGTTCTCGCTGATCATTTTCTCGCTACATGAGCAATCGTTTTCCAAAAGCTCCATCAACAAAATGGCACTTTTCAGCGAAATTTATGCAAAATCGGCTCGTAAATGCAAGAATAATGCATATCTTTGATGCAAATTGCAAAGATCCCCATATTAAATTAAAAATGAAAAGTATTTTCGCTATAACTTTAAAACCCGCTGTCCGATCGGGCTGAAACTTTCCTTGTTCATAGAAAATTGCCTTCGCTACCTCTGTGCAAATTTTCAGCTCCGTAGGTGCCCTCTGGCTCAAATTTTTGGGGGGGGGTCTTTTTTTTTGGGACACCCTGTAGATTTCAGCGCTTGATTCTCACCTTGATATGCATCCAGCATTCCTCCGGCATAAACAAATTTGGGCCGTTGTTCCGGACCCCGGAATCGAGCCTAATCCGGTGACGCTGCCAGCCGGGCTTTGCCTGAAAATGCGTTTAGGCTAAGCTCCGCCAAGCCCAAACCAAGCCTAAACTCATCCTAAGCGCAGGCTAAACTAAGCCTAAGCTAAGTCTGAGCTAAGCCTTGACGTCGATAGTCCTACCGTACCTTCAACTCAACACTGCACTTCGGATTCTTGGTGGTAGACTTGGCCGGCTCATCACAAAACCCTCCGGAAAAGCCATCCGGGCAAAAACAGGCGCAGGTACTGTAGAAACGGTAGTTTTTATAGGTTACAATTGCTAGCTACCAAGGCTTTGAAACGCTTAAAAAACTAACTCCTTGAAAATCGAGACACCACCATTTTGGCAGACCAAATCATCACAGTCGGGATTTTCTAAACAAGTTAACAAAGGATTCTCTCTCTCTCTCTCTCTCTCTCTCTCTCTCTCTCTCTCTCTCTCTCTCTCTCTCTCCCTCTCTCTCTGTCTCTCTCGCTGTCTCTCTTCCTTTTTATGTCTTACCGTAACATCCATAAAAACGATTTAACAACACAAAATCCAGAAACGTTATTCGGATCTAAAAAAACATTTTGGATTTTTTCAAAGCTTACCCGTTGGCCCAGCGTTTTCAAATATCGCCTATCCAGTGGTATAATCGAAGGCATTGACTGGTTAATTCCATTACCATCTAGAAAGACATGAACGTATCATCGGTTTTAAAGGCAAAAGAAACTCACAAGCCCCATAATGCATTACGCTACCCAGCTCGTAGGGCAATTTATAGACTTCAGAAGGGAGGGAGAATTGCTGAAAAGGGATATGAATTTGACTATTTGAATACTATCTGAATATTCCGGAGATATGAGCAGAGAAACTTCGCGGGAATTTATTGTCCCCATCCCTTTAATGTTCAAATCAACCTTTTGATACTGCCGTAATTCATTAGGCTTGATGTTCGGAGCAAAGATGTGAATATGTTGGTCTCGGTCGGCTCGAGACTAAAATGAACGAAAAAATCGGTTTTTTTTAATCTAAAAATTCACAAAAATTTCCAAATACCTGCGTGTGCTCAAAGCCCAACAGATGGAGAATCTCGTGCGCTATCACGCCAAACTAGAAAAAACTTCAAAAAATCTGCATGCGTACCGAATCCGTGCATCCGAAAGGTATCGAGATGTTCTGCACGGGCCCGTCGAAATGCGGACCAACGCGGGACCAACAGGTTTTATCCTGAAAATCTGGTGAAGAGGGCTAAAAAAATAGCATACATTGATGACCCGAACCAGTGGGACGCCGAGGTCTTCTCTTGGATTTTCCAAAAATCGGATGCAGCTTTTGGACTCGATATCCTTCAGGACGGTGCGGATTTTGTGGCGGCTTGGTAGGGCTGAAATTCATAGATCGAGGGAGCTAGAGTGAGAGAGATCGAGACAGAGAGTGAGAGAGAGCTAGAGAGAGGTAGCGAGAGACGGAGAGAAAGAGAGGGATGGAGCGAGATCGAGAGCTAGAAGGAGAGAGAGAGAGAGAGAGAAAGAGAGAACTCACGGATCCGAAATTCAAATCGAAACGGCACCGGCGTATCCCTAGGCCACCTTTTCCCCAAACTTTCAGTATTTTCGAGCACCGGCAACTGCTCAAACAGTTTATCGTAGCCGGCCTCGACTTCCTAGAAGAACGAGTTTTTCGTCTTTTATTAGTGGAACTCACCACCGTAAAAACTCTTTGAAACGGCAGAATAATGATTAGAAACAAATTCCCAATTCCAAATACCCAGAGCATCGTCAATGCAAGAACATATGTAGGACAAGCTGATGCTCACTCTCCTCCGGATTCGAGCCCATGCTCCTGGCGGGGAAATTGGATGTCGGTTTTTTCCGCTACAATCCGATGGGCGAAAGCCGTGTTCATATGGCTTTGATGGAAAAATCGTTTTAAAGGGACTACGAAGGGGAAAAAGGAAAAAGGGCTATTTTCAAAAAGGATAGATGGGGCAAAAGAGGTAATCTCTCTCTCTCTCTCTCTCTCTCCTCACTTCCTCGCACTCGCTCTCTCTCGCTTTCTCTCGCTCTCTCTCGCTATCTCTCTCTCTCTCTCTGGCCAGGCACTTTTTAGTGCGTACCTTGTTCACCTCCAAAATTTTATCTATTTTTTACCCAAATTCCTTTACTGGTATTCCTTTTTGTGATAAGATCTATAATTCTTGGTGATACCCGAGACTGAGAGGCAAGAAATAAAGACATGTGATGTGAGATGGATATCTATCTAGACACCACTGATAATAAATGATCGAGTGACGTATTCGATGCGGGTGTTCTCTGACTCCCTCCCTTTTTCAGATCGAAGGAATCCCCCCCTCGTTGTTTCCTTGCTCATACCGACCCAAGCAATTCGTTTTTTTTGCGTCTACCGACTGCCCTCTTTTTATGTTTATAAACGATTTTTTTTGTATCTTGCAAAAATTTCGAAAAACCTTTTTTGCCCTTTCTTGGAAATTTTTTCTGTAATTTTTGATAGATTACGTTTTCTTGATATGCAAAACTTGACTTGAGCTAAATAGCACTCAGGAGACAGATTAGGAGGGAAAGGGACTAGGAAGTAACACAATCTTACAGTGTCGACAGCTAGATATTCGTCATTTACCCTTGAAACTGTGACTTTTAGGCTATTTTGAATCATTTCATTGCTTTTTCATTGCATTTTTTTTTCCGGAAGTGAAGCTTCGAGTTAGCGAATAAAGTGTGTCAAGTGCCCAGAATCGACCCGTGATATCAACTAGGTGTTGACAGAAATTCCAGGCATAGTCCGGACAGCCAAAATCCCGACAGCCCAGGCTTCGACAAAATGCCGACAGCCTAAATCCCGACAGGCCAAATTGGCATGCCAATATCCCGACAGCGAAAATCAATCAAATCTGAAATCAAAATCACGGCATGAAAATACCGACAGGCAAAATAGCTGTTTAAAAGGAGGTGATGTTAAAACTAGCGTCAGAAATGTGTCGGTATGTTGGCTGTCGATATTTTGGGTTTCGGGATTTTGCCTGTCGGGATTATGACTTTCGGGATTTTCACTATTGAGATTAGATGGCCCGAATCTCCTTAGTAGCGCTAGGAATCTAGTATGGATATATCGTTAGTTGTGGCTCGTAGCGGTCTAAAAATCTGCCATTATTTGGCTTCCCTATCCCTTTAAAAGGCTATACGACCACTTCCAGACCTAAATTTTCTTCTCGACCCGCCTGATCTCTGAAATCTCTGTGAAACGACCAAAAAACCGTCTAACGTCGCTTTTAGATCACCCATTAAAGGGTTGAACTGTTCCCCGTTACTCGTCGTGAAATGGACTCTTTTTATGGTTGTCTGGGTGATATCGAGGGGAGCAAGAGAAATGTAGGGATTGTGATGAGCCGTTGAGATCTCCCTTTTATAGATCCCCCTCACTCACCCGCGCTCTTTCACCCCTGAAACTGATCTGACAGATTGATCCGCACCTCCCAATTGGCATAACATGATTGCGATTAGCGGAAGATTAACCCGGATTAAATTCTTTTTCTGTTTTTCTAGATTTATAGGTTTTTTGAAAAAAATCGTTACTTTAACAGATACCTCAACAAAATCGCCATCCATTTTGCATCTTTTTCCTTTCTTTTTACGTTATTTTTGTTGGCACATATTTTTTAGGGTGTTTTCGACTTCTTCAGGTGCTTTCGCCTTATCGGGGGGTCCGGTCATGCCCATTTCCCTACGATTCAATTTTTCTGATACAATAATGGAATTGTTTTTAACTGTTTTTTATTGTTCAGAAACTTAAAAAATTTACAACTTTTAGCTAAAAATACAAAAATATTGTTTTTACCAAAAAGAGAGCCATTTCCCACCAAAATTTCAATTTTTTTTTTAATTTTGTCCGGCCTGAAATAACGTTAAATTTAACGAAAAACATTATGAACACTCTCTACGACGAGGCGTTTCTGTAAATAAAGAAAAAAATTTACGCCCCCCCCCCCGATAATGCCATAGATTCCCTCCACTTCAATATTTTTCGTATTTATGATTTATTCAGATTTCAGAAATGTCTCCCACTCCAACCCCGAAAGTAAAGATTAGCGACAAGAGGTGAGGCCGGATTTTTTTCTAGGTTTGCTAGCACTTTGTAAAATCTTTAATTGGTTGGAAGTTGGTAGTTGAGAGCAAAATCTGGAGCTAGGAGCTAATGACCTATTTATCCAGCTCCGAGCTCCCGGCTTCCAGCTACCAGATGCTGGTCTTACCACACTATATTTTTTCACTTTTAGGCCCGAAATTCTTGGCGCGGCCGAGGCGAGAAGCCCGGAGGAATCCGAGGCTGAATGTGAGTTTTTGTCGAAATTATACATTAATCATAGTTACATCGAAAATCTAATTAAATTTAAGCCAAAAACCCGAAAATAATTTAATTTAGCAAACGATCTAGCCACCGAGCTCGTCCGTTTTGAGCCCCAACTCGCCCACGCGTCCGCCTTCACCCCTACCGGGCTTCCAGGATGGTTTCAGGTAGGGATTTTCAACCTAGAAAATTTAATTGAAACTGTTCAGGCAAAAACGACCCTGATAAAGGTGCCGAGTCACCGGACAAGTAAGTAAATAGGTCTCAAAATTTTATAGGTTTTTTTCAGTCGAACAGCTCGGCCGGATCCTCGAGAAAAGCTCATCACCAAATAACCTATCGGGTAAGTCCCGTTTCGAATCAAGAATGGTCCCCCTGACAAGGCCTTTAAAACGAAAAATGACAAATGCGCTTTAGAATCCCTACGCTGCCTCTCCAATCCGTACCACAAAAATAGCGGGCGAGATGATATAATTTTTGACCTGTTCAAATTGCCTGGGACGAATGAGGCGTCAGTCGGAAAGTTGATTACGGTAGGTATTGCGGACACAAAAATCTCTCTTTTCTCTCGCTCTCTCCCTCTCACTCACTCTCTCGCTCTCACTCTCTCTATCTCTCTCTCGTCAAAAATTCGGGCATTCGGACCCAATTCCAGATCTTTTCAGGTCCTAAAAGGTCTCGGCTTGCGACGAGACGATCCCCGGCTAAAGGAAATGATGTCAAGGGTACGGTAGCTGAAACAGATTTTAGAAAATCACCTAGGTCCGAACGTTCACCAAAATGGAAGAGGAACTCAACCACGAGACCAAGGACCCAAACCACTGGAAGCTGAGCCGGGAGCAATTTTGCGAGTGGGTGGCGAGTGGGCAAGCTAGCAGGGGTTTTTTAAAAACTGTATAAAATAGTACGCTACAGTACAAACTACAGCATAAGAATGATTTAAAAAATTGATTTAGATGCATCTCCCCTTCAACCGAGCTGATTTCACAAGCCCTCCAAAATAACCTCGTCATCCCTTGTTGGCCAGTTTTTACCGAGAAGATCAGAGATATATATTTAAAGGTAAAAATCTTATAAATTTAATCGCATTGAAAAATGAAGATTTTATTATGGTTGTTTATTAAATAAATTATCGATTTTTTTAGTGCAAATTGATCAAAGACGGCCAATGCGCGCAGTACATTCCGCAACTAGCCAGGGGTGACCCGGAAAAGTTTGGAGTATCGATATGTACTGTCGATGGGCAGAGGGTGGGTTTCTCTCTCGCTCTCTCTCTCTCTCTCTCTCTCTCTCTCTCTCTCTCTATTCTTCCCTTTCCAGGCCTCCTGGGGCGATTCCAAGATCCCCTTCTGCGTCCAGTCCGTCTCCAAGGCGTTCACCTACGCCATAGCTTCCTCAGAGTTGGGTAAGTGCATGGCTACGCTCTGCAGGCTACATAGACTACAGTATAGGCCTATTGACAAGCCAAAAAAAAATAATTTAGGAGCCGAAAAAGTGCATTCTTACGTCGGGCAAGAGCCGTCTGGCCGCTTTTTCAACGAGATTTGCCTTGACCCGAGTGGTGGGTTGTTTTAAAGGAGCGTTGAAGGCTAATTTTAGGCTATCCCCACAATCCGATGGTCAATTCCGGGGCTATCGTGGTCGCGTCTTTATTGCAGGTAGGATTTTGATACCTATTCACCTCATTGTATGCTAATCTAAACTTCCTCTTCTGGATTTGACAGTTTTTTTCATGAAACATTTTGCCTGCCGAGACCCTTGAAAACTATTTCAAAAAGGAATAAGAAATCGTTTTCATCATTTTCAAACTTAATAGAGAAATAGGTCTCCAGATCAGGTCACACTTTAGCCCGACCTCGACATGGCCGACCGGTTTGAGCACGTGCTCACCGAGTACAAGAAAATTGCCGGCGGCGAATACGTCGGCTTCAACAACGCGACGTAAGCCATTTTTGCGTCAATAGTAAAAAACGTACCCGCAGTTTCTTATCCGAGAGGGCAACCGCCGACCGGAACTATGCGATCGCCTACTTTTTGAAGGAGAACAAGTGCTTCCCGGAGGGGGTGAGTCTACATGATTTTAAAGGGAATAGGAAGCGAGAAATATGAAAATTAATGGACAACATATTTTTGGAATTTGATGTCGTAATGCATGTTTGCGTATTCTGGTGCAATTCATAGCTCCTTTAAAAGGAAACTAGGAGCCAGAATCCGTCAAAACCATCCACTTCCGCTTCAGATGCCCTCTCTCGTCGAGACCCTCGACTTCTATTTCCAACTGTGCTCACTGGAAGTGACCTGCGAGACGATGAGCGTCATGGCTGCAACATTGGCGAACGGGGGTACGTTATTGGGATCCTGGCGTAGTTGCCACTTTTAGGCGTTTGCCCGATCACCGGCGAGCGCTGTATCGCGCCCAGCGCCTGCCGCGATGTCCTCTCGTTGATGTATTCTTGTGGTAAGTCGTAGACCCTAACCTCAAAAACGTTTTTTTGTCGTTTTTAGGAATGTATGACGCGAGCGGGCAGTTCTCATTCTCGGTGGGTTCCGCATGAAAACATATACCAGCGCCACTGTAGTACTTAATTACCGATTTCCAAATGGAATGCCGAAAATCGAAAATACCGACGGGTTAAACTGCCGACAAATTACTTCCGCAAATTAAAATACCGACAGCCAAAAGATTAGCTGAATAAAAGCGCTCATCCTGAAAAAGCCGTCAAGCCGTAAAAAACCGAAAGGACCAACTTACCCACAAAATGGTGTTCCGCGGGCTGTTGGAATTATCTGTAGCTTGTCGGGATTTCAGCCTTCGACACCTTAACTTGTCGGCATTTCAAAGTCACGACAATATGAGTGTCGGCATTTTGCTTGTCGGAAACCAGATTGTCGACATTTTGGCTTGTTGGCTTTATGAATTGTCGGTGTTTTGGCATGTCTGCAATTTCGGTTGTCAATATTTTTTTGATCCCACTTTCGGCATTTAAGCTGCCGAGATCTTGGCTTGTCGGCATTTTTGGGACTGCCTGAAATACCGCCTATCAACGCTCAAAACCCCCGAGCCCCTCCTGAAAACCCTATAAATTGTCAGCTTCAGGTCGGCCTCCCCGCCAAGTCCGGCGTCTCCGGAATCATGATCGTCGTCGTGCCGAACGTGATGGGCATCGCCCTCTGGTCACCGCCGCTCGATAAAATGGGCAATTCGTGTCGTGGTGTGGCGTTTTCAAGGGTAATTTCACCTACAGGTCCTCGAAAATACTTCTAGGAACTCGTGGCGCAGTTCAACTTCCACAACTACGACTGCCTGCTCCACACCGAGAGCACCAAGTTCGATCCGCGGCGCCACGATAATCGGTTGGTTTTTTGCTGTAAATCCTTTTATTCAGTTCTTAGCTCTTTTCTATTATCAGGGGGGAGGGCTAATTTTTGGAGTCCAAATACCCTTTTTAACGTTCAAGGCTGTAATAGCTGTTTAGTAAATTTAGCTGTATTTAAAGCGAGAAACTCACAGGAAAGATTGAAGGTCAGAAAATCGGGGTTTTTTTTACTCTTTTTGAACAGTATTCGCTATTTTGCCTACTTTTTCGTTTGAAATAGAATTTTTAGCTTTTGAAATAGCTATTTTAAAGGCTTGTAAGCTAAACTAACTCTTCTAGGGAACGAGATCAGTGCGTGCCGGTGTTGTTCGCCGCGCGAGATGGCGATATGCAAGCGATTCGAAGGTACATAATCATATCTGAAAAGCTAACTAATACGCAAAAAATTCATACACCTTTTTCTAGGCTTTACATGCAAGGCGCCGACCTGTCCGTTTCTGATTATGACCAACGAACGCCGCTTCACGTCGCCGCCAGCGAGGGGCATCTAGAGGTGGTCAGGTTGGTAGAGCAAACCTGAAAAAAAAAACAGTTTAAAAACTGATATTTACGTTTCGTCGTCTCAATCCCGCTTTTTCAGATTCCTCGTGCTCACCGCAAAAGTGGAAATTGACGTGAAAGATCGGTGGGTGAATCCCAGATCACCCTATAAAGAAAACCGTCTAAAAAGGTAAAAAAGTAAAAATATAACTTTTAGCTGGGGCCAAATCCCGATCGACGACGCCCGCGGCTTCAACCGGACGACGTGCGTGGAGTTTCTTGAAGCTGTTGCAGAGGTTTGTATCCAAAAACCTAAGATTAACCACCATTTCTAGGGCAAAAACCTGGATCAAGCCTCGGTGTCCTCCTCCTCGATGGCGTCGATCGAGAGCCTCGATGCGCCGAGCGACCCCAAATATCAGCACTACCGGCCGCGGTTTTCAATTGCTGACGGGCAATAAGAATAGTTATGTCAAATACAGTCGAAATTATTGTTTTTGTACAAAATAAATGTCTAATAAAATTTTTTAGTGGCTAGAAAAGTCATACATTGATTTCCACTTTTCCACCGGGGATTTTAACCGGTGTGGAAAACCTGTCTACCTCTCAAGCTTTTTTCTTACGTTTTATAATGTATTTCCAGCGTTCTTAAACAATTAGACAGACTTAACAAAAAGTCTTAAAAGAGTTTTAGAAATTTTCGAATGTTTTGGCCAGCTCAAAAATTTTTCGAAAATTTGATGCACTTTTATATACTTTACTCTTCTATTCTTTATTTGATATGCTATTCTTTATTTTATATACTTAAGAACGGCGTTAAAAATACATATAAATGGTGTATTTCATTAAAGCCACGCCACAGTATTCAGTATTCCATCAATGTCTCAACGTGCCATTTCCACGCCCCCAAAATCACTCCAATCAAAGACCATTTATCACGGCGAAGCGCATTGCCAAATGAGCGTGTTTCTCGAACGAATGACATTAAGTTTTTGGAAACGAATAGTGCTACAAACGAGGGGGAGGAGGAATGGAGCGGGGGAGGCGATACAATTGAATGGGGGGAAGGTGGAGGGCAAGCTTCAGCGGGCCAGGACGACGGATCACTTGTCGGTGGTCTTCTGCTCGGTCGTCTTCTGCACCGGCGCTCCTTCCGCCGCGGCATTCCGGATTGGGGCGGGCTGAAAAATAAAGTTATTTTTGCAGTTTTTAAATTTTTTTCCATTCAAAAATCTACCTTAACCAACAGCTTCATATCCCCATCGACCGGGGTCGGCGTCCACAGCGACTTGTCCTCAAAATGAACGGCTCTAAAGTCCAAAGTTTCCCAATTTTTAAAACCAGCATACCTCTTGGCCTTGTCCTTCTTTTCTTTGCTGTCCTTCTTCTCCTTGTCTTCCCTAAAAAAATTAAAGTTTTCCGTATCTTTCGCATTATCGGGGGGTTTATCCCCAAAATCCAGTCATACCTAGTAATGATAGCAAATATTCTAGTAGTGCTTGTAGTACAATTCCGGGTATATGTCGGCTACGCGGGGGGGACGGGACAGGCAGGCCTTTTTGGATGTTTTCGTTATTTTCTCGGAATTTTCGCAACGGCATTCGATAGAGCATCGAAAAATATACTAAGAGTTTATTTTTTAGCTCAAATTAGTGTAATATAAAAAAGTTATGGCAAATACAAAAATAAGAAGTAGATATGTAAAAAATAAGTAGAAAATTTAAGAAAGTAGAAGGTAGAAAAGTAGAAACAAAAATAAGTAGAAAATTTAGACAATGTCTAAAAATCCGAAAATTTTGTCGAAATCCTTCTTTTTAAATTCGAAAAACCGTCAATTTTTCATACCGCTAGGAATCCGATCCCACGGAAAAGGTCCCCCCGATAGTGCACAAGGACCAATTTACAAATCTCGTAACCCAAAACCTACTTCAGAATTGGGGTCGGTGTCTTGGCGCCGATCTTGGCCGACTTTAGGAACTCGATGACGTCCGGCGGCAGTCCCAGGTCAGGTGGCGGAGCGTCGCGGGCGGCCTATAACTATATTTGCAAACCAAAATTTTTTCAATCCAACATTGATCCGATTCCGGATCATGTTGCGCGTCATGTCGCAGTCGGGCGCCTCGCACAGCATCGTCGCCCACGACGACTTTGCCGCCAACTGCTTGAAGTAGTCGTTTACCTGAACGTTTTGGCATGTTTTTACCGCTTTTTTTTGTTGCTACCTGAGCCACCGACGTCACCCTGACGCCCTCAACTTCCAGGATACAATCGCCCTGGCCGAACGTCATCGCCGAGGAGGAGTCCGGGTCCACGTGGTCGACGTATACCTGCAAATTTACAAAATGGTTCTGCCCTTTTGGCGGTAGGAGCCAATAGTAATTTTAGAGTCTTTTATTAGTTTTTAAACCTTGGAAATATTACGTTTTTTCAATACCTTTTTGAATTTAAAAATTTGGGTTTTCTAACTCGTGGAAAAAGTAAAAAAATTCTAATTTTCCTATTGTTATACAGCGTTTTCTATGCAAAAAAAAGTGAAATAAACTTAAAGAACGTAGCGCGTCGTAACGATGTAGTTTGAAAAATTCTAGGACCATACCTTCTCCTCAATGGCCACCAACGTCAGCCCGACCGGCAACCCCTTCAAGAAGTAGAGGACAATCCGGCTGTACTCGAAGCCCTCCATCAAATTCCTAAGAAAATGGGGCGTTTGGCGAGCCGGAAAATCTCACGGCAACTGGGCGGCGGCCGTGACCGGCAATACGAAGCGCGTCCGAAGTCGAGCGATCTCAAGCTTGCCCTAAAACTTTTAAATTAACGGAATAATTGCTCGCACCTCCTTCCCACTTTTCGACAGCGCCACCATCGCTGCTTTCACGTTGTCCGCCTTCCCGTTGACCTAGAAAATCATTCTAGACAGCTGGCGTCAAAACCAACCGATAGAATCAGGTCCCCGACCTTCACTTTTCCGCCGGCAACCTAAAAAAGTCTTAAAAACTAATTTGTGGATACCGAATTTGGGTTGACTTTGACGACGAGCTCGCGGAGGATGGAAAAGCCGAGCTGGAAATATCTTGTTAAAAGCTTTAAAAAGTTTCTTGTTACCTTTTCATCTTTATCTGGCAGCAGGTCGACGGTAAGGTTCTAAACAATCAAAATATTTTACTTTTACGAAAATCGTACATCAAAGGCAGCGCGCGGCAACGCGTGGTTATTCATGTATGGCTTGAAACGCTCCAAACTCCGTTTCTTCTTTGCTTCGTCCTGAAAAAGAGCGGAATTTGCATGAAGGCCAGATAGAGAAAAGTTTCAAAGACCCACCTCAACAACCATTCAGCCTCATAGAGGGCCAGGCGCGTGAAAGTGAAGATTGGCAGCTGTTAGCGGGGGTACGGTGGAAAATGGCGGTTTGATTTACCATTTATTCGATCATGCGCATGCAAATTTGTCGGAAAACGCGATTTTTTTTAAGCTTTTCGCCTTCTCTCTCTTCAACTGCGATTCTGCAATGCTTTTCCTGACCGCAGCCATCCCTTTAAATTCAGAAAAAAATTGGCACTAAATTAGGTTTTAAATATTAATTTAAATCCGCCGCCACTTGAGCTGGTACTCGATACTAAACTTCTAAATTTAGCCAAGAAACCCTGATTTTCCAGTTTTTTGCTTTTTCTCTTCATCGAGTATTTCGCTAGGCTTTTGCTTGCTGAAAAAGTTTTTTAATTTAATTTTCACCCCCGTATAAAGCTCTTAACCCTAATTTAGTATTTTTATCCCTATCAATTTTCACAATTCCGGTCAAAGTTCACCTACTTCTCGATGCCCTTTGCCCATCCATCCCCCCCAACTTATCAACTGTTCCCACATCTTGTTCTCTCCTCTCCTATGCCTCGCCCAGCTCACGCCGGCCTTTGTCTGATATTTCCCTCAACACTATTTGCATCCGCAGCCCCTCCCCTCCGCTCCCACCACCCTCATTTAGCACGCGTAACCGGCCGGCCACCTAATTTTTGCGAGGATGAAGGGCGCCGCCTATGTAAAGCGCCTCGAGCTCCTCTTTGGCGCCTACAAGCACATGAACGCGTTTATGAGCTGTGGAGTCCAGGTAATCGCCTCAAAATTTCTTAAAATCCACTTTTCCTAGGAATTTCGCATCATTTCCGCTGATGAGAAGCGATATCGGGCGGAATTTGAGGTTGGATAGATCTAATTTACCTGAAAATAAGCCTTTAGGTCACGAAGGACATGGTGAATCCGATCGGCAGTCTCCACGGCGGTTGCTCAGCTACACTGCTCGACGTCGGCTGCGCGGCGTCGGCCTTCATTCGAGGCAAAGTCGTTCTGTCCATCAACCAGGAAGTGACGTGGGTGATTTGTAGCATCTAAAAAGTGCTTCAATCTAGTGTCGTCTCGGGCGCGAAGCTGGGCGACACCGTTTATATGGACATTGAGTTGATACGATTAGGTAGGGTTAAACAGGGTCGCCAAAAATTATTTATGTAGGTAAAACCCAATGCTACACGCGCGGTGAGATTGTCAAGAAAGCCGACCAAAAGATGGTGGCTTTTGGCACGTGCACCTACACTGTCCCTCCAACTCGAGTGCTACCTGAATCGGTAAAAACCTTCAAAATAACCTTACCTTTAATTTCAGGCTCACAGCCTCATCTCTCAACTGACGCAAATTCAGTAATGCTGCGTCGACATATTCTAGGAACTGGATGCCGGGTCTTTCATATCATGTGTCATTGTATCCATGTCATTTTTGATGAAACAAGCTTTAATAAATCTGAAGAAACAAAGACAACAACGTCACATGGTGACAAAACAACGACGATCATACAATGTGAAAGATTATTTACGATAGGATGACAATAAATGAATAGTGGATTCTTAGCGCCATTTCTTAGGCTTAGGGCCTGCCGGCAGCACGTCACGACCCCGTTTCTGCGCCATTTTACTTCCAACCGTCTCATCCCGAAGCGTCGTCTCTTCCTGTAAATTGGTTTGAGAAAGAGAGAATCTCAAACCTGAGGCGTCCGCTCACCCTTCTTTTGAAACTTTTTCCGCAAAGAACCTCCGAGCCTAAAATTCAATTTTGAAAGTGAAGAATAAACGTACGCTTCCGCCATTTCCGCTTTATTCACTTCAGCTTCTTCTTCCGAATCCTCAGTTGGAAGACCCTTGCGTAGTCTTTCGTGGAATATCATTAATTTCTGAAAACGAAACTAAAGGAGTGAATGCTGCTTACCTCGACTTCTGGGTTAAATCCTTTGAATGAAAAACGGCCAAACCGCAAATCCTCCAGCTTGTCGTAAGAACGTACGAATTCATATTGTGGCCTAAACAAGAGTTCGATTTTTAGTGGAGGGCCTACGCTTCATCGACTTCTTGTTTCACGACAACTTCATTTTGGCTGGGTCCCTCGCCCAAGAGACGCTTCTTCTCGGCCAGCTCCTTCTTCTGCGCCTCTTTCATTTCAAACTTCTTCTTTGTGCGTTGCATAAACTAAAAAGAACGTTTCCAATAAAAATAAAGGTCCAACCTTCATATCCATTAGCGCCTTCGAAATACCAGGACCGTCCGCCATTTTGCTATCTGAAACGGATATATTTCAAACGGGTAGGCGCAAGGCAAAAAGCAGTGATGGAACCAAAGCCACTTTGCTTTGCGAAAAAGTATTGAGCAAAATCATTTATCACACGGTTTGAAAATCAACAAAAATTTAACAATCCCCTGAAAATTTCGGAAACCGGATAACAGACAACAAAACAATCTACAAAAAATAAAATGGTATTCAACTTCCAATCACACGGTACATGTGTAGCTGTGTGCAATCTTCGTACTCTGTGCTCTTCTCGGTGCCACAGAACTCGTAGGCAATCTCGAACAATGGTTTCTAAAAAAGTTTTATATTTTGGGTGTTGCGTTACCTCCTGCAGCCATTCCTCAACTTTAAAAGAAAGCGGCAAATGTTCGACGATATCGCAAATCGCGGGGTTATGGATGATCACGCAACCCGGTTGCAGATTCTTGTGCAGGAATTCCCAGCAAGATACCTAAAAATATCTTAAAGATTTCGAGAAAAAGTTACATGCTCTTCCGCCGACATGAAGAAGCTAAATACGTTGTTCATCACCACGACGTCGGCCGTCTGTATCAGAGAAGCTTGATTCCGCACATCGGAACAGCAGATTTCAATATCTAGAAAAATCTATTGATTTCATGAAAATGTTCCTGACTTGGAAAAGCGTGTTGCTTGACGAATTCCATTTGCAACTTGGCGAACTCTGGGTTCAACTCAACGCCGGCGATTTTCCAATCCGATTCACTAAATGAATAAAACACATAAAACACGCGAAAACAGCGACTTACCCCAACAAGCTCGCTCCAAAAATTACTGCACCCATGCGCGACCCAATGTCGACAATAAATGGGCTCGGTTTTTGCAGCAACGGCACGAGCCTTGTGAACATGAATTCAATCTAAAGCAAAAATCAACAGCAAAAAGCCTCATACTTGCTCTTTTGACAGGGAGTGCGAGATGAAATTTAGCGCCTCCAGGTCTTTAGAGCCACATTGTTTGCAATAGTATCTAAAAGGGATCATGAATAAATGTAAGGATTTTACCTTGAGACCTTTCCCTCGTCCACCATCTGATCAACATCATCATCAGTGAACAGAAAGTTGTCGATATGTAGCTAAAACAGCCGTTTCTCCGCAAAATCGAGGATCATACCGTGTTAACAGCATTACAATCTGAATCATATCCGACTGTTGGATATGCTATCGACTCCGTCGGCATAATCGCTTCTGGCGAAACCTGTAAACTCGTTAGTTAGTGAAAAAGACAGGATTTGACTTTATCAAATTTGCAAAAAACGCCGTTTGCAATATACCTTAGCTTTCAGTTCTTCGGCAATCTGATCCAACTTCAACAGAGCTTTTCGTGTCTTCTTGGACCGTTTTTTCCTCGACTTTCCATGCCCATCTTCGACAGATTTTGCGATCCAGTCCAAAAACGAGGAGAGTCTCTGAAATTTGAATTTAATCAAGCTCAGCAAAGCCGCCAAAATGTTGAAAGTAACAAAACTCACAGCTCCTTCCAATTCATCGAGAAGCTCGAGATATTTTTCCTTAGCTGTCGCCAGATCCATCAGAAAGAGCGATTCTTTCGGCACCAAAAATATAAATTAAATGGCTACACCACGCGCCGATGGCCGTAGCAGTATGTGGGGTGGCGACAAAAGGCAAGGCAATGGCCGATTGGAGCCAAAATTATTCAAAAGGTCACAGAATCCAATCTAGTCAGAATCAACCCAAATGCACTACGGCGAATCCTCTTCCGATATTCCGACGACTTCTCCCCCTTCGAATCAGACGAGCCCGGAGCGCTCACCAGCCCTAGGGCCCGCTGAAGCCGATTTTTCAGCGGTGGAAAACCCTGCCACGCCAAACACGTCCGTGGAATTGGATGATTCTCCACAATATTCCGGATTTGAGGCTAAGGATTTGATAACTAATATTTCTCCGAGCGATGACGCCGCTAAGGTGTCAACTGCGGATACTAGCCTAGAATCTGAAGAAACGTTGCGGTCCGAATCCCGGACCAGCTCCGTTGAGAATCCTTGCAGGGAAGCCGATGACTCGATGGATGGTGAGGGATCTGCGAAAGCGCCTGATCATGTAGGTTACGAAGAATCTGAAGCTAATGATAGCTTGGATGCCATTATTCCTGGATCTGCGTCTGCCTCATTAGAGGACAAGGCGAGTACCCCAGAAATCCCGAAACAGGTTGAAGCCCGTTTCGAAGACGATCAGCCCAGGTTCTCGCTTGCGGAACTTGATCCTGCAGATCAGCCGGAAACCATGGATGGTCAATCAGAAACGTCACAACAGGTGGACGACGATGATTGGAGAGATGACTCTATGGAATGTAAGTCAGAAGAGCCGCAAGGCATGGGAAGTGATGATCCGAATAATGAATCTATGGATTTCATGTCGGAGGAGTCACGAGAGATAGAAACTAATGAAAAAGACGACTCTTTCGGTGAGCCACAGGTTGATGGCGAGCAGGGGCTCAGTTCAGATCCAGATCAGTCGTTTGAAACTGAGAAGCAGGAAGAGGGAGAAGCAAAAGATTCTGATGAATCTTTCGAGTCAGCTGCTGAAGAGAGAACGGAGGACTCAGAAAATCGCGATTCCCAAACGCCCATGGCTCCTCTCCATTCAGAACGGTTTGAAAATTACCCAGAAAGTGAAGCATCAAGCAATTCCGGCTCAAGAGCTTCAGACGAAAAGGAAAGCCAGGCAGCTACCGAAAGCGTAACGGCTTCTCAACTTTTCGATGAAGGCAATGCATTTTCGATGGAGACAATTCCGGAGACTGATGATTCTCATCAAACCTCAGGTTCTCTGGAAGCTGAAAAGCAAGAGGTCTCGGAGTTTGATGATTCTTGGGGGAGCTCAGAGGCTGGCGAGGCAGAAAATGACGGCAGCCGCGAAGCGGCGGAGTTAGAGGCTGCAGGGCCGGTTGGGTCTCACGAAAATGATGAATCTGATCGCCTACAGGAAGTTTCTCAACCTTTGTATGAAACGTCGGAATATAGAAAGGAGGGCGAGCTCGAACCGCCTCCGGATAATTTGCTAGAAAGGGAAAATAATGATGCTCAAGAGGTAAAGATGGACACATCGGATTTCGACGTACATAATGAGCAACCCGAAGAAGTTGAGGAAGCGGCGAAAAGCCCGGAACTGGACGAGCCCGCAAAAATTGATAAGCCCGAGGAGAAAGAGAGAGACTCAACGCCGGACGAGGAGTCTGACGAAGACGAATCCGAGACCGCGACAAAAGAGGAAGCAGAAACGGGCGATGATGATATAGACGAGCAGAAGGCCGAGCAAAGCCTAGACAGCCTGACGGCGAATGGGGATGACGACGAGATGCGCGATGAAGTTGCCGAACCGGCGGCCGATCAAGCCGAACAGGCAATAGACGATGAGCTTGAGGAGGATGCCAATGTTCGGTGTGAGGACGAGGAAGCAAGTAGGTTTTTAGAAACCAAAATTCATAAAGCAAACCACATAATCATAATAACTACATTTTTTTTTCAGAAGACGTTAAAGCCGATCTCGATTCTTTCGAGACCGAGGAGCCAATTCCTTCCACCTCATTCTCCACATCTCCCACACCCTCCGAATCCTCGGACGACGACCTTGAAAATCTACACGTAGAACTTTCTCGGCTCGCCTTCCATGGCGAAGAGTGCCTTATCCCAACGATTCTACTCATAAGTGTAAGTGAAGCTCTCCCAGGAATGAGCCTGGAATTTCAGGAAGACGCCTTCCGGTCAGTGATCAACTACGACACTTTCAAATCGCTCGACGAGGCGACGCAAAAGAAGTTGCGCACATTATTGCCCCAGTTCGACGATCCGTCCGAGGAGGAGCTGGCGCTGCAAAGCGTGTTCACCGTCGACGAGACGTTCAACTTTGGCACGCCGATCGGGAAGGTACATTGGAAATTGAAATGTAGGTCTAAACACTGATTCTTAAAACCCTTCTTAATTTTCTTATTAATTGATTTCTTCAATTAATCCTTTTTTATTAGTAATACAAATCCAAAATTCAAAATAAAATTAAAAAATATTAAAATTTAGCCGGGCAGTTCGGCGTGGGGCGCGCCTCGGAACGCCATCAACTCAGGGACAGCCAAGGGGTGAAATACGACCATTATATACGATTCTACCATATGAACTTGCTGAAGAAGCTGTTGATCTCCAGACATGTAAGTTGGAGGGGGAAAACCAAAAATGACGATTTTTCAGGATCTCCTCCAACATTACTCATCAACGCCTTTGATTGACGAACCCGGACCAGGGTTGATTCGATTCGATTTAAGCCGAAAGTTGACGAAACGCGACCATCTCAACGAACGGGCCCGCAAACGGGCGAAAATGTGAGTTGGACTGCTCGCATTCGACCGGCAAGTTTCAGGATGCTCACCGATTGCAAGGTTCGAGCTGGCGAGGCTGGGCTCTCATCAGATGATGAGCCGGAACCCTGCTCGGACGGGCAAATCGAATACGTGCCCCGGGCTTCGAGTCTGCCGGCGGGCCGGACCACCTCTCAGGCTATTGTAATGAAAGGTCGGTAGCTAGTTCTCAGGATCAAACAAGCTCATTTTTCTATAGATATGGATCTCCACCAGCCAATGTACGTTGACGACTTTGACGAGATGCGGATCAAGTACCGGAAACGGTTGCGAAGACCGGTAAGTTATGAACAACAAGATTTGGAAACACAAAACCCAGGGCGCTCCCCAAAGCCAGCCGGCGCTCGACATCGAGGGGATGGAGATGGACGACGTGCTGGAGCGGGCCGGCGTCCAGTCGATGACCGAGCGGATAAAGCACGCCAAGCACGCCCTCGAGCAGGTCATGCGCCAGACACTACCTCATGAATACCAATATAACGGTCAATAAAGACTGCCACGGATTTTGTCTACTATTGCTCTGTATTGTGGTGTTGAAGCGCACTGCAGACAGGGCATAATTCAAAAGCATTAGACTCATATTTATTAGATGACAACACTCGCAGCAAAGTACAGCATCGACAGAAAAATCCCCAAATTGTGAGCAATGTAAAAATGGAAACAGATTGGTGGGGAGGGCTTGGTCAACGACAGTCGGTCGAGTTTTAGCTGTCGGCGGGGAAATGAGAATCCGGGGCTCGGGCTTAATTCAGGAAACATCGATAGGTCTAACACCATGATCACCAGGTTGGGCATATGTGATGTGGGCAGGGGATTGGTGGATCAGGGAGTGTGGGTGGGAGAAGCTATGGACACGTATTCGACTCCAGGAAAAACACAAATTAATGGCCACGGTGGGCTCCCGTATGGGATTGGGTGGTGGTTTCGATGGGGGTGGAGAGCTGGATTTGTGGTTGGGCCGGGTAAACGGTGTCACGACAGTTGCGGCCGGAAATTTAATCTTACCCTAGTCGTGGCTTTTGGCTTAGAAAAATCTATCAAAGTTGACAATTTGTTAGGCTTGGCCAAAAAGGGGGCAAATTCAGAAGTTTCAGAGCGAATTATAACCGTTAACGTTCAGCGATTTTTGGAAAAATCAGGCTTTCACAGAATTTCAGGCGCAATCGAATCGGCTAGGTTAGGCTGCCATGCAAAAATGCATTTGCTCCCAAAAACCGCTACTTTTAAGCACCAAATGGCCCTGAAAAACGAATCAAGGGCCAAATTACGCTCTAAAATCAAATTTGCTTTGCTATTAAGTTGCCAAGATCAACTGTCGGACGCCCGTAAAAACTTAGAAAACGCACTCTGCCAAGCGTGGCTGCTCCATCCGCTTCCACGCCCACCGAAACCACGAGGGACAGGGGTGGAGCCCTGGGGCTCAAGGCTAAACCGCTGATGACACTATCACAGATTGGGCGGGCGCTACGCAACGCACCGACACACGAATCGACGAAAGGAAAAGGGGAAGGCCACACCAAAATCACTGTTGACGTGAAGCCGTCGCTGCGGGGGAAAATATAGAGGTTTTTGATTGCAATTCGCTCGCACTAACACAGTCTCCGTATCGCGGTAAAGTGAAAAAGCTCTAGTGTGGGGGCGGGATAGGGTGGGGAAAGGTGGGAAAGAAGCGGAATTGGTCGTCAGATCGTATTCACAGAATTTTCAGATCAAAAACGACCAATCCGCGCTATTTTTCTAGAAAAATTGGTCACAACGAGTGGGTAGAGGCTATCGGTATTGGGTCACAGTATTGCACAGCGGCGAGTCAAAAGCATACAAATGGGGAGGGGCGAGAATTTGAAAAACTGGAAAAATCAAAAATGGGAAGACGATTATGTGCGTTTCATCCGTAGTTGGCTCGACCGGCTTAGATGGGCATCTGCTGGGTGTGCAACTGAAAAACGTAAACTTTGAAAAAGGAGACCAAACATCTTAGAATAAAGACCAATTTTTAAAAAAAAGCAAAATAAGCCAGCTGGTTGTTTCAATTTTACCTAGTAGATGAGGAATTTTGATGGCACAAGTTTCTAAACGTTTATAAAATTTTCAAAATCTACAAAATATATTTCTAAAGCTCCAAAAAGCCGACCTCGTCCTGGTCATCGTGCAGCACGAGACGCGTCGGCTGCTCGACTTGGGTGGGGTTCGTCACGGAGACTTGACCGCCACCAAACGGATCCCTAAAAATAAATTTTTACAAAAACAACAAATACTAACCTGAACGGATCGTCCATATCCGGGACGACAGTCCGTCGGTACACCGGGTTGTCAAAGTTCAGAGCGGTGAACGCGCCGCCGCGGACGCGGTTACGGTAGAAGGCGTAGCCCTAAAAACACGTTTGATAAAATCTTGATCAAAATTAATAATACGAAATTGAAAAAATCCACGCCTTGATAAAATCCTCCTTCTAACCTTACCCTAAAACGCCCCGAAAAACTCACTCCAACGCAGATGACAGCAAGGAGTGCAAAGAAGAACATCGTCGACAGGGAGAAGCCCCGTCCGGCCACCACTTCGGCAATGCATTCGGCTTCTTCGAGCGCGGTTCCAATTCCGCCCTGGCAGACGCAAGTGTACGGTTTGCCGTTGTAACTCTTGGTCTCTTGGGCACTAGAAAACTTTATTAATATCTTAGGGCCCAAGGCATACCTGGTCTTTGCACGGATGGCACCGGTGGGTAGACAGAGCCTATCTTGAGCGAAGCAAGGGTCCACACCCTTATTCTTATCGGAATCGTCCGGAATCAAGCACTTGTTGGCGTGCTCGGGCTGAGCCTGCTTGTGGTAGATGCGCACGGTCATCGGGGTGTTGACGCGGCCCATGAGCTTCTGCACACCTTCACCGGTGAACTAAAAATCATTCGATTTAGTAAAAATGAAAATTTGTCAGACCTTGTTGACAGTAATGACGCCGTCGTGCTCCCAGTCGGTGAAGTAGACGCGATCCTCGAAGACGGCCAACGAGAAGGGATGGCGGAGGTAGGAGTGGGAGTGGAGGACGACCTGGGGAAAACCACGTTGAAAATAAGCAAAGAAAAATAACCTTGATGTCTTGGCCATAGTAGTCGCTGGAGAAGATGGACTTGATCTTGGCATCGGCCCAGTAGACGCGTTTGTCAAGCAGGTCAAGCGCCAAGCCGTTCGGCCATTTGACGTGATCGCCTTCAACGATAGTCTGCAAAATAGGCGATATACTAAAATGTTATCGATGTCCATTACGAAAAACCACTACACAAAAATTTAGCTGGATTAAAATTCAAGACTGACCGTTCGGTGAGTACCATCCATTCCGGAGCGCTCGATCTTCGCCGACTGGCCCCAGTCGGTCCAGAAAATCAACCCAAGCTCCGGGTCGACGGCGATGGCCCTCGGCTCCTGGAGCTGGTCGACAAAGAGCGTCTTCTTCTGCCTGGTGTTGAGGTTCATCACGTTGATCTGGTCGAGCCCTCCATCAGTCCAGAAGAGCAAGTTGTGCACCCAGTCGACGGCGAGGCCGTCCGGCGTGTGCACCTGGCTGCCGTCGATGGTGAACTGGTTGGACTGCTCGTTGCAGTTGCTCTGGAAAGGGTCATCATAGCTATTTAAATAAAATTAGCGAAATTTCAAACGGAAAGGTAACAAGAGAGCTTCGAAAAAAGCTCAAAAAATTAAATTTGTGTAGTAAACGGGCAATTTTGCTGTAAAAAATAATTTGAGGCTTTCGAATAAAAATTCAAAATTACCCCATCCAAAATGACTTGGTCCTTGTCCTTGGGATTGACGGTGTGGTTGATCATCTTGCACATGAGGATCTTTTGCTGCGAGATGTCCGACCAGATGATCGTCTGAACGGAATAAAAAATTAAATAAATTTCAAAACGCGCTTACATTATTTTTCAAGTGGAAGTCCATCGCGACGGCCGAGCCGGGAGAGCGAACGAGGGGTTGATGCTCGTTGGTGACGATGTCGAATTGGCGGATGGTGGCACGGTTGGAAAGGAGCACGAGCGGGTCTCCGCCTAAAAATTTAATTGAAATAAGTTTCTTTCAAAAATATTTGATTTTTATTAAAAAAAGCGCGTTAAGAAGATTCTTATCAAAAACCCTCACCTAGAGCTCGGCATTTCGTCGCGACAGAGCCGTTGCCCTGGCTGAGCTTATAGCCCGGATGGCACGCGCAGTGGTAGGAGCCGGGGGTGTTCTTGCAAATTTGATCGCAAACGCCGGGGATCTCCTTGCACTCGTCGATATCTAAAAAACTTAATTGCAGTTTAGAAAGCGTTCTCCTACCTTGACAAACATCAGAAACAGACCGGAAGCCACGATTGCATAAGCAGACCTAAAACACGAGGTGAATCTTCGGAAAGCAAAGCGGCAAGATTTTGCATTTAAACCATTTTTAGCATAGTAAAAATTCTCTCTTATTACCTGGCCACCCTTGACGTAGGAATCGCGACAATTGCAATACGACGACTTGGGTTTGCATTGGGTTACGTTGCCCCGGCACAGTTCCTCGTCATCGCAATTGAATTTGCTGACGGTGCAGAGCTGAAACAGATATTTGTACTGGAAAATCCGGTTGGTTGTACCTGATCCTTGCGGACGCACCGCATCTGGCCCTTCGGGCATGTGTACTCGGTGCCAGCGTCGCAGACGGTGGGTTTGGGCTCTAGGACGAGATTAGGGAAACCTGTAGTAGCTACTCACCATCTGGGCAGTCCTCCTCGTCATCACCATGCGGACAGTCCTCTTCTCCGTTGCACCTAAAAATCATTTTTTTCAAAACCAAATTGAGGTCCTCATTCGAATAGAAACAAAAAACCTTCAATAAAAATTACCAGAATTTAGCAGGCAGGCACTTGCCGCGCACCCCTTTGCACCTCTTCTCCTCGCTGCCGCAGGTCGTTGCTTCGCATGCCGTCTCGTCGGATCCGTCGGGACAATCCACCTCGCCGTCGCACATCCACAATAGATTTATGCAGTGCTTTCCGGTCTTGCAGGCGAATTCCTAAAATTATCTTCATAAATAATGCCAACTTTTTCTCACCCGAGACGAGCATTGCGCTGGAGGCTGGTTGGCCTTGCAATCGGCTTCATCGGAGTGGTCGCTGCAGTCGCTCTCGCCATCGCAGACCCATTCCTTTGGGACGCAGCCGTTCTTGGATTTGCACTAAATTAAATTAAATAGACCTGTAGTCTTTCCGCAATTTTTTTCTAGAAGCCCAAATTTACCTGGCAATGTAATGGTAAGTAACGATGTTTTTAGTAAAATTTTCGAAAGTTTGAGAGTGTTGCTACGTCAAGGACTATCAAAAACAACTTAGAAACACTTATATTAGAAAAAGATCCAATGAAAATTGTTTTACCTCGAGATTTTGAAAAAATAAAAACAGTAAATACCAAAATCCCACCTGGAACATGTTCGGCTTTGACGCGCAACCGGAATCTGGAGAATTCGCGCACAGAGCCGGCGCTTCATCGCTGCCATCGCCGCAATCGTCCTCTCCGTCGCACTTCCAGCTCCCGAAGATGCAGACGCCATTTCCGCACCTAGATCCAAAGTTTTTCATCAATAACCTAAAAATTACTTGAAATCGCCGGCCGTGCAGTTCTTCTCGCCGCAATCGTGCTCGTCGTCACCGCTGGCGCAGTCGTTCTGTAAAAATGGGGATAAATTATTTGGGAAAAATCTTACCTGTCCGTCGCAGCGCCACGAGAGTGGGATGCAGAGTGTGAATTGGCCGTCAAACTCGGAACATTTGAACTGGCCATCACATGTAATATCTGAAAATACGACGATAAGTACGTCTATGAAATTTTCTTCATAATTTTAAAGGGATGCCGACGGCATAATCAATCGGTTACGCGCTGGAAAGAAAATGTCTCTGCGCCTCTCCCCTGGGCGCGCTCTCTGCCCTGTTGGCTACTTGCCAATTTGTTGATGGGGGGGGGGGGGATCGACACATGCCGTCGACAGCCCTTTAACGAAAAGCGCACTCTTTTGGTCGCATCCCTGTTCGTCGGAATGGTCATCACAGTCGAATTCCCCGTCACATCTCCAGTTCTCGGGAATGCAAGTGTTGATTCCCTTGGCGGTGAGCATTGATGTTCCCTTGTCGCCACATCGGAATTCGCCGTTCGGGCATGGGCCTGAAATAAACGAGATCATTATCAAATCTTTTCTCATTAGTCTCCGCTGCAAAAAGCCCTGCTTCCGCCTCCTTTGTAGTACCCGCAGCGGGACCGCGCCTTTATTGCCACTGCGGACCCCGCAAAAAAAACGAGTCAACATGTTTTTTATCGGGGTCTTCCGTAAAAGGAGGGAAAAGCCGTGTTTTTGCCGGGGTGATTCAGCGGGCCGATCGATAGCTTTCAGAAGCTGTATCGCCGGCTACGTGAAATAGGGGCCACAAGGCCTTGAAATCGAATGTTGAAATAATAACTGACCCTCACAGCCCACTTCGTCTTCTCCTTGCGCGCAGTCCGTGTCGCCATCGCATTTCCAGGAGAGCGGAATGCATTTCGTGGGCTCAGACGTGCAGTTGAACGACTTCACCGGGTCGCACGCTGGAATGTCTACCTTATCCTCCAAACCCCGCCAAAAAAACCCCAAAAGCGTGCCGAAAGCTCCAATCAAGGCAAAGCCCATGCAAGTGTGCCTATACTATTAGTAGAGAAAGGTGAGCAAGAGAAGAAAGCGGTTCACAGCCACAATACCAGTGAGCGGGGAAAACCTACCACCACCGAAAACACGGGCATAGTCGACTAAAAAAATGGGTTAGAAATTAGTGTCATAGCAGCGGCGAGCTATTATTAGTGCGAGTACTTTCACCACCCATGCAACCGCGCTAACCTGGTCTTTCGCGCAGGAGTGGTTTTGGTTCTAAAAATTTCTTTGAGTCCTTTTCCTTGGAATTTCGTGGAAGGTCAGACACCCTCCTAGTTTCTTATCGCCTCCCCCTCAAAAGCAAAGTCCAAGAATGGGCGAGAAAAACATCTCGGTAGCGCCATAAGGCCGAAAAAAACGAGCAGGCTTGGTGTTTCGAAATCTTCAAGCGTAAAAATGCAGGCAAAAAATTGTATTAAGGACCTTGGGTACCTCGTCGGGCTGCTTCTGTCGTGTAGCACATCCATAGGAAAATGAGCATCGCGTAGAGCGGCTGCCCCCTCATCTTCATACTGTACAATCCACAGCGCTTGTGGATGATGTGCGGGCCTTTGACTAAAATCAAGTTTTAGAAGAGTGATGCAGTAGGAGGGCACAAATTGAAAACACCACACAAAAAGATATGACACGTATTTGTCAGTTAGATTCTACCACTTCCCCGAAATGGATAAGATTCAGACTTTTAGCTTGACCACGAGGTCCTAATTTTCGCGCTTAAAATGTCATAAATCGCCTGAAAAATGACGCAGACTGCCGAAGCGCGCTGCTTCTAGCCTTCTCGAAAAGATAACCCATCGGGGGTTATCAAGGATCGACAGGAGCCTGATTGTGCGCGCCCGGGGTGAACCACGCTATTTTCTTGGACGATTTCTGAAATGGCAACCCGAGTGGAGAAAGCCATTGTCCATCCCTTGTAAAAGACAATAATATTTGTGGCGGGTGATGGATGTGATTCATTGCATAGTCATATTGCCCTGAAATTATAGGTGAGCTGTTTTCGTCCGGGTTGAGTGGAGAATACATTGTCGTCGCTCTTCGAGAGCTTCATAATAAAAAGTCGAATCGGAAATCAATCGTCAGGAGGGCTGGGTGAAGGCGTTTGAAGCGGGCTGTTTACTCAATTTTGCAGCATAGGCAACGTTGCGAAAGACCTGATAGCATTCATGGCGCACGGAAGTCAAAGAATTGTTAAAGAAAGGAGATTAGAGGAATTTGCGGTATTTTGAAAATAGCCCAAAAGACTAATCGGCTACTTTCACTATCGGCGGCCAAATCCCACCAAATTAGCATCAATTTAAATTGACGCGTTAGTCGGACGGGCGGTCCCCCCACATAGGAAAGGCCTCCTGCGCAAATCGGAAAGTGCACAGTTAGGTGATTCACGCGCTGGCGCGAGACAATACAAATCGATCGTTCCAAAGTTTACGATGGACCTGGCGAAAACTAAAGGGGGTTGCAAAATATCTAAAGAAATCCTTGCAAGACATATTGCCCCCAAGAAATCGTTAGTGGATTGGCTGACTCAGCACGCCACAGACCTCTACCAATGATCGTCGCAAACAACTGTTGTAGCGCCCTTTCCGTATAGACCTAACCTAGCAAGTTAGCACTCAAAAAACCGAGGCGAGTAAGGTGTCTACCGGGAATACGCTCGGATCGATCGGAGAGAATCACGGAGAATAGTGAGGGGAGTAGGGCCCGCGCACTGTTTGTGGGTAGAGAAGGCCAAGGAGGAAGAGGAATTGACACAGCTGATCCCGATGTCGGGGCGCGCGGTCAGTTCGGGAACAAGGCAGGGTAAAACGTCTGCGATTCGATTAGCTTGGTGAACCCGGGGGAGTACTTCGGAGGAATGTTCCGCCACGCCGGATTGCGTCGCGATCAATCGTATTTAGAACGAATTTTCGCGACAATAGGTTGGCGAGTCGTAAAATTTCTGGGTACATCGGCGCCACAATCATAAAACCTATGCTCTGGGATTTATGGGAATGTGAATAAATGGGAAAAGCAAAAAAAAAAACCAACTTTCAACGGGTTTAGAAATAGTTATTTTAGAAATAGGTATAACTAGAAAAACAGAAATTCGTCAATTTCGTTCAATTCGAAAGGTATTCATCAGATAAGCAAGCTTTGTATAACTAATTCGAAGTGAAATGTCAATTCACATGTGAACCCCCCTTATAGGTCAAAAAACATTAATTTCCCGCGCAAACCTGGTAGCGATGTGCATTAATAAAGCCGTGCTACGTTCGCTAATTGCCAGAAAGCCCGCGAAAAACCAGTTTTCTAACAATCAACGTGAAATAGTGACTTTCATGATTTCACAACCTATCAATATGCCAAAGTCACGCTCGCATAGCAACAGGTTGATTGCGAAATCAGCCCCAAGTCTGCTTGAAATTCTAGAGTCATCAAAAAGCGGCAATCAATAAGCGCTGACCCGGTATCCGCAAACAATGGGTTAGAGGCCCGGGCGAAAAACGCGGAGACGATCATCCATGGGGGGGGGGGGACACATGAAGCGGCCCTCAAAACAAGGACCCAGTGGCTGCATAGAGATATGGATAGAGCGCAGTCGTTTGAGAGGGTATAGGGACAGGTGGCTGTGAGGGGAGCGAGAGCGAGAGAGAACGGCCAACCACACTCACACACCACACACACGCAAATAGCCTTCGGCTGCTGCGTCGCGGTCTCGCCCCTCCACGGAACACGCACTATCGCGTGCCCCAGCTGATCGGAGGACGAGTTAGGAAAGGTTGGAGGACGAGGTCCCTTTGGACAGGGCCACGTGATGCTCGATCAAAGGTTTCTTGGAAAGTAACTGAAGACATGGCAACAACCAGCAGTAATGTTGGTTTATGGATGTGTCATGTCCAGGGTTGGTCATTTTCGGATCGGACTGGATCCGGATCCAGATCCGATCCGGATCCTTACCGATCCGGGTCCGTCGGCGAACAACCCTGGTCATGTCTTACTAGTTAGTTCCTCAAAAACAGTTAAAAACTACGAATCCAATTTTCGAAACCATAAGAAAAGTTTATCCAATTTTAAAAGTTACACTTTTACAACGTCGACATTTCGTATTTTGTTGCCTGAAACAAGGCGTTCCGTAGAATACAGATTACAAAATCACGTCCAACGGTGTAATCTGTAGCGAAAATACGGGAATTTTTCTTGAGTGCCAATAATCAAAAATCAAAAAGATTTTTCGTTTATCATCAGCAAAACCGAAGAATTTCTTTTGCAAAAAAATAGTCAAGTAACACAATAGCTGTCCGGAAACCCGATCTACCGGTATAAACTGAGACAGTACCCTGGACAGTAACGAGCTAATAAACAAACAAACAATGGGGACATTGCCGGGATAAACACCGTTTCTAAATCTTATTTGGAGCCAGAAAATGTGTCATCTCTTTTGTTTGCTTGCATTGTCTCTAAAAACCCCATGGAGATGTTTTCTACAATGCACAAAACGAAAAAAGGGGGCATAGGAAACAAATAGAAAAAGAAATGCAGGAAAACAATGAAAGAAGCTTTATTAACAAAACATATAAAAATTCGTATTCGTCATTTGAAGCGTCGAGTTGGTGACGGCGGTCGAGTATTACTAAAACAAAATAGGATATTTTAGCCGATTTTGACAGTGATTTTTTTCTAGAAAAAAAATAAGAAATTCCCACATTTGAAGGCGCATCCTTGGACCCTTTCGTGTCAGAAGCCTCAGCCGATTCCGGGGTTTCCGCTTTGGCCCTTTGCGCTTTTTTGGCCTCCCACAGGGCCGCGTACTTCTCCGTGTAGCGCGCGGCTTCTTCGGCCGCCTCGCCGCCGCCCTCCCATGTGGTTTTCTTGCGTAGCCTGAAATGGGGAAGATTTGCAAGCAAGGAAAATTGTTCATCTACAGCTAGAGGTAGGCTAGCAGGGATATTTAGGGAGCCTCACTTCATATAAAGGCAAGTGAAGATGGTGGCGATGGTGTTGATGCAGATGAGGGAGAGGCCGATGGCTACTGAAAGGTTCTGCATAAATAACTTAAGGCTTCTTTAGTATTCATTAGTAGTTATTTTTAACTCGTTTAGCGTTATTAAAAAAAACGATTTTTAAACTTTTGAAAATTCCTGACTTGCAACGATTTGAAGGATGGATATCAACTCGTCATCGGATTGTATGGAATTGGAGGGGGTCGGCGGTGTCGTCGAACTGCTTGAAGTTGGCCGTGTCGTTGAACTGCTTGAAGTTGGCGGTGTCGTCGAACTGCTTGAAGTTGGCGGTGTCGTTGAACTGTTTGAAGTCGTCGAGGGCAATATCGTGGAGTCGGAAGAATTTCTGGAAAGCGTTTTATCTTAAAGATCATTAAAGCTTACCAACCCTTGTGCAAATAACAGCCTGAAAAAGATGAAGATGCCGAGCAGCAGCCGTAGGTCGAGCTTGAGGGACATCTCCATTCTAGCCGCCCAACGATGCGGCGAGCTGCAGAAAATGACTAAGGTTTTTGGAGGTAAAGATTTATGCAAATTTTTGGAGTCGAAAATTTCTAGGTATTTTTTTCGTCAACAGTTTCGGAGGAAAAACGGTGAGCGGAGCTTCGCGGAATACTGTTCGCTAGTCTGATCTTCTATTCATCACTCGATTTCATAAAGCCTGGAGAGAGTTTTTCACGACAATTTCACGACAATGAACTTTCCAAATCACGACAATTTTTCCGGATCCGCTAGCCAGCACTTATGCGAGTTGGCGAAACACGTAAAAACATACAATAAAAATCTGCGAAAAGTTTTACATTTGATTTCGTTCCTTCCGTTGTCGCTCTCGCACTCTTTCTCTGTCTCTCTCTTCCTCTCTCTCTTCTCTCTCTCTCGATTTCTCTCGCTCTCTCTCTCTCTCTCTCTCTCTCTCGCTTTCTTTCTTTTTGTTTTTCCCGTTCTCACTGGCGGCCATAGGTGCCTCCTGGAATTTTTCTATCGCAATTTCAGTCCTTTTGGCACGTCCAAGGCAAAAACTGTGGATTTTATAGCTGTTCAGCGGCCAATTGATTACGCAATGGAAAGACAGGTCGCGTGTTGCTCATCGCCGGGCGCGGCAAGTTCAATAAGGATATCACCAGCAAGAACCATGGTAATACCTTCCTGATCCCTTTAAAATCCGTGCGTTTTCAAGTGATAGCACGTGACGCGTTGCGAATCGCGGGGCAGCAAAACCTTTCGGCAATCCATATAAAAATTTGTATATTTAATCCCGTCGATCCCTTTAACCTCGCAACGTTCCCCTGTTCGCGATGACAAATTGTCGGGATGTTCTGTCGAGGCCAATGTCTACCCCCACCATCGAGTCAATTTGGGTGCATCCGGGATGGAGGTGCGAGTGAGGCTGGGTTGGGTGTCGCGTTGGGTGATTACCGTTCGTAGTTGTGTCCCGTTATGACCCGGGTCGCGGGCGAGTAGTGCACGCATCGGCAGCCGTCAAAATTGCTCTCGGATCCGGGGGTGGGGGGCGCGGGAGCGCTGGGAGAGCCGCGGATTTCGAGGGTACACTTTTTTCCGGGTGGAGCTCTGAAGGGAAATATGTTTTTTCTTTTAACTAAGTTTGTTAATTTCGTATAAATCACAGTTTGCGTCGAAAGTTCCAGCTTAAACTTCAAAATCAATGCAGGTTCTTTTGCATTACGGGGGGGGGGGGTCATTTTTCTACAAGATTTTTATCCAATTTGCTGATTTTTTTTAATTTTCAAACATTGAAATGCGTTTCTAGACTGTTTTTTACCATTCTTGAACGCAAAAACTAAATTTTTCACACAACGTTTATGAATCCAGATCTGCCCGAACCACCCAGACAACTCCCCCCCCCCCGATAACGCAAAAGAACCTAAATTTATCATAAAAATAGGGCCGCGGTTTTTTATACCTCTTTAAAAACGGAAATAGATATAAAAGAAACAAAATTTTTTTATAAAAAATTTTTGCATTTATTAATAAATTCAAAAAAGGACTCCTAACGTAAAATCTAACGAAAATCATGAAAACCGCAATTTTAACGACTCAGCAATCTCCATTTTCCAAATTCAGCTCATTTTACGTGGAGCACCTTGTTACGGCTGGCTTTGCCCAAAAAAATGTCCCGAAACCACAGTCAGCTAAAAATTTGCCCTGTCTGTCGGACCGGAAACTTTATGACCCCGCAGCTTTATCCCAGTCGTGTCTTTTTGAAATATAACGATCGGCCGGGCAAATAGTGCAATTTGGAAATCGGGCCGTTTGTACCCGGGTAGCTTCTCGTAGCTTGGCTCCTTCTGATAGCTTTCAAGCTTTCTCACAGCCTATTCTGAGGATGGACCGGAAAATTGGGGCTTGGTAAGTTGCTTCCGGTAATTAGTGGGAGAAGCATTTGCATCGAAACTTAATTATTACGGGTTTTAGGGGCCGAGTGAATAACAATTAGCATAATTCCAATGCACGGCTGGCACTAACTCGCCGAAAAAAAACAATTTTGCATGCAGCTAGCTCACGATAGAGTCAGAAACCTCTAAAAAACTTGACTTGAAAGGACATGATGCTCCTCGAACTAGATTAGAATTTCCCAAATGATCTCTGCTGACTTGCCTATTAATTTATTTCCCCATTACGTTACTCAAATTTCAAAATAAGGCCAAAGACTTAATGCAAACCACAATATAATTTTTCGGACGCGAGAACTTGCTGGCCTGTTGCCAACCCGAGTAGACCCTAGCCAAATAGCGATTCATTCCGCTCCACCACCCTTTATTCTCCATCCTGTATTTTTCACAACGTGCCGATCGCCACTTTTTGATCCCGGGATCAATTTTGGATAGGTGCCAATTGTCCAATTCCTAGGAAAAACACGAAAATACGATCACTTCCAGGCGAAAGACCAACGAGGTTGAGCCGGATACCACAATTCCGTCTTCCAACGTTCGGCTCGAGCTTGAGGTGAGAGGGAGAGGGAGGGAGAGAGAGAGAGAGAGAGAGAGAGAGAGAGAGAGAGAGAGAGAGAGGGAGAGAGGGAGAAATGAAAGAGATAAGGTACGGACGATAGAGGGCGAGAGAGGGGGCGAGAGATAGAAATAAAGAGAGCGAGGGATAGAGATAGGGAGATAGAGAGAGCGTGAGATAGAGAGAAAGAGAGAGAGAGAGGGAGAGAGAGAGAGAGAGAGAGAGAGAGAGAGAGAGAGAGAGAGAGAGAGAGAGAAAGAGGGAGAGAGAGAGCGAGAGAGAGAGAGTGAGCCCTACAATGTCCATGAAACCTTAAAAACCAATCATTACAGTTGACCTCTCGCGAGGGCTCGGAATGCGGTAGCATCTACGCGCAGGGGAACGACGCGATGGGGCACGCCATGTCGCGCAAGGGATCGCTTGTCGTAAGGAATTCATACCTTAAGAGCATGCATTTTTGAATACCTCTATTTTCAAGGTCGCCTCAACTCGGGGGGCTAATTAGAGGCCCCGGAAATTTGCCCAAGCATAGAGAGAACTCTCAAAAAAAGAGGAAGCGCCGAACGCCTCGACCCCGCCGTTTTTCTGGCAATATTCTAGGTCCTCCTCCCCCTTGAATGGCTGATTCTGAGGGTGTTAGCGAGAGGCGGGAGTTGAAATGAAAGGCGAGAAGGTTATTTTTTTCCTTTGTCGGCTAGACGGCCCCAGGCCAGACTGAAATACGCTCTTATACGTACCTACGTATCGTGGTTGCATTAACAACACCCGAGCTTTAACACCCAAAAAAGGTGCTGTGGCATTATCGGGGGAGGTGGTTGTCGGGATATGCAAAAGAACTTTTTTCTTTAGGACTCAATTTCAGGCTCTAAAATGAATAGAAGAATTGTGTCTTAAAGGGATGCCGACGGCATAGTCAATCGGTTACGCGCTAGAAAGAAAATGTCTCTGCGCCTCTCCCCTGGGCGCGCTCTCTGTCCTGTTGGCTACTTGCCAATTTGTTGATGAGCGGGGGATCGACACATGCCGTCGGCAGCCCTTTAACGTTTTAAATATTCCGAGACGTAGAAAACCTACCAAGTTTGGTTAAAAAATATCAAAAATATGTTTTTTCGACGAAAAATTTCTGACGTCTGAAATCTCACTAAATTTTCTAAGTTTTTTATTGAGTCTTTTTCACTTATAAATAGTTGAATTTTAATAAAAAGACCCCTTAAAAGACTAAGAAACCCCCCGTTAAGGCGAAAGAACCCTAAAAAATTCGGTAGTTTGTTAGGTCATTGTAAAGGCAGCTTAATATCCATTTCCATTAGGTAAAGTTTTAAAAATAATTATTGCTATTTTTTTTTGGCATACTTTTAATAGCTCATCAGCCGTACGCCCAGCTTAAAAATCGACCAGCCCAGAGAAATCAGAATGCAAACGCTGACAAGTTTTTCGCGATGACCAATCGGCAGAAATAATTCGTGAACCAGAAGGGGGGAGAGGCGCCTAAAAACATTTTTGCCCCCAATTCGGCCCCGCCATTCCGGGTGACAACTTTCGACGTTTGGACTCGTACGTTTTTCTCGTTTTTGCGTAATTTTGATAATTTCGTTCATGCATGATTCTTGACGCACCTCGTTATTGTCTTTAAAAAATAGTTTTATACCATGCTGTAATCCAAAAAGGCGCAAAAGGAAATATTGACTTAAAAAAATCCCGAAATTTTGGTCGAAAATCGGTTAGTTTTGGCCAAAATACCGATTTTTTAAAATTTTGTTAATAAAATTTGTGAAGTTTTTTCCATCTAGCAATAATAGAAACAGTTTACAAATCCTTCATTCCAAGGAAAAAACCCGACTCGATAACTTTCCTCCACCCCCCGATAATGCCAAAGCACCCTAGTTTCGATCACCGTAGTGAAAAGAAGAAGAACTATTTTGAGCATTATATGAACTCTCCGATTCAAAAGTTGAAAAACTTTCTTTAATTTTCTTTTATTTCCTCACGCTAATCGTAAAAACTAGGCCATCGCATTTTTCCATGATCGATGGAATTTCAAATTCCAACAAAACCATTCACCCAAGCCAATAATTCATTACACACGCGTGACATTGTGTTGTCTACAATCATTACCTTGTTTCCATTGGCTATTAGCGGAAGAGTAAACACCAAAAGACGACGCTGTTTTTTGTGCGCAAAAAAAACAGCGAAAAGACCCCCAAAAATCCGTTAGTCAAATGTAGGAAGGCTTTAAAATAATAGAGCGATAAAAGAGCGAGAGAAAGAGACAGAGAGAGAGAGAGAGAGAGAGAGAGAGAGAGAGAGAGAGAGAGAGAAAGAGATAGACATTTGATGTTAGCGATGAGGATCAGTGGTCTGCCTGGCACAAATCCCCAACAAATGAGGGGCTATTTTCACGCCCCCCCCCGCCGGCTCAAAAATTCGACCAGTCTACGCGCCACCGGGAACTAGCTTGGCAATACTTCCACAATATAGCTACACCTCGAAAGCTATTAAATTTCTACGTATTAAACTTATTAAACTTAAAGCTAAAACTATAAAACCCTCCTCTCAAAATGCCCGAGAAACCGGGGGCGCCTCCCCTTGGCGAACTAACCGATCGCCCGGGTACCATCAGAAAGGTATAGAAAGTTTTTAAAGAATCTTCTAGAGCGTAATTTGTCCTTTTTTTGGGTTAATGTTGTGTTTATTAATGACGGTTATATCACGAAAAGTTACCTGAAAATAATACCGCTTTTACAGAGCTTCCGCCAGAAGTTCATGGAGTCCGGCATCGCGTGAGTTGATTTTTATTCTTTTTGAAAGATTCAAGACAGCTCTGTTTTTGGAGTCCGATGCCTAAGCCCAAGTATAAGCCCTAGCCCAAGCCCAAGCCTAAGCCGAATCCAAGCCCAAGCGCAAAGCCCGACCCTTAGCGAAGCCTAATCCAAGCCCAATCTTAATCCTAAGCCCAAGTCCAAGCCCAAGCTTAAGCCCAGGACTAAGCCGAAGACTAGGTCTAACAATAAGCCCAAGCCCAAGCCCATGCCTAAGCCTAAGTCCCACCTAAGCTAAGCATAAGCCTAAACCCAAGCCTATATAGCCAAGCCTAAGCCAAGCCTAAAAAAATAAAAGCTAAGCCTCACTTTTGCAAAGCTGATCTGTACTGATCAGCCCCTAGTTTTGTACAGTTGTCAATTCTGTTTTCTCTGGAATACCCCCACATTCCCAGCTTCCACATTTCGAAATCTCCCCTTTTCCCCGGTTTTACAAATGAAAAATCGATGGAAATCGGGCCGGGCTGGGCTGGCCGTTCGTGGGAAATTATCGGAGCGGACGGGAAGGGGACGTGGTTCGCCGCCTGGTTGGCATATTTCCAAGGCTTTGCCAAAAAAGACGACCTAATCCTGTACCGAAGTACAGTATTCTATAGTAATCTACCGTATCCCTGGGCTACGGGATTCTCACTGGGGCCCAGATCGGCTAACCATGGGCGGTTATTCCTATACGGTCAACGGCGAAGAGCCGAATCGTGGCATCCGCTCCGCGATGTTCATGCTCAGAGAGCTGGGCGACGGGACGGCGTACGGCTTTTTTGCGGGTTTAAGGGGAACTGGGAGGGCAGGATTCTGATAAACTAGCGTGATTGAATTTTAGACTTATTGATTTTGAGCAATCGAAAATTGCAAAATTCAAAAAAGTCCGATTTTTGGTTAAAAATAAGGCCAAAGCGATTCGGGGGCTTTTTGTTGAGTTTCTTCTAGGGGCTAGGAAGCTGTTGCTATATAAACTAAAAATTTCTTAAAAACCAGGGTTGAAAAGCCGCTTCGCGACTTTTCAACCCTGGCACCGTCTGAGCCCATGATATCCTGCACATTGCATAATTCGACCGAATTTCGATGAGAAATAATGAAAAATGCACCCTCTCCGCCGTTATGTAAGGCTGCCGCCACTTCCGGCTTATGCTAATTAATGCCTATCAAAGAGGCTGTCCGATTTTTTAACAAAAATGATTTTTAATTTCGAAAATAGCATAATTTGCAAAATCTGATATGCGTGCAGTCATCTCCAGACCATTACGCTTCTAATGACGTATCATATGTAGCCTAATACCCTTCCCCACTTGAGATATCCTCCGGACACCCTGACGGAAGTTGCATGCAAAGTGGCACACACACACACACAAACACACAAACACTATTTTTTTATATATAGTAGGATATAACCCAATACTTAAATGATATAAAACATCTATTTTATTGGGAAAATGAGATTTACAACAAAAAAACGTTAAAGGCAAAAGAGTCAACAGAGAAAAAAAATTACCGTCCCTAGGTGTGTTTTAGAATCGAAGACCTACGCACCGTAATCCCCCAACGGGCGTAAATTTTTATTATTTTTTTTAGGATTTTGCCGACTTTGTAAAGCTTAGGCTTCGGCTTTCAAAAGGCTTTTCGACGCAAAAACCGATGAATTTTTAAATTTTTAGACGGCGCTTCTCCACCGTCACCCAGGTGAACACTGGAGCGAATCGGAGGGGTTCTGTGGATAAAAGAGGGTCTATCGGTAAGCCCGAAAATGGAGAAATTGGATAAAAACAATGAATTTAGGCGAGGATGGAAATCCTCGGAAATTCACGAATACATGGGGCAATTTGGCACTGTTCAAGAATGACGATGAGGATGGTGAGCGAATGAATTGAAGCAAAAGCTGGGGCAAGCTAGCCGAGAATCTTTGGGAACGTGGAATGAAAAGATTGGAGCGTATTAGAGAATGGCTAGCTGCCAGGGTACTTGCGTATTAGCAGGGGGGGGGGGGAAGAGGAGGAGCCAGGGTCCAGAAAAGAGCCGAATTTTATCCTATCAGTTCAGGTTGGTCTAGAAGTCACAATTAAATGTTTTTATCTAGATTTTGGTGAAATAGAATCATAAATAAAGTAGCAAAACGGTTTAAAAAGTTTTCAAAAAGTCGAAAAATTAAACATTTGCACCATTCTAGCCCGAAAATTAGCTTTTTCGAGTTACGCGTTACGAAGCAAAGTTTTGCGATCAGAAATTGCTAGAAATAAATTTAGTGTACATTCGATTTACTCACAAAAGGCTCAGCTTACCCGGAAGCAAGTTGCACTCAAATTTTGACGTCCAAAACCCAAATTTCAGGCCCTCCTGCCTCGTTCATCTCGGCCTACACGTCGCCCGGGCCTCGTGAAAAGGCCATATCGGATCACAAGAAGGTACTCGATGCCTCATACTCCGTTTAAGGTACCCTCTAGGCCAATCTCGGCGTGCTCCTCGGGGTCTACCTGCCCACCATCCAGCATATCCTGGGTGTTACCATGTTTATCCGGTTGTTCTGGGTGGTCGGGATGGCGGGCCTGTGGCAGACTTGCGGCATTTTGGCTATATGTTGTTCTTGCGTAAGTTGGAAGGTTTTATTGACAGACAACTGAATTTTAGACGTTCCTGACTTGTATTTCCTTGTCGGCGGTGGCGACAAATGGAGTGGTGGAATCGGGAGGAGCCTATTTTATGATATCACGGAACCTAGGTGAGTAATAGGTGTTTTCCTGCACTCTTCCCTCTATCCCTCTTTCTCTGTCGCACTGTGTCTCTCTTTCTCGCTCTGTCTCTTTCTCTCTCTCTCTCTCTCTCTCTCTCTCTATCTCACTCCCTTTCTCTCTTCCCTAACCGGACATCTATCGTTTTAGGAGCGGAATTTGGCTCGGCTGTCGGAATCTTGTTCTACCTTGCGAATACCGTAGCCACGAGCATGTACCTTGTTGGAGGTGTTGAAGTGCTACTGGTGAGTTACCCTAAAAAAGCTGATTGCAGCAGGTGTCCTTTTGAACGCGTCCTGTGCCTGGAAATTAACTTCTGGCTCTCGCTCGAGAGAATGTAAACGCGAGGGTGTTAGCGAGAGAGGGAGAGATAGAGAGCGAGACAGAGAGAGAGAGTTACAGCCAGGAAAATGGAAATTTTAGATGTACATCGCTCCATCAATGACGATCGGCGGCCACGAAGCACATTCGGACACTGGCAAGTTTCAACAGGAGCCAGAGAGAGGAGAGCGAGAGAGTGAGAGAGAGCGAGAGAGAGAGAGGGAGAGAGTGAGACAGAAACAGAGAAACCCAAATTTTCAGGAACTTTCGGCCAAATGACGAACAACTACCGCATCTACGGCACAGCTTTCCTCATCCTCGAGGTGCTGATCGTGGCGATGGGCGTGAAATTTGTGCAGCTACTGGCCCCGGTAGATCGCCAAGTCACGCTTCAAATCGATATTTTTAGGTTTCGCTCGTATGTGTCATTCTCGCATTATTCGCTTGCTTCGCCGGTGGGGTGGAAAAGGCTCTGCTGGATAACGGAGCGTTGTAAGTATTCGAAAAATCGAATTCTTTTCGCTTACATTGAGTTTTTTATAAAAATTGTTTTAAGTAGTTTATATAAATATTTTATATATGATTTTATCGCCAATGATACTTTTTATTAAATATTTTTTAGAGTATGCAAAATGGACGACCGGCTACTACAGACACATTTTATAGTCGAAGGGTTTAACAATAATGACCATCACATGTAAGAAAATTGATATTTTTGATGTACTTTGTGTTTTTAGTAACACGAGTACAATCTACGACCAATGCCAGAAACACGAATGGTACGAAAAACAAGAAAAAGTTAGGAATGGAATTTTTAGGATCGGAAAAGCGTTCTGTGCTCACGAACAAGCCAAGACTCGAGAGGAGGAGCAAGAGGTAAATAATTGAGGGAGGCTAGCGGAAATTCCTGTGGAAAACCGCAAAGTCGGTACTGGACTGTTAACGGGGGGTGTGTTAATGGTTTATATCTTTCATGGCGAATTTTAAAGCGAACGTGACACAAAATTGCTAATGCCCAAAATCCGCCAAAAATCTAAAAATGCCGCCTCCCCCGCTATCAGCCCAGTACTGGCCAGGCTAGCAAAGATTTTTAAGGAAATGGCGGGACAAGCAGAGATCGTTGAGGAAAACTCAGCCTAAAATCGATTTTACAGAAAGAAAGAGAGCACGACGAGAAATGCTCGGCTTTTTCGAAGACGAAGATGCTGGTGACGAAGGGGTTTCCCGGAATGAATTTCGAAACATTAAAAGGTATAATTCTGGATTTAATAAAATAACTGCTTAATCTTACTTAACTATCAGAATAGATGTATCCCAATTTTCTAGAAAACCTTGGTTCAAGCTACATGGAAGCGGGGGAAGCGCTACCCGGAAAGAAGGGCAGCGACAAGTTCGAGGTAGTGCAGGATGTGAGAGGTAAGACAATGTGGTGTCTTAAGTATCGAAAGAGCGGGAGAGAGAGACCGAGAGAGACAGACAGAGAGAGAGAGAGAGAGAGAGAGAGAGCGAGAGAGAGAGCGAGAGCGATAAAACCCCGAAATCACCTTAATCCTAGTGACCTTCTTCGTATTGATGGCCATCTACTTTCCGGCCGTCACAGGAATTCTGACTGGAGCCAATATGAGCGGTTAGTTTCGGTTTAATCTGGGGGCAGAAATCGAGTTCTTGATTTTCCACTACCATAAATGCATCGCCGCTAAACTGAACTACTTTTAGGCGATCTGCGAGACCCCCAAAAATCGATCCCGTCCGGCACTATCGCAGCCACGTCAACCACGTCGGTCATCTACTTTGCGCTGGCCATCCTTTTTGCCTCTTCTATCGATCGTTCCGTGCTCCGGGACAAGTGTGTAGTTTGTAGGGTGTAGTTTGTAGTCTCTCGTCAGGCCAAAATTTGCTAGCAAAACAATAGTGATACATTAGCCTTGTTTTCTAAGCCCCACCCAATCTACCGTACCCTAGGACCGGCCGTTCCATCGACGAGCGCATGGTGGTGGCAGCGCTAGCGTGGCCGAGTGAATGGGTGGTGACGATCGGCTCCTTTCTTTCGACGTTTGGAGCGGCTCTACAGTGTCTTTGCAGTAAGCTGACTTGAATACCGTAATTCTTGACGTCATTAGGTGCCCCGCGTCTGCTTCAATCGATCGCCAAAGATGATGTGATACCAACATTACGTCCTTTTGCTAGGGTTACGAAGAATAATGAGCCGTTTTTGGGGTGAGTCGGAGAGAGAGGAAAAGAGAGAGAGAGAGAGTGAAAGGAGAGCGAGGGAGAGAGATACAATTAACTTTTCAGCCTCCTCTTCACCGCCTTCATCGCTGAACTCGCCATCCTTCTCGGAGCCGTCGACGCTATTGCTGAGGTAGATTTTTGCCTTTATCATCCCTTTCAACGTCTCCTAGGTGCTGGACTTCTTCTTCCTGATGTGCTACGCCTTTGTCAACCTCATCTGCTTCATGCACTCCATCCTGAAGGCTCCCAACTGGCGACCGCGCTTCAAATACTACCATTGGTGAACAAATTTTGCCTTTTCTGGTTCCTTTAAAGCATCCGCTCTCTTTTTCTAGTTCCTTTAAAATGGCAAGAAGATCCGTTGCTTTCTTAATCACCCATTAATAATAGCCTAAACTTAGTCAAAATCGTTTAAAATCCCTTTGAACACTTTTTAATGAGTTCAACGCCTCCAGGTCGCTCTCCCTCCTCGGCGCCTTCCTCTGCTTCTTCATCATGTTCGCCTCGAAATGGCAATTCGCCACAATCGCCTGCGTGTTGACGTTCGGCATCTACAAATATGTCGAGTGGAAGGGGTATGACGTTTTTCCGAAAACTTAAAAATACAAATTTAGAGCCAAAAAAGAGTGGGGCGACGGGATTCGCGGGTTGGCGCTGACGACGGCGCAGTACTCGTTGATGAAGGTAAGCTCTCCACCTCTTCCACTCTCTCGCTCTCTCTCTCTCTCTCTCTCTCTCTCTCTCTCTCTCTCGCTCTCTTTCTCTCTCTCTCGCTCTCTCTCTTTAGTGTCGTACCTTTCCAGGTCGAAGACGCCGATCCACACCCCAAAAACTGGCGTCCACAATTGCTGATCTGCCTCTCGGCCCAGTGGAGCAAGCACATCACCGACAATCGGGCCGTGTCATTAGTGCATCTTGGAGGGCAGCTGAAAGGTTGGTTCGCTACACCTAGCGAGCTATAGCTAAATCACGTGCCTTGAAATCGTGACCCTTTTCTAGCCGGTCGCGGTCTTGCCATCGCATGCGCCTTCTTGAAGGGCAGCCCCGACGACCCGAAGGATAAGCCGAGAGCGCAGGAGGTCAAGAAGATGGTCCAAAAGGGTATGGATGCCGCCAAGTTGAAGGGGTTCAGCAAGACGCTGTTTTACACGCCGCCTCAGGTAGAGAGAGAGAGATCGTGAAAACCCCGGAATTTGAGCTTTCCGGCTGCATGTCGGCCGTTTTCCAATCTGTCGGAATCGGCGGTCTACGCCCGAATACCGTACTCGTCAACTGGCCAAATTTTGAGGACGTGGATGAGGTTTATCTATTTGCTGGTAAGCCGCTTAGTTCGACCAGTTGACTGAACTATTTTAGAGGAACTGATCCACGGAGTACGGAATGAAAATTGCGTCATCGTGACGAAGGGCATCACCGATTTTCCGGATAATAACGAGAGGCTGTCAGGGTGAGGGAGAGCGAGAGCGAGAGAGAGAGAGAAAAATAGAGAGAGAGAGAGAGAAAGAGAGGGAGAGAGAACATGGAAAACTTAGAAAAAAGTGTGATTTTCTAGCTACATCGACATCTGGTGGGTGGTGCAAGACGGTGGAATTCTGATGCTCATCGCCTACCTGATGCAGCAACACAAGGTGTTTATTAGTTTTACCAGACACTTGAGCTTCTAAAAAATTGTTCCGCGCCAGAGACACGCAAGGCGCGGGCTGCTTGACCGCCTAGGAGCCGTCGTAGCCCATTCCATAATGGCAAGGCGTAAAGGCGCGTTGCGTGTGGCGAAATCCATCTAAATCTATAGGGTCCTGCTAAATCCATAGACAAAATTCATAGCGATGGCTTGTCAGTTCCTTTACAGCTCGATATTTTCTAGGTCTGGAAAAGCTGTACCTTGCGCGTGTTCGCCATCTCCGAGACGGACAAGCAGAAGAGCGAAGAAATGAAGACAGCCCTGGAACGGTATATCTACATGTTGAGAATCGACGCTGAACTTTTTGTAGGTGATTTTAAGGAGCTTAAAGTTGTTTTTATCACCCCTTTTAAATATAACAAAATTTAGAATTTCTTTTCGATTTTCGACATTTTTAGATCGTCAACCTGCTCGATGAGGAAATTTCGGAAGATGTCCACAGCAGGGTCGCCGAGATGGAGCAGAAACGGAAAGATTTCAAGGAAAATGGCGAGGCTACGGTAACGAACTTTATTTAAGTGTTCTAAAGTGTGAAAACTTTTAGAAAAATCGCGCTAGCGGTGGATTCGTGAATGAGGCCTTTAACAATGATGACACGCTCTATGGCAGGTTCCACAAGCCAAAGATGTGTAGGTTTTTTAAGAGTATGTACCTCTCTCTCTCTCTCTCTCGCTCTCTCTCTCGCTGCCTCTGTATTTCCTTGTCTCTCTCTATCTCGCTCTTCCTCACTCTCTCCCTCACTCTCAAATCAAAATTTCGTTCAGATACTCAAACCGGCAAACCCCGAGCCATCAGCATCAATATCAATGAAGAGGAGGAGACGACGTTTACGTAAGTCATTCCCAAATCCATCCCACTCCCTCTATCTCGCGCTCTTTCTCTCTCTTTCTTGCTCTCTCTCTCACCCTCTCTCTCTCTCTCTCTCTCTCTCTCTCTCTCTCTCTGACCGTGATCCTATGAAATACCAAATTACAGTACCCCTCCGACCCCACCAGCCAGAAAGCACACACTGGCCGATCGTCTCTATGACCGAAATTCAGAGGAAAACGGCGAAGTGAAGGATTTGAAGTTGAATGTGGGTAATTTTATTCAATTTTTGGTTTTTCATTTTGTGCAGTCAAATTACGGTATACTGTAATTTTCTGTAATTTTAGATCCACAAAATGAACACCTCCGTCCGCCTGAACAACGTGATCCTCGAGAATTCGCCCAACTCCCAGCTCGTCCTCCTCAATCTGCCGCATCCGCCAAAGTAGGGGAAGCGCTGAGTGACCTAAAAACAAAGCGCGCATGCCACGCAGCCGTGACGCGTTAAAAAAGACGCATGTAAGATGCGCGAGCGTTGGAAATCTTCTCATTCGACTTTAAAGGGACCTGCAAGGCATAACAAATCACAATATAGAACAACTATAGCTTCGTAGTGTCTTGGAAATTAGCAACCGAGCCACTGTATCACCCCGATCTATTTTCTATCTATCTAACATCGTCCCGATCTACCGTAACCGGAAAAATACCATTTTTAGGCACCGTGAAGCCTTCATCCACAACTACACTGTCTACCTGGACGTGCTGACGGAGAACCTGAAGCGGGTGTTGTTCATCGGCGGCTCCGGCAAGGAAGTCATCTCCATTGACTCGTAGAGCCGACCAAGTAAACGTTTCTAAGATCTCCAATTAGAATTGTATGTTGTATTTTGATGTTTTCTGTCTCTCTCACTCTCTCTCGCCCTCTCTCTCGCTCGCTCTCGCTCTCTCTCTCTCAATCTCTCGTTTTCATCTGATTTTGGGATTTTTCGTGCCTTTAAGTTACGCGGATCTTAAGTAATTTTTTGAATACGCAAATTCAATTCATCCATTTTTAGGGTTTTTTGGAATAAATAATTTTTCAAAAAAGCGAGCGTTTTTTGTATGGATAAGTTCGATGCGAGAAATTTATGCGCCGAAAAAAGACGAGATAGCGAAAATACAAGGTGCAAAAACATTTACAAATCGATAGAAGAAGAAGGTAGATTTAAAAAAAGGGTGGAAGGCAGTCACAGCGATAGTGGATATTTCTCGGTCGAGGAGTATCGGAGAAGTTCAGAGGATCGTCGACAAGCTTCAGTAGTAGAACGTGCGATTCTGGTTGGCCGGGCGGACTGGAAAGGGTCGTTTTAAAAGGGTTGTGACAGTGGGGAAAAAGGAAAGGTTGGCGCGCTCTCGCACTCGCTCTATCACGCTATCGCTCTCTATCTTACTCTCTCTTTCACTCTATCGCTCGATCTCTCTCTCTCGCTAACTCCATCTCTCTATCTCCCTCACTCCCGCTATCTCTATCTATCATCCTCTCTCTCCCTCTCTCTTTCTCTCTCTCTCTCTCTCTCTCTCTCTCTCTCTCTCTCTCTCTCCCTCTCCCTCTCTCTATCTTTTACTGCCTTTCACTCTCTCGCCAGCTCTATCTCTCTCTTTTTCTCTCTGTGGCTCTTTCTCCCTTCATCCCTTCCTCTCTCTACCGCTCCCTTTGTTTCTCTCTGTCTCTCTCACTTCCCAACCCCTTTAAAAAAATCACTGACCATGTCCAGGTGGTGGTTCATGGAAAGAGTCTCCATCTCCACACATTCTCCCTCCCATCCCGCCTCCAATTCCACCGCCAATTCCTCCGCCCATCCCCCCACCGATACCGCCGCCCATCCGGAACTTCGAATTCGAGTGTCTGAAAAATAAATAATTAGAGTTAAATTAGAGTTTAAAATTTAAATTTTATCAAAAATCGACTAAGATTGTCTAAAATTCCCCAAGGTCTCGGCCACCCTGCCCTTACCTGAACGCGGTCGTGTTCTGGTTGTTCTTCTGGATGCTGGCCGTCGGCTTCGACTTGTTCGCCTGGCTGTCGGTGGGCGAGTAGTACGAGAAGTTGTTGTGCGACTCGAGCAGCGTCATCTAAAAATACAATAATGCAGGCCAGGCTCGTTTAAAGCTACCACCAAAACCCAACCGAGCCCGAAAAAACCACCATACAACATGCCGGCTATCCCGTATTGTTAAATTAGCATCCAAAAAAGGACGGGGTGTTAGTGGAGGGGTACGAATTATACAGGCGAGCGGTGGGGCGGGTGTACTGTACCGTACAGTAGCGTACTATTGACGTTATTGGGGCCGGAATTTCTGCAGGGTCTGGCGGGCCGGAGAAGTGCCCGATTTTTGCACCTATCGAAAGCTCTTGAAAAGGTGAATCCGGCGGTCTTTCCAATTTACGAAATTTGATCTTTTTAAAACTTTAATAATTTTGTCAGCAAAGCAGGGAGATTTCTAATGGTTTTCGGACGAAAGGAGTCTTACAAAACCACAATTTCTGAATTTTTAGATTCTCCTTAAGTCGATTTCTTATGGAGAAAACGCGCAATTCCTGATAAAATATACCAAAAATTTAGCATAAATATTCGAAATTTCAAAAATCGGATGGCGCGTCCAAATTTCTCTTTTCGAGAGCTTTCGATAGATACCAAAATCGTAAAAATCGGATGCTCCTACCGAATGCTAGAGGGGACTTTGTGCCACCCGGTACGCTACAGTACGCTACAGTACGGTACGCTACGATACGCTACTGTGCACATTACTCTAGGGGGTTTTGCTACGGACCTTCTTCGGGCAGCCCACGCGGAATTCCATCGGATTGCGGAACAGGCGCTCGGCCCGCAGCCACGGCGGCGGGTACCAGATCCGATTGCACGGCATCTGCTGCACCCGATTATTAGATTTGTATCATTTATTTATGGTTTCGGGATGTATTTACATATTATTGTATCGTTTTTGCAACCCTACACTTTGTTAAGGTATCCCCGGAGGAAGTGGGATTGAGAAGGGCACCAAAGAACGCTTCGGGAGTTCGCTTTCAGGATCAGAAATTGCTCATAACTTTTTTGTATTTTAATGGATTTACTTGAAATTTTGAGAGCGGATGTGGAAAACTATAAACTACAAGCTATCAAAATTTTCGACGAAAATATTCGAAGATGAAAAAGTTATAGCAAAAATAAGTAAAAGTTTTCAATTTTTTTCGAGACTTTTCGACATAATATCGAAAAAATCATGATTTTCACGTCAGAAAATAACGTGCCTGGATAAAATTTACATTTTACAGTCTTATAACATAAATTTTTCCAGCCAAATCACCATGAAAATACTGTAGAAATACAAAAATTTTTTGGCCACTTTTCGATGGAAATACAAAAAAATAAACCTTAGATTTTAAAACAACTTTTAGCGTTACAAAACCATTCCTTCAGTGCATTTTTGCATTCTTGAAACTAGCTATAGAAAACGCGACGTGTGCACAGAGAGCTCGCCAGAAACGGTGGAGCAAAGCGGAAAATTCTCGTCTCTCATTCCGGTACACTCCTATGTTGCTTGGAAAATTCGGAAAATTCGAAAATGTTAGAACAAGTGTGTTGATTTCCTTAAAAAGGTCTCGCCACGAACCTGGATGATAAAGTCGCGGTTGCGGGCGATGGCGTCTTCCTCTTCCTTTTTCGCGTCGGCCTCGCTGGTTAAGCTCAACGTCTCGCTGCTAAAAGCCGGGTAATTTGCATAATTTATGGAATTATTATTAAGTTGAAGTTGCCGGGTAAGTGGAATATTCATTCCGGGTCTGTATGTCACGTCTATAGGTGCAAAATGGAATTATTGAGGTAGCTGGTAGCTGCTAATCACCAAAAACAAGGCTCCGGAGTGTCTTTGTCAACTTGTCTGTAACAGGATTGTCAAATTCCCCAAAAATCACTGCTAGCCTGTCCTGAACCGTGACTACCTTTAATACGCAATTTTTTACTTTTAAAAACTGACCCGAACTCCTCCCTATCAATGGACCCATGCTCGGAACCCTCAACCGCCTCTGACTCGATCCTGGCTGTTTCCGAGGTCTCTCCGGAAACGGTGTCCGACTCCGGAATCGATTCCGGTTCCACCCGTACATCTTGGCTCTGTAAAATAGTTGTTTGGGCTCGCGCTCTCTCTCTCTCTCTCTCTCTCTCTCTCTCTCTCTCTCTCTCTCTTTCTTTCTCTCTGTCTCTCTACCGTACCTGTCGCCTCGAATCCGAGCCGCTGGGCACGTTCTCCTCATCGGACTCGCGGGATCGACTGCGGTTCATGTCTTCTGAAAAAATTAGAATTTAGGATTCAGTGGCCTGGGATTACGGTAGAACGGTGAAAATCGGAACACCCAAAAATGACAAATATGCGGAGAACCCCGCATCCTTAGGACAGAAAAGATGGGTGTACAGAGGAAAACAACGGAATTTTTAACGGAGAGCGAGGGCGAGCGAGAGAGCGAAAGAGCGAGAGAGAGAGAAAGAGAAAGATAGAAAGACATAAAGGTTCTATCAGGGTCCGTCGAAAATATCTTAACAATTTTTGCAATAATTCCTGAAATTTGACAAAAACAAAACTCTAAATGCGAAATTCAAGCTACAGTAATCTCTAGCAAGGCTCTAGAAAAACCAATTAAAATAAATGAGCACGAGGTCCAAAAATAGCTCCATCCTAACCTCGCGCTACGCTGAAATACCCAATCCAATCCCAACCCCCTAAAGCCACAATTAGCCTCCCTCTGGCCTAGGAGATCTGATACCCTCCTACCGTAACCCCTAGGCCCAGGGGCACAATATAAAAACACTCTGCCCTTCCCCGGGCCCTTGTGGTCGACGAGCTGCCGGTTCCCCAAAACAGCAAATTACGCAAAGTGCCCGATTTCAATGGCATAATTGAGGGGTCCCGCCCCCGAAATCTGATCTGTTATTCAGGGGATGAGAACGTCTGTGTTCGCCCCGCATCAAAATAGGCACTTTTTAGAAAACGACAGCTCAGCGGTATATTGTGTAGCAAGTACGGTATCGGAAACTAGATGCTAATTAGCATGACAAAAATCAACCTTATTTTTTATAGCGAAAATTTTGAAATTTCGGATTAGAAACGTGGGAACTCTGCTTTTTCTAAACTACAAAAAGGGGGAAAATGCAGAGATTTTTTAAAGGTCCAAACACGTCAGACAACTTTCAAAAATTCCGCTTGACGACAAGGATATCTGTCTCGCGATTTGGAAGCCCTCTAAGGACAATAGCGTGACTAAGATTTGTACATTTTTAAGAAGCGCAAAACGGGGGGGAGGAAAGACTTTAAATGGCTTAGCAGCCGGGGAGCTCGGAGCTAGAAAACAGGAAGAAGCAAGAACCTCAATCCCGAAACACTGCCTCAAATTTTATTTAAAATATTTATATTCGTAATTAGCATAAGGAGCGTAAACAAAATTGTTTTTTGATAATCCTAGCTAAATTAAAATTAATTAAAATAACGTTAAAACTTCCAAAACCTAAGGTTATTCGCTAAATTAACCCTCAAATTAAGATTCGGTTTAAACTTACAATCAGATAATACGGGAGCCACCGTAACCCAATAACAACGGTTTAAAATATCAAAAAACCTTGTGAACGCGAAAACTCTTCAAAAATTCCTTCGAGGGTAATTTCTTGACCTAGAACCTAAAATCTGACTTACCGTACCTACCGTACACCAAAGCTAATTTTTTAAAGGCAAAAACCAGGTTTTAGCGCTAAGGCCCCTATTTCCTGCCCCCCACCTACCGTAACCCCTGTCAATTACCCCTGGAACCGCGGCAGCGAATCTGGCGCCGGCTGTTTTTAAAGGCGTTGAAAATGATTTCATGCTTGGGCCCCAGCAGGGTAAATGGCTCCCTTAAAGGCACGCCTCCCCCCTCCCCCATCCATGACTACTAATTGAAAAATGCTGCCCACCACACCCGCTTCTCTCGAGTCCTCTGCACTACTTGATGAATTTGCAACGGTAAAAAAATTGGGACGGGATTGGCTTCGTCGGAGATTTTGGGTGTCGATAGGAGTGTAGTGTATGTACAGTACGTAGCGAGGAAACTAGCAGCAAGAGAAAATTGCAAAAAAAAACAGGAAAAATACGCTCGCAGCCGGGAGGTAGGAGCTAAAAGCTGGCATTCAAGCTGGGATCAGGGAAATGATATATGCTGTCGATCGATGCCTAAAAAATTGGTGCTGAAAAACAGGAGAAATCGAATGGGGGAGCTGGGAGCTGGGAGCTATTGCATGCAGACGTCGGGAGCTGGACGTCGGGAGCTGGGAGCTGCGTTACCGCTGCACTAATGTACAGCTGGGAGCTGCTTGGGAGCTAGAAGCTGATAAAAGCTACCATCAAAACGCTGATTAAAGGGGAAAGCTAGCAGACATTGTTAGCTGCGGTCTAGGAGATGATTCACGCCGGAAGTTACTAGCAATAGGCGGAGTGAGGAGCTAGGATCTATCTCAAGCCGGGAGCGGGGAATTGCCGGACCGCTGGGAGCCGCTTGGGAGTGAGAAGCTGATAGAAGCTACCCTCCAAAAGCTGAATAAAATGCAAAGTGAGAAGCTATTGTTAGCTGATGCCTAGGAGAGGATTCTGGCCGGAAGCTAGGAGTTGCGAGATGGCCGGTTTTTAGCTAGTCAGGCGCAGTGCACGCACCTAGAAAAGACCCGGAGCGGCTGTCTTTCTGAAGCTGGTACCCAGTGGGAACGGGTTGTTTCATCTTGCAACATCTTTTTGGCATTTCCGGGCGCAATAGGACGAGTAGGACAGCCGAAAGACTCTGCGGCGACAAGGAGAAGACAGGGAAGACGTTAATTAAAATACCCGGATCAGCGGTGGTAGGGCTTTCGACATGGCAGAAGCGGAAGGGAGGGGAAGCCGAAACGAATGAGAAGGGTGCAGATACCGGAATTGGGTGTAGACCGGAATTCGCGAGGGTTGAAATGGGCTACAGTATGCTCCTATGTATTCATGACGAAAACTACATGTAGCACCTATCTACACCTTTTAAGTTCCATTTTAATCAAGTTAAATACGTTTTTACACCAAGCTGCTACGCAAAGCTCTGAACTACGATTTTCCACCTGTCGTTAGACATTTTTCGCCCTGTCGCACTGCCTTTAAACCCTCAACCCAATCGGATCTTTGGTGGCTTCACTACGAGGGCATACGCTCTGTTTACGAAGCGAAACGTTGATGATTCCGAAAGTGTCCTCTAGCCACTAGCACGTAAGGAGGAGTAGCGCGGAATCGTGGGGCTGTGAGTGACAGGTATTGCCTTCGAACTCTGGCCCCTTTTCGCTGGAAACGCTTGGCTCTCTTGGCCCCCTCCCGCCCTGTCAACGGCTACGGCACATTGCTATAGCCACCCGCGCGCCGCACTCGGATTACGGTAGCCAGGGCGAGGGTGGGGCGAAAAATAGAAAAGTGTACTTGTGGGCATCCGGTTTGGTGACGGGGTATTTTTTAGCCGTCCAGGAAAGTGAATAGCTTACGCCAAAAACCATTGCAAACATGCTTTTCGAAATTTTTTTTAGAATTTTATTAAACTCATTGTATTGAAAGCAAGGTTGTCGAAATTCAAATTTTGCGTCGTAAAAATGAATTTTCGACATTCTAATTTACGACAACGTGAATTGCCGACAAAAGAGGTATAGCAAAATGCTTTCGACTTACAAATTTTCGGAAAAGCAAAAAGGGCGCATCGAAAATCCACTTTTCTGGTTATCACTGTTATTATTTTAAATAAATAATGATGGATCTCCCGGGTTTAAACCTTTTTTTGATGATTTCTGAACTTTTAAAAGCACGACAATACTACTTTTTTGATAAACCTTTCAAAAACAAGACTTTTAAACCCCAGAAATGCCATAAAACGGCAGAGTACGGGCATGTGTTCTTAAGCGCCCATTCAAGGGGCCTCGGTAAAAAATAATGACCGGCGGGTGGAGGTCTTTCTGAGGGAAGGCTTATGACCGATTGTTACACAACACACAAATGGACGCCTGTTTTCACGGAGGAGGTCAATGCGAAAACATACAGAGACGAAAGCTTATTGGAGTGTGAGGTTTGAGCATGAAGTTGAAGGTTTTAAAGGGAGTGCGACAGCAGCGAGCAGGCGTAAAATCTCGTGGCGCTGAAGCTTCATCAGTGCGTAATGAATTTTGTGGTTTCCTATCATAAGAGAGACACAGCGAAAGAGAGAGAGACAGCGAGAGAGAAAGAGGGAGAGAGAGAGAAATAGCGAGATACAGTGAGAGTGAAACCCCATCCAAAATTCGCTATGATTCGTATCCCTAGACCAGAAATCCCCCAAATTGTATACGAAGCAGCACTATACTCTGGGAAAGTGCGGCGACTACGGGGAAATTCCAGGGCGATGCCGGAAAAATACGCGAGGCTCGGATTTCCGGTTGCCTGCGAAGTTTGGGGCAGGGAAAGCCGTGGCTATCCACTGACTCATAGCCACCTCACGTGAGGCCCCGTGGCTTGGGCCCCTAGGGACTTTTGTTATTTTTGGGCTTTAGGGGAGGAGGGATTGAAGTTCAATCTTGGGCGGAGGCAAGGTGGGGATGAGGAGGTTATTTTTGATCTGGTGTATCTAGAAAATGTAGAAATAACCTTGAATTTGGGATAAAAAAAGTAAAAAAAAAACTTTCGAAATTGAAATTTGTAAAGTTTTTGGCATTTAAAGGAATTTGGTAGACTCTTAGCAAAAAAAAAACACGTAAAAAGGTGCCCAACGACGCGTAGCCCGGAAATGAGCGCCTCCCCGAGTAGGGCAGCACGGAATATGCAAAGTGTGTTTGTGCAGTAATCTGATTCCAGGAGGGCAACCGGAAAACGGGAGGCTCAGCTTTTCGCAGCAGCCCCATGTCCTTCCTTGGGGCCACGTGCAAAATAAGTGGATTTTCAGGTTGTGTGGGCAATGGTCGAGTGCGGTTTCGAATTTCCTCAAAGACCCCTGCTAGTTTGCCCGTGCTTTAAAAACGTTCCGAAAGACTTTCTGGGGAAAAATGACAAAACCCCGACACACATAATAGCGACAGCCAGAATAGCGACGGTCAAAACACCGACAAATAAAATCCCGATAAGTTCAAATCCCGGCAGCCATAATACCGGCAAATAAAATCCCGACAGCAGAAATCCAGACAGTGGAAATCCCGACAACAATGCCGACAAACAAAATCACGACAAGTGAAAATCCCGACAGCAAAAAAACCGTCAAATTTTCCGACATGCAGAATGCAAAGGCAGAAGCAAA